ATACAAATTTCTTGCACATTTAGATATTTTATAAAAAGATCATTATTTTTATAAATTTAGTAACTTTTACTCTTCCATTTTATATAGATGGCCATGTTTTTGCTATCTCAGATAGCTGTCGGGCAATAGAATTTGATCCTAAGAGCCAGCGGAAAAGAGCCTAAACTGTATGCTGTAGAAAAAAAAGTAATGGGATCTTTGAAACATTTTATAATATGCGATTCGACCCAAAAAAGTTCTAGTCATATTTGAAAATTTCCCACTGTTCTTCGCTGTTCAGACTGTTTAGTTATTCTTCCAATTTTAACATTTCAATTTTCACATCATTTGTTTTCTTTAAGATTTATGCGATGAAATAATGCATGTGAATTATGATTATGATTATCATGCGAAAATTTTTCATCCGGCACTTTTTTCTTCTACCTTTTCCGAGTTTTAATGGTTCAAATTCTTCACTTTAATTACATGTTTCTTGTTTTTATTTATCGTCGTCAAATATTCGATTTTCAGGTGAAATTCTTAATGAATACAGCTATGCCATGCAATTCCATATGAGAATTTAATTAATTTTTCGAATATAAATTATGAAATTGTAAAAATATGGTAAATACACAGATGCATATAATATGGTAAATATTCGTTTCATCTGAGATCTTTTCATGAATAAATATAGAATAGTGAATAGGAATATCTCATTGCAATTCGCAGTTCAATATTAACGTTTTTATTTAAAAAATTTGTGATTTTAATTACACTTTGAATCAAGTTCAGAGAAAATATTCGTTTTTAGTTGGATTTATTAATTATTTAATATTTAACTTGATTAAATGGATTGCGACTGGACAGGTGCTGAGGGCGCATCTCTGTTTTTGTCTGTCGCAAGTGGCTCTTTGTTGAAAGGATCTTATCCTTATAATTAGTGGAGCCAGCCAAGAAAAATGGCATTAGAACAATAAGAGCTGGATTTCTAAACGGTGTATTAAGATTAAAAGTAGATAGCCAACATTCGTGCAAATAAAATAAAAACGAAAAAGCGATTAACACAGAATTTAGTTTAATTAACCATCGAAAGAAATTCGAGCAACGAATCTGTATTTTAATTTAATGGAAATAAAAAAATTTTGAACGCACGAGCGAAATGGGAGGATCATTTTGGCTTCTATCGCTTGCAAATATTTCACAATTGTTATAAAATATGATTTGAGATGTTGGAGATTTCTGAGCTATTGGATATGAATTCGGTTGAATATATAAAATATACGGCTGTTTGCTCAAACTCTAATGTTCCATGGAAAAAAGGAGAACCGAAGAACAATTGGTTAGAATATCTGCATGGTAAATGCAGTCAATAATTATAAGCGGTATTATAGATTTAAACGAATTTTCTTAATTCCAATATGGCATCGTCACACCTTTAATGAGAATTCTTGTGGGAATTCAGAGAATTTAGCAAAAAATTTCTCTCTTCATTTCCACTGAATAGAAATATCTAAGAAAATCGAAATCAATGACGGATTTTGCCTTAGAAGAATTTCATCAATGAATTTTGCTGAGGATTCTCTTTATTTACTCATATGTACTATGTTGGCATTTTATGCATTTTATATATATTTTTCGAATTTATATTGGATTCGTTTAAGTATTTCATCATTAATTTATATCATTTTTGCTGTACAAAGCCATCTATCATATGCTGTTCAACGACCGCCAAAATATCCATTTTCAACGCTTCATTACTACGTTATAATCAAAAATCAAGGTTAATGGACTGAGTTTGAGAAATAATTCTGAAAAATGAATTCTCGTGTTTTCTAATGAAAAAAAGAACGACTCAGAAAGCTTGCTTGTATCATTTTGATTATTGTTCAACTGTTTGACGATAATCACAATTTCATAAAATATGGAAATTTGAATAATTTGGATGATATGGATAAAGTATTCAGCTAGAAATATGGCTTCAAAGAATTTCTTGCAAATGTTATTTCTTATTATTATAGATTGGTTTGCTGATTTTTCAAATTTGTCAAAATCGCTTCGAAGCAGTTTGAATATTTATGAGTGGCATCACACATACCATTGATTTCGACTCCCAGTGGTTCCAAGATATTTTTCATTTTCAGAAGATATTTCTTAACGCCTTTCTTTCTTTTGTGATTTTTTCACTGTTTTCACTAAGTATTTAATTGTTAAATTTTCTTGGAATTTTATTTATTTACACAAATTTACTTTATTTCTTTAATTATACTTTATTTAATCTTTATTTTTAATCGACAAGAAATTCGTTTTTAGTTTTATCGCGAATTTCTCTTGTTTGTAGTTGTACTAAGCAACCTTTAATAATTCAGCATCAAATATTTTCTCATCTTTTTTCTCAGCTCAACTCAAATTTGTCGATTTTATTTCGTAAAAATTCTATTATCAACAGAAATTTTTTTATCTGCGAACCATTTCCTACATTATTTACTGTAATTGCTTTTATATGTTTGATTTTTATTTACTTCAGTCATTTTCAGTTTCTATTGAAAATAGTTGCTAAAACGATTTATCGAGTTGGGTCGACTACGACTGTGCACGAAAACTTTTGCTTTTCCTATATTATTTGTTATTTTCATAGTTCAGCAATCACGTTTTATAACATTCATCACTCGAGCTCAAATCATTGAATTCTCACTTAAATCGATTCTATAGAAAATTTCTGTATAACCAATGGCAATTATAAAAGAAATATAGAGCACATCGAAACGAAAGAAAGCTTCTATCACTGAATCTGAATCGCAGGTCTTAGTTGTCTAAATGGGCTTTGCACTTCGTGATATGTGATTTATAATAATACGATCACCCTCATTTTCGTACCTTCCCTTAGCATCTATTTGGCGTACTATGAATCGCTTTCAGTCCAAATATTTGTACGTTTCGCAGTTTTACTAGTGCAGTTTTTAAGATCGTACTTAACCGATCGGAAACGTTGAATTGATTCGTGATATAAGTTAATTAGTTAATTTAATAATTATTTTAATAGCTGGAAGAAATGAAGCAAGATTTTATTTTTTAGATTTTGCTTCAGAAAATTTCGTTGCATTTAATCCTTTCAAAAAAGCTCAGACAACTGTGACTTTAAAATTGGAAGACAAAAAGAAGTGGGTAAAATTTAGAAAACTGAGGCTTATCTGCAGAATCTGTGCAGTCTTGAACGATAGAATTAGCGAATTTGTCGATGTGATTCGCTTCCGATTTCAGCTTTATACTAGCGATTTTGTCTATGTGATTCGTTTATATAAAAAAAAATTAGTGAAAAATTGGATCTTTTTGTTTCAGCATATACTTGCGATTTGTCGATGCGGTAAATATTGTAAAGTGAGTGGAAAATCGAGCTTCTTGAGTCCCAGCTTCCTGAGGATGACAGAACATGGAACACTGTTATTAGACGATTTCACTGATACGCCATCCAAAATTGCTATTTCGAGAAGCCTCTCCAATAGATTTCAGGTATATTTTTTTGTGGAATGAAAAATTTATTAAGAAAATTCGCAGAAATGAAATGAAATTACTTATTAAATTGATTATTACTTGCTGATGTGTCAAAGAATCACAGTGAGTGATTCTTATTTATTGGTGAGAATAAGTAGCGGCGATAGCAAGAGACACTAGAGGAAAGGAAGGAGAAGAAAGCGTGGCCATCGGTGCTGCCATTCCAACCGAAAAGTGCCAACATTCCATTTTTGATGTCCAAATTGATGTCTAAAAGTTGGAATTTCAATATTTGATCGATGTGCAAATTCTGAAATTTTGGTAGTTAAATAAAAAAAATGTAATTTACTTTCCTTTCATAGATGACTCGTTCCATTTTCTGTTTTATTACTAAAAATTTTTAATTTAATTTATTATTTTAATATTTTTCGTAGACGTGTGATTTACAAATTTTTCAGTTTACAAATTAGTTGCATAAAAATTCGTTTCATAGATTAGTTGGATTTTCTACATATTTATTTAAGATTTTAGTTATCAGTCTTAGATAAATAAGACGATCAGCAAACATTTAAAATCTGCTGCAAACGATTCTGAAGTCTAGAAACGATTTATCATAGATAGTGATGAAGGTGGTACGGTAGAGTTCGTTATCGATTAGATATGTTGTAAAAGTCGCAAAGTGGAATAGAGTTTCTGGATGCCTTCCGTGGATGTATGGAGAAATAGCGAAAAATTATAGGTATCGAAGTCAACGGAAGCTAGCTTAACTGAGTGTACAGAATCGAGTATATCAGAGATTCCAACGCAATCGGATAATGAACCAGTCGCTTGTTCAATAAATATGTATCCTGAAAGAAAAATTAGCGCCTCTGGTCGATTCCAGGTTTCTCTTAGTTCGATTTTTTATTGGCTAGTTTTTTTTATTTTATATGCTTTTATATTAAGTGGACAGCATTGACGAAAAGTCGAAAAATCGTTTGCTTTATTATGCAAACAGCTTTAATAAGTCGAAATTTTTGAAATTTGTATCGCCAAGCATGGTTATTTAACGTTATAACGACGACAGCTAAAACAATGATTGCAGAGACAGCGAAATATAAAACATTGCGGTAAACAAATGAATAGTAGAAGAATTCTGGATAACCTCCGCATTAATATTCACAGAAACGGGGAAGATTATCTTTTTCTCTGTGTAGATAGTTCGGGTATAGAATGGCTCAGTGGGTTGTTGCTCAATTGGGAGCGCCGATGCTGAGGTTCGGTTCCCCGCAGGAGAAAGCCTGTACAAAAATCCGGGCAATGCTGGCGACTCATCTGTATTTCTATCGTCAAGAGACTCCCTGGCATGTTGCCCAATGCGACAAGACAGTGGAGCGAGTTTAACCAGTAATGATGAGGACTCTTTAAAAAAAAATGTAAATGGTTTATAAAAATGAGATCATCGTAGGCGTCACAGTACTGGTAAATTTTCTTAAGGTTCAAATATTGGCTTTTGTTTGTTTTCAAAAAGTATGAAAAGACGACTTTTCATCAATTAAGGTAACTGGTGCACGGACTCCGACCTCCGACACCAAACAGGAACCAAGGAATTGTAATGGACAATGTGCTACTTCACTTTCGGCTAATTCGAACATGAATAAGACTGATCTTGAATCTTCGACAAATGCTCAAGCGAGCACTCGAACAGTGCATTTCTCTGTTGGTAATGATTTGACAGAAAAAAATGTGGATTCTTTGGAGAAGGAAGGCAACACTAGTTTTAATGCGAAAAGTTGGAGGTTTTTTATTTTTTGTTTCTTTCTGGATTATTTCAGTTGACGCTAGTTCAATCAGCATGAACTCTTCTAATCACTCTATAATTCTATTCTTTTCATTTAGATATATGCAAACAATCGAACATCCGCCAATCATTGATTTTTATCGAAATACTTTGGATGTTGGTGGTGTGATGAATTCGCGTCCATCCATGAATCAACTTATTCACGGTGACCCGTCTATTGCAGATAGCGCCATTGAAGAATTCAGGGTTCTGTTGAATTTTTGACTTAGTCCTGTTTTTCACGAATTTGATTTGCCCAGTTTTTTGATACATTTCAACTCTGAAATGCTTTTTTCATGAACTGAGGATTTGGAATTTCAGACCCATACAGATCAAATTATTTATGCCGAAGGTGAACCTTCATCACCACAGTTAAAGAAATTTCAACCTCCAGCCGTCGCTCCTCGAACCAAATTTGGTTGGGTACAAGGTGTTTTTGTAAGATGCTTATTGAATATTTTCGGCGTGATGCTTTATCTTCGCGTTAGTTGGGTTGCTGGTCAAGCAGGAATCGGTACAAAATTCATTTAAATTACTTCCTGTCATTTTTAATTGCTTTTTTGCAGGTCAAATCAGAAGACCTTAGCCAAAGTCAACTGTAGAGATTTAATTTAATTTGAAATCTAACTATAGATTATTTAGAATGTTAAATGTTAAAATGTGACTGTGATTATATTGTGGATGTGCTTGTAATAAAATTCTAACATTTTGAATTTCTAGCCCTCGGTTCGCTGGTTGTATTTCTTGCTTCAGTGGTTACATTCATAACAGCTTTGTCTACTTGTGCAATTTGTACAAATGGCGATGTGAAAGGTGGTGGAGCTTATTTCTTGGTATCATTTTTGCTTTAAACTTCATTTTAGGATCGATGTTATACGTAGTTTATATTCATATTATAGATTATAGCCAATTCTGAGTCATGTTTCGAAATTTCGGATTTTTCATTGTTTTGAGGGCTAATAGCTAGCTAGCATTATTTTTCATATAGAATTTTTAGCTTGGTAAAAAAGGAGAAAGATTAAGAAAAGATGGAAAATATGTGAAAGAATTAACAGAAAAAATTGGAAGGAATAGTTAGAAATTTTTCATTATTCAGATAAGCAGATCACTTGGTCCAGAATTTGGTGGTTCCATTGGACTCATATTTTCTGTTGCAAATGCTGTTGGTGCTGCAATGTATATCGTCGGTTTTGCTGAAACTGTTCGAGATGTAATGCGCGAGTATGATTATATGATCATAGATAGTGGTATGAATGATGTTCGCATAATCGGCCTTGGTAAGTATGATAATATTATCAGTTATCATTTTTCATTTTTGTAAAATTATCAAAAATTCTCAAAATATTTATTCATTTCTTTTCTTTTTTCTTTTCTTCCATTGATTTTTTTCACTCGCGGTGCGTTATATTTGGCAAGTTTTAGTCACCTGTACGATTCTTATGGCGATTGTTTTTATCGGAACTCAGTTCGAGAGTAAAATGCAGATCGGTCTTTTGATTATTCTTTTACTGTCAATAATAAATTATTTCATCGGAACTTTCATTCCTGTGACGAACGAACAATCCATTCGCGGCATTACTGGCTTTAGCTGTAAGTAGTCATTACTATTTTCTTCACTTCTAAAATAGATCAGTTGATTCGAATTGACTGGAACAGATCAATTGATCAGTTGATATTAAAAGCAGTTTTCATATCTAATTTTCTGTGGATCTAACTACTTTAATTGATTTCTTATAAACTTTTTGACAAGCCATATTAAGTTTTCGCTATATTTGCTATTTTTTTGGTGTTATGCGTTTCTTATTTCTTCAGTTACTACATTGAGCGAAAATATGTTACCCGCATTCCGGGGTGGTGAAAGCTTTTTTTCCGTTTTCGCTGTTTACTTCCCAGCTGCAACTGGTATAATGGCGGGTGCTAATATCAGTGGTGATCTTGCAGATCCTCAGGTGAATATTTAAAATTGAAAAATATTTGACATATTCTGGTGGTTACAGAAATACTACTTTTTCTGCTGAGTTTTTTTTCAGAAAGCTATTCCCAAGGGGACACTGTTGGCTATTTTTTTTACTACTATAATTTATATAATGATTGTTTGGATGACTGGCTCAACTTGCATACGTGATGCAGACGGTATATTTGCACCTGTAATTGTAAATGGGAATCATATAAAACCGGCTTGTGCTGTTAATTCAACTTGCCCCTATGGTTTGATGAATTATTTTCAGGTACTTTTAAATCTGATCTATTTTTCAGGTATTTTAAAGGAATAAGGATTGGTAAAATCTTTTTTGGTTTCCGTTTTTTCCGCGCTTTTTATATCTAGAAAATTATTAGGTTATGGAAATTGAAAGCTTCTGGGGCCCACTGATAACTGCAGGGATTTTTGCAGCAACACTTAGTTCCGCTCTAGCCAGTCTTGTCAGCGCTCCGAAAATTTTTCAGGTTTTTTCTATTTTATTAGATTTATTAAAATCTCTTTACTTCTCTTAATAAAATGCATTCTTTCATTACTTTCGTTAATGAATCGGATAACCTTCAAGATTCTTCTAAAGAAATTTTATTTAAAATTATGCCATCATTAGAAATTTTTTCATTTGCCTTCACTTATTTTTAAATTTTGCAGGCAGTATGCAAAGACAGACTTTTTCCTAAAGTCGAAATTTTCAGCAAGGGTTATGGCAAAAATGAAGAACCACGACGCGCTTATTTTCTTGGTTTTGCTGTTAGTATGGTGATGATATTAATAGGTTATTTTATTTAAGTTTTTCTATTCAAGCTATGCTTATCGTCAGATTTTTTTTGAATTGTCTTAATTTCTAGCTCAGAAATCTTTTTTGGATTCAACGAATGGATTCTTAGTTTTTGATTTAATTTCCCTTTAAATAATTTATGATATGGTTTCGTGAATATTTGAGGAAAGATTCTCATATTCAGGTTAACAATTGATTGTTAATATGTGCATGGTTTCAGGCGAACTAAACGCAATTGCTCCAATAATCTCAAATTTTTTCTTGGCTTCTTATGCTCTGGTAAATTATGCTTGTTTTGATGCGTCTTTTGCCGATTCACCTGGTTAATTTTCTTATCATTTAGTTTAAGAACCTTTTCACTAATATATTCATTCGTTCGAATATTCATTCGAATCCTTAGATTAGAAACTTGGCCATTGAATTTCCGAACATTTTGCTTTATCTACTGATGGTAATTTGATTTCAGGCTTTAGACCCAGTTTCAAATATTATAATATGTGGGTGTCATTAATCGGTGCCCTTCTTTGTATTAGCGTTATGTTTATTATTTCGTGGTCTACCGCGCTGTTGACATTTTTCTTTTTTGCGATGATATTTCTGTATATTCTGCATAGGAAGCCTGGTAAATTTCCAAATGATTAATTTGATAGTTTGAAGAATTTCTTGTTTAAAATACTCTGTTTCTGAGGCCAAATGAGTTTAAAATGCTAACGCATTGTTATGATTTTTTCTGCTCTTTTTTTGTCGGCGCCGTAGACATTGTGGAGAACGTTTTATGCAATGAATTCTTGAATGCAATTTTTTATTTATATGTTTCTAGACGTCAACTGGGGTTCTTCAACGCAAGCTCACAGTTACAAAAATGCATTACTTGCTGTTCAAAAATTGGCAAATACCGAAGAACATGTTAAAAATTATAGGCCACAGATTTTAGTTTTGACAGGAAATCCTGCAGCTCGTCCTTCTTTGGTTGATTTCGTTTATAATATAACCAGGGGCTCAAGTCTTATGATATGCGGCTATGTTATACCGGTGCGTTCCATCATATTGACATTATTATCAAATTTAAGCAATTTATCCGTTCCTTTTTTAAGAACCTTACCAATACTGGTTAAATTCGCTCTGCTGATTCGTCATATTAGGCAAATGCCAAGGATTCCATGGTGATGGAAGTAGAGCTACCAAGAGTTACTAGGAAAGTCACCAAAACCACCCGAATTTTTGGACAAGTTTACTCCTGCAGGGAGTAGAACCTGAGCATCGGCGCTCTAAATTGAGCAGCAAGTCACTGAGCCATTCTACCCCCTAATCTCATTTATCTGTTTACTCTTGAGCAAATCATTCCACTATTTATTCCTTCTAAATGCATTTGATATTGATAAGAAAAAAAAGGGAAATTAAAGGAATAAAAAAACTTCAAACTATTATAAAGGTTGCTTTTCCAGTAGATTTTTAAATAATTCATTCAGCTGTTTTCGCCTTTTTCCTTTCTTTTTTTTTGATGAGATATTTTAAAAAAATATGTTATTGTAATGAGTTGTTTTCAGTATTCTCCTTGTGGCCCTATTTTTGGACTTCTTCAAAAAATGGATCGTCAAATGAATGAATGGTTTAGGAAACGTCATGTGAAATCATTTTATGTCTCCGTCGCTAATCCGAGTTTGCGTGCTGGTGCTCAAAATTTGCTTCAAGTAAAGTTTCTCAATAATTTTTTGGTTTTTTAGGTAACAAATTTGATTAAGTTACAAGACATCTTTTCGATTTTGATAAATATCTGCAAATGTATATGCCTAAAATTGAATATATTTTTTCAGCTGGCTGGGCTTGGTAAACTAAGGCCTAATATTTTGATCGTTGGCTTCAAAGGAAATTGGTATATGCGAGGAAGAATTGGCCTTGATGAAATCAATGATTATTTTGGTGTCATCCAGTATGTCGTTAGTGAAAAAAATGCTTTTTTCTTTGAACTGTATCATTAATTTTTAGCATTATGGTTATATTTGTTTTTAGAGACGCCTTTGAAAGCAACATGGGTGTTGCAGTGTTTCGCAATGTTGGCTCGGGTCTTGATTATAGTGAGCTTATGAAACGACATAATGTCGGTGATACTGCTCGTTTGAATTTGCCTGAAGTTGGCCACTGTATGGAACAAAAGAGGTAAATCGCATTTTTCACTTTGGCGCTTCCCCACAGTCGTTTCATTTAAGATCTTCAGACTTATCTCACATTTTTTGTCAACAAAAACAATTTTTATTATTTAAAATCGCTTAAAACCGGTGGATTATTATTTATCAAAGGTTGAAGAAGTGAATTTATTAGTTTCAGATTTGTTTCTTTTATGTTTTGTTTTCAGCAGTACTGGTAGTACACCTTACATGGGATGCGAGAGCAATTCTCTTGCAAATATTGCGAAACAGGCTGAAGAGCGCGAAAAGAAGTAAATATTTTTCTATTTAAACCAAGATGAAGAGGCTATATTTCCATCCTGCTTCTCAGCATTTTTCTAAATCTTTTCATAAATCCTTTCTTTTCTTCGAAAAATTTTAATGTGCTTCTGTTAGAAAAGAAGGGGAATTCATAAGCTGATTTTTTCATTTGGAAGCGGAGAAATTCATTTAAAAACCATTTCTTTATTCAGTCGTTCGTTCGGTGACTTTTTCCGCATTATTTTGCCTGCAATTTTTTGTATGCCACTGAAATTGGCTTCAGTCATCGAAAAGATTTGTTTTAATTGCTCTGTTATTCTATTTTTCATTTAAATTCCATTGTTCTTATATGGTCAACGAGTCAAAGTGTCATTTAAAAGTGTCATTTTTTCTGTAATTTTTTGTTTGTTTTAAGATCCGATCAGAGCCCAACAAATGCAAATGTGGTGAAGGATCATCCAGAGGGTGTGAATTTTTTTCTTTTCAGCTTAATCTTTTTGTATTTGTCGATATATTTTGATACTTTTCATAATCTTTTATATGTTTTTTTATAATTTCATATATTAAAAAAGTACGAATTATAGATCTTTTTTTATCCAAAATTTCTCTCGATTCTTGGTTTTTATAAAAATAAGCCAGATAATCTCCTTGAAAAGGCAGAATTTTAGTGCGGCAGATATGCCGACATCTATCGGTCGAAACGTTGGTACAGCCTACAGCAAATACACTCGATGCTAAGGACTTAAAAAATTTTTGTGAAATGAACGAGGCTTTTTTGAAGCATAATATGCTAATCCGTATAGCGGGTAGGGTTGAACAGTTACACAAGTGGAATGCTTTATCCATTTCGGGTTATCGCTTGGTCATTGTGGGTTCTTTTCTAATTTCTCATTTCTCGAGAGCTGCGTACCTATTTAATTCACTAACTCTCTCATATTTCTGGCTATTTATATGATTATTATTTGATTCATTTTAGCTTTGATTTAATTCGTTTACTGGTTCCATTCCTTCAGCTTTTTTTAACATAGTTCCATCGCAGGCATTTAGCGATTGGGCTTCACAGAAATTTTTTTATTCTTTTATGCATGCATGCTATGTATTGCAGATAGTTAGATTGGTACTTTACCAGCACAGCAAATCATTTTTCTAATTTGCTTTTGGATATTCTCTTATCCTTATCATTCTTTACCATTATTATGTTTCAGCAATGAGCACTTTCTTAGCGAATTGTCCTCTGGAAAGTTTTGAGGATGACGATAGAATTGAACCAGCGAATGAAGGCGCAGAAGATAGTGATGAAGCTCAAGATGAGCTCGAAATGGCTGAAGATGAGGTAATTGAAATAAATCATCTCTTCACTTGCGTTTTTTTCAGTTTCACTTAGTTTCGCACTTAAAAGTGTGGACTTTTTATTTTTTATCATTTGTCTTTTCCTCTTGATATTGTATGTGTTAGCAAAATAGAGGATTTCGACGATATCATCTTTAAGGAAACTGCATTATGAAACGGTTAATGCCTGAAAATATCTTTAAAAATATTTTTAAAATAATAGCTGAGGTTTTTCCCTAATATTTCCCTTTTTTTAGATCCATTCTTTTATTTTTCGTTATTCATTTGGCTTTTGGTAATGTCGTTTGCCCAAAATAAATATTAATGCATAAATATATAAATATTAAATATTATTATTACTTTTTCAGGAAGATATTATTGAAGATATTGATGAAGAAACTCATCTTACAATAGATGTCGAAGTTGAACCGAAAGAAGCAAATATTACAGAGAAAGAATTTTCTGTTACTATAAACGAAAGTTCTTTGGTGAATTTTTGAGTTTTTTAGGGGAAAGGGACATTGATCGTATTATAAGAGGTCCAGCAACCCATAACTTATCCGATAGCTTTTGTTTTGTTTTCCGCATATAATGGAAAAACTTCGCCTAAAGTTGAAAAAAAGCACCATTTCTGGTTAAGTTAAGCCGCACTGATTGTTGGAAATTTTTTCCGAGGAAATCACTTAGCGACAAAAATAAAGATGAATCGCCAACACCACTCAGATTTTTTAACTAAAGATTTAGTCCTTTTAGAGTATGAGAAGCAACCATACCACTACTCCATCATGTGTATTTACAGTGGATAAAGTTGCCATTTAAAAATCGTCAATTTTTAAGATTGGCTTAATTTTCAGTCTCCCCAACGATCCCAAAGTTTTATTCGGCGACAGTCGCTCTACGACCAGCTTGGTATCATTAAACGGTAAATTTTTTTTTTGTTGGAGTTAATCCTAAAATTAAAAATTTGTAAGATAAAAACATAAAATTTTCTATGGAATAATTCGTTATAATCTACCATTTTTTATTATATCAATTCGTACATTAGTTCAGTGCATATTTCTATTATCAGTAAACATTATCCTTCTGCTTTATGTTAATAGATTCTTGTTTTTTATGTTTTTATTTCCTATATGAATTTTTATTCACAGCCGAACTAGAATAAGGAAAATAAGAAGACGACCAAACGCCGAAGGTGAAGGGTGTGTAAACTTCATTTTTTATATGTTTTATGTCCAATTGAGAATGCTCGAAGGTTGTCAGTTGCCGGTTGCATGTTATGTATTTATAAATTAGGATCACTGAACTTGTCTCACCTTTCAGCCTTTTATTTTAGACCAGTAGAAATTGAATGAGTGAATTCGATCATATTTTGGCCATTTTTCTGACTATAAGTTGCATATAAATTTGTGCATTTAATGCTTAAATTTATTTCTGCATTATTTTCAAAAGAAATTGCAAGCTGACTTTTAAGTAGATAGATGGTTCTTGTGATTATTTTCACTCCAGTTTTTTCTTGATTTTTCCCAACGAATTCCAGAAACTTTGGTGTAAAGCATGGATTTGTATAAATTTCGCATTATATAGTAAAGCTGGGCTGTCCGAAATTTCTGAGAACCAAAGTATTTAGTACCAAATTAAGCAAATTAATTTCTTGGTTATAGAAAGATTATTATTATCATTTATTATTAATTATAGCTCATTGATAGGCTAATGCCTCTTCTTTTATAATAAAACTAGTACGATATTCTTTCTATGACATTCTATAATGTAAGAATAGCTTTTTCCTTACTCAGATTTAGTACCAAATTAAATAAATTAATATTCTAGAAAACTATAGACAACTAGAAATTTTTAGTAGGTTATTATGCAATTTTCAGTCTTTGAGAAATTCAAGGTAACTGCGAACTAGAAGGATATATAAAAGACATTAAGTGATTTCGTAGTCAACAAGATTCATTCAGCATGATAATAATAAGCATGTAAATTATTTCCATATTTTGTTCTTATATGTGTCAGTCAACCAGATGTTTTTTATCGTGGTTGGATTGTTGTTGTTTTCAAAGCTAAGACGTGGAGTTCGTACTTATCTATTAATGACTGATCCAAGTGACAAACATATGAATTTCATACTTTTTTTCAGAGTTCGTCGTCCAACTGCTGCACAACGTGAATTGGTGGCTACGATAAGTCGATTTCAAAGGCGAATCAAAGGAGCAGTTATTGACGTTTGGTGGTTATATGATGATGGCGGTTTAACTTTGTTGATACCACATTTGCTAACGTTACCAAAGCGGTATCTTGAAGTGAGTGTACATTTAAAGCTTTATTTGCATCGGCCAAATTTCTTGCATGGAATTGTGAGTTTGACTCATTTCTTCCATTATGAATATTTCCACTGGTATACATACTGCACATGATTCAGGGGGCACACATGCGGGTATTCACAATTTCAACTTCCACAGTTACAATGGAGCAGGAGCAGAGAAACATGGCTGCGCTTCTCACGAAATTTCGAATTAATTTTTCTGATGTTTCCGTTATTCCAGACATCGGTAAGAAACCTGGCCTTCAAATGTTAGTCTTTGATATCAGTTATTCCCAGTTTTTTGGTTGTTTTCTTTCATTTTTTCCTTATTTCCAGGAGGAATTTTTTTAACTGGATATGAATAATTTTAAAGATTTGAAGGGAAAACATTAATCGAACAAATAATGATGTCAGGCTTTTTTTTTTAATATTACTATTATTAAAGCAAATGCAACGGCATATTTTTAAGACAGGAAGCTTTCAAAAAATTAATCGAACCATTTCGTGTGCCTGATGCTACTCTGATAGAAGGACTTATCACTGATTCTGAACTCAGCGCTCAAAAAGAAAAAACGAATAGGCAGTTAAGAGTAGCCGAACTATTGCATGAATTGTCGGAAAACGCAGATCTTATTGTTTTGTAAGTAGCCAAGATTCAATCATTTTAACGGGCTTTAATGCCTATTTTTAATATGGCCATAATTTATATTTATTTTACATTCTGTATCCTTTAGTTGTGTTGGAACTGTAGAAGCCTTATTCATTATAATTATAGAAGTTGGTTTCAGAACCCTTCCAGTACCAAGAAAACGTTTAATTAGCAGCTGTTTGTACATGGCTTGGTTGGATATTATGACGAGAGATTTACCTCCGACCCTTATGATTCGAGGCAATCAGACTTCTGTGCTCACATTTTATTCTTAAATATATTTAGATATTTTACATCCCTTGTTTTCAAAAAACAATCGCAAAAGGTTGTATTCATATCTGCGTTTTTTCAAGATTGTTCCTAATAATTTTGAGAGATATATTGGAAATATTATTTTTATATACGTCATTTGTTCGCTTGCAATTTGCATCACTCATCATTCACTTTTTCAAATTATATTTACTTGTATTTCCGAAACATTATGCGATACATTTTTGCTAATATAAAAAAGAAACATCAATGGCTGTTCGAAAAGTTTATTTCTTTCGACATAAATTAGAGATATGAACTTCAGGTTTTAAGGATAATGAAATTTATTTCTATAAAATTTTCGAATGGCCGAAATTTTCTATTCACACAGTTCATGGATGAATTGTCATTTTTACTTTTCATGTCTTTAGTATGCATAACTTTTCTTTGCAGCGGGAACTGTTTTTAATACTTTTTTCCGCAGATTTATTAAAATTCGAGGTAATGAATTTTGTTGTTTCGTACTGGGTACGTTTTTTACATGGCGTTTCGGTTATTGGATTCTAATTTGAAAGATTATAAATGAATGATTCGATCAGTATTGTTGAAATTAAAATTGTTGTTGAAATTGTTCTTGTAAACGATAGTCATGTTGTGTTTCTGCTAATCTGTTATTATAATTAATTTATAATTAATATTTATAATTAATATTTTTGATTTGTCATTCCCATGTACGTGGTATTTTTTGTGCCTTTTCAGCGAAATGAAAGTTTTTTCGAATGGGCTCAAAAGGTTTGCTTATTCAGGTAACATAAAGTAGCGGAAATAACTTGAACTACCAGGCAATTACTGCATAAGCGAGAAACCAATCCTTGTAAAAAAAAGCAGTAAAAGCAATTTTTTGCTCACTATTATTTGTTGCATAAAATTTGTTAATTAACATGGAAAAAACATTTTTTTCATTGGTTTCAACATTACTGACAGAGTCCATGGGGGACACATTACTTTAAAAATAAATCAGAACCAACCTCAACCTCAAGTTGCATAGAATTGAAATATCCATGTTCTGACGAGTCCTGGAGTCAGCCGTAAAAAAGCATTTAGTTTCAGTGCCTCTTTTATAACTTTTTATAACAAAATAAAGATGAAGCAGATTTTAATCGTAATGCACTGGAATTTCAGGTTAAATTTAAGAATAATCATTTTATTTGCTTTTGACTAATTTTGTCATCTGTCTCTCAATTTATTTGTTTTGTTGAAAGTATTCGTATAATATTAATAGATTAATCGGTCATCCCTTTCTTTTAACAAAGTGAAATGTTGGAAAATATGAAATGACGGTGCCTTCTGTGGATCTACCTAGTGACTCACACTTAAAGAATTAAAGAATTAAATGATTTTCAAAGGACTTCTGCGGTTGTGCATCTATGGTTGTACATCTAAATATGTGAGGACTTGTTAAGAGAGATCGAACTTTTCGAAAAACTATGATTTAAAGGCTATAGCTAAAAGCAAAGTCTGATTGTTGTAATTTACTTATTTCCAATGAATAAAAAGAAATTGTTGTAGTTTCTGTACTCTTAATTTAAGCAGAACGTTGATTTAGGATATTTTAATAATTTATCTCATTGCTTATTTGTTGGTTCTTAAAATTTACTAAGCTACTGGATGTACCAATTTTTAAACCAACTGCGATTAAAATTCGCTTGAAGCTTTTTCGTATTTTTCTTGCTATTTCCTGGAGATTTATGGCTGGATTGTGGCACTTCCAACGGGATGTTTTTTATTTCTTGTACGATCTTATTATGGCAGGAAATACACAATCCTCAAAGATGAAAATCATCTGAATTAGAGTGATTTCAATTAATTGAATGCTTCAAGATGACTGATGCAAGAAAAATTTCCATTTACTGCTCCTAATTTATAGCCAGTGCAACACATCTGCGTATGTGGATGAAAGCATGGCTGCCTGTTGCAGACTCTTTTCTCCGTTGTTGCTCTGAAACGATTGTTTATGAAGAATGTTGCTGAATGTTTTGAGTTGATTTAATAGAATTCGAAGTTAAAATTTTAAAAAAAGTTTTTTTCTTAGAAACAAAACAACCTTAAATTAGTATATATTAAATTATTTAATATGAGGTTTCACAAGATTTTGTCCTCAATTTTGCAAACTTCATTCAAATGTTTATAAGCAAATTAGTTGATTGTTGTCATCGGATGGATATGAACGTACTGCTGAACAAAATTAGATGACTGGTGTTTGTCTTAGCACATATTAATCAGTGCAGTGGTAATGGAAATAATAATGCTCGTTTAGGACGAGATTTAGGATTGTTTACCCCATGCAATTGCAAACGCTTGTCATATTTAAACATGTCCTTATACGTATTTGTTTACCGCAAGCTCCGCACAGTTTGGTGCAATGAGACCAGCCGCTCCACTGGCTCCAGTTTGTGTTCATGCACGACTTTTTTGTCTAAATAATAATTGAAATAATTCGCCGATTAGGCCGTAGATCCTTAAGTATCCATCAATACTCATCTGTTATACTTTGCTAATTTAAATATTACATTTAAGAGTTGTTTTCTGCGAACAATGCAGAACAATTTCGTATACTCAGCACCATCACTGGTTTCCCATTTCATGCCGCCATTGCATTCAAAATGCATTTTAACCGATCCAGTACCTTCCGCTAATTGAGTTCCATTTGAATCCATGATATTTACATCAAATTTTTGCTGAAATTAAAAGTTCAATATTGGATTTTTATGAAGCTTTTCTGAAATTTTAATAGTGTTAATTTTGATAATTTTGATTGAAATTTCGAATTGAAATTGTTTTCTTTCTGAAATTTTTGATTTCAATAAGAAATGAGCCCTACATTTTTGCACTACATTTAGATTATATAGAAACATAAGGTTTTAAACTAGGAGCATAACCTAGGTTTAAGAGAGCTAATTAAAGACGGTGAGGCGATGATAAAAGGCCAATACAAGAATAGGTAAGCCATTAGTTAGAGATGTCCACAGTTCATATGAAAAAAAATGATGAGATAAACACTGGTTCAACACTTGATAGAAACCAGGATAATTCAGCATGCGAGGGCGTTTTGGAAGAAATATTTAAAGATATCGGATATGGTCCCACTTGCTACACACCGATATTTTATTATGATCGCAGGCCAATTACTCGAAAGGTCAATTAATCGACTCAGTTCATGAGATTATCATGGAATTTAAAAATTTCGAAGGCGAAATTTTTGCTTTTAAATTCTTTTAATAAATGGGATATGCTTAATTAATTTGGTAAATGTCCATACCGTTTCAGGCTGCCTTTAGTATTTTTGTGCATATTTATTTATTGAAAAAACTAGTCAAGCAGGGCGATAAACGCCAAGTACTTGTGTTAATAACAACAGGTAAAATAACAAATAATAATAATTAATGATTAACAAATGAAAAAGAAAATATGACAAAAATTAAAAATTTAAAGGGGAAATAAAGAGGAAATTACAAAATAATATAATATAGTACAATTCGAAGTAACTGTACTATATATAAGCGGATATTAAAAATCGAGATTTTACACTTCCTGTATGATATGAACTTTTTAAACAATTTCATAAATGATATTATCCAATCTTTTTTTAAAGACAACTAAGGATAACGAACGCTATATCGTTCGGTAATTTATTTCAATAATTAACAGTACGAATAAAAAAATCCTTAATTTAGTTTTACACATAGGTTTTAGTAATTTAGTAATTTTAGCCCATTAGTTCTCGTTGGATTCAAATTTAGCCTAAAATTATAATATTTTAAACAATATAGTTTAAGGTAACCATACAGAATCTTATAAGTATAAATTAAATCTTGTTTAATACGACGAACTGACAAAGAATCCAGGTTATATTGTAGAAGTTTTATAATTAAAGTTGCAATTAAGAGAGAGGCGCCGAATAAAATATTTTTGGAATCCTTCAATTATTTTACTTGATTTACGATATCTCGGGGAATAACATGTAGTACTGTAGTCAAGAAGTGGCTGAACGAAAGTACATTTGTACATTTTGATAAGAAAACCTTCAGTTTTATTCTTAAACGAACGAAAAAATAAAATTTAGTGTCTTTGAGGATTTCTTTATCATAATTCTGCAGTGAAGGTCGAACTCGAGATTTTCATCCATGATTATTCCAAGATTGGAAATGTGTGAGATTCTTCTGATTATATTACCATTAATAAAAAGATTAGGAAAATCGAAACCTTTAGAATTAATATGAAGAATACTTTTGAAAAGAAAATGAAATTTGCCTGTCATATAGCCAGTTGGTTATTCTGTTGAGGTCCTCCTGTAGCGGAAATAGGTTTTTATGAATGGGAATTGTATATGAGACTATTTCTAAATTTTGGGATTAATGTCAGACTTTATAATATTGTCATAAATTAGAAATAGGGGGAAGGCTCAGAGAAACTGCACATTTTTTATAAATTAATTTTATTAAATTAAATTTTTTATAAATTTAATTTTTTTAATATTATCGGAACCAGCTGAAATCTATTTTCGTCTATTTAAGGTATCATGAACGGCCAGTAGCGTTATTTCAACCTCACAGAGAGAAGTGCAACAAATTCGATTTATGTTAAAACAAAAAATATGAGTATTATCGTTAACAAATACACTAGAAAAATATTGATCAAATACACTTTTTTTTACTTGGATTTTCTTTTAATATAAGTCCAGAAGGAATCTCTATTGACATTTAAAAGTTGCTCTTGTTTATTTGAAAAGTAATTATGAATGGCGTTACGGAAACTTTTTAAGCATTCTTTATATACAGAGAGGTCACATGGCAATTTGGTTAATTTGTATTTATTATAAAGTTTCTTGACACTCTTATAAAGGGATTTTAGAAAAATGGGAATAGTCTTAACGCTTTCTTCAAAGGGATATATTGCTCTATAAAATATGAAATGATGCTATTAAGAAAATTGACTTTTATTTTTTCATCACTAGAGGGGATTAGACAAAATAAGAAATCCAAGTTTATTTCTATTATACTGAATAATTATATTGAATAATTTAATAACGTCGTTTTTATCTTATCAGTAGAATAAACTATAATAAACTATTCTAAAAATGAAAACATAAAATGGGTAAGGTTTGAATGAAATGGATTTTAGGATTAAAAATCTGCATCAGAATGTTTTTAAACAAATTATTGTTTTTTCATTCGCATTTCATCAATAATAAATGATTTTTACAGAGAATATTTAAACATTTCTTCTCCGAATTCGTGTTTATTCTTAATCTTAACAATCTAAAATCGTAGCTCATAATTAATTCCTATGATACTTCTATTTCGCACCTTATTTTTTCAAGTATTTTTATGTGAACTCGAAGAGTCGATGCAAATAAAGTTTAAAGAAAAAGAAACTTAAAGAAAGTTTAAAGAAACTTCTGGCGAAGAGCAATTGAAATCCATAGTGAGACATGGGTTGTTTTCAATTATATGTTCAGTGACCACACCATCTTGTAATGCACTATCAGATGTTGACAATACCGTCATCTTCGCACACTTTGAACATGCTTCTGAAAACCATTGAGCATGGGTTTTGTGCGATGCGGAATTGTTTTTTAGCATTTTTTGAATGCCAAATTTACATGCATATAACCAGGCACAAAGCCTACGAAAATTTGTATCCATATTGAAATCATATGTTATGAACAAAATTGGCGAAAAAGAGGGTCTACTACATTTTTCAGATTATTTTTACCAGTGCAAAGATTAAGTATATCATTATATAAAAAGCCATTTCTTACAACCCACCTTCTTTCTCAATGCATGAAATACTGGAATATTTTTTCCCATTTGGCATTTCCCATTCACCATCCAAATTACAGGTAAAAGATGCAGTCAGAGAACCGATGCCATTAGATAATATCTCTTCTTTACTCACAATTTCTACGCGATTGTAAGGCTTAATTTTAAAAAAACTTATATCAATAATAGTCTCAAATAATTTTCAGTGTTATTATTATTTCTATTATTAATGTGTTATTATTAATATTATTAATTCCCTCACTATTAATATTATAATATTATTTACAATATTATTATTACATTATTTTTTTTATGTTGACATTATCATTGTTATTGTTATTTATTATTATTTTTATTAATTATTCTTTTCATTTATCATTTGCTAATATTATTGATGTTTGTAATAATTTTTATTAATTATTGTTATTTGTTGTTATTGATATTATTAATATCAATAACAAATAATAATAATTAATGGCAATAATAATCAATATATAACCAAAACAATTATCAGTAATAATAATTATTAATATTTGTTATTATTATCTTTAATTTATTATTACATAGTAATTATTATTATTAGCACTATTATTATTATTATTATTATTATTATTATTATTGTAATTATTATTATTAGCACTATTATTATTATTATTATTATTATTATTATTATTATTATTATTATTATTATAATATTACTGTTTTCTCATTATTGCTTTCATTCACATTTATTATCTTATAAAGCCTCAAACGAAATGTCTGAAATTGTAAAAACTCGTTGGCGAGATTAATTTACAATTTTCAAGCAATCATTTCAAGAATTTCAAAATTTGCTAAACATTATTGTTGGAAAACGATTCATAGAGCACAATTTAACCTGAGAAATTTAAGGAGAATCCAAGATCTAACTGCCAATAAATTTTTTCGATATTTGCAGCTGATTTTCAAATATTAACTATTTATCTCATCGAAATTTTTTTTAGGGATGCGAGATGCCTAGTTGATTTTTTTCCAGCTTCATATTATTAGGACAACTTCTTAACAGCGAGGCTTCACGAAAGTTTAGTAGCATTTTCGAATGAACTTTATTGGGCAAGCCATTGTTATAATATTTAAATAAATATTTTTTTCATAAAATATTATCTTACTAAGATGAAAATAGGACCTGATTAGCTGAACAGTTAACCACATATTCAAAACATCCATTGTTTATATACTGCTTTGAACTTGCCATACCATTCACAACATCAGCATCATCAGCAGGTAAAATGGGCATGGCCATACATTTCATGCAAAGATCTGAAGACTTTCACATTCTGCAGTTTTTATGTGGTGTAATTTCAGAAGAGTAATTTGTACAAGCAAATTGAAAATTTTTTATGAAACAAAGGAATATCCGAAAATTAAATTAAATAGACTTAAATAAAATAAAATTAAATAGACTTTTAATCAACAAAAAATGCTTATTTCATTTTGGATTTTGGATTCAATGGATTTATTTCTTAAACAAAGCTTAGAATCGAAATTCAATCTTACTTTTTTCGATTACACATGCGATTGCTCGATGTACGTCTCCGGTACTACTTTGCCACTGATTAAGATTATTACAAGTGAAAGAATTCACAGCCCAACCATTTCCTACAGCCAGTTCCTTATTGCTTGCACTGAGGATTTTGACCTTGTCATCTTTCTATAATATGTGGACCAATTATAAAATTTTTCAGCATCTGCACTCATTCTTCAGGCGATTTCTTCTATCAAAGAATAATGATATCCATATTCACAAGGTGCAAATCATTAACGTAATGTAATAGAATAGAAGATACATTATATAATGAATCCAATGTTACTTTATGACGCAACACAAATGCGGAAAAAAGTGGAGAGAAATCAGCAGAAAGAGACGGAGCAGTTTATCCTAGCCAAAAGAGAAGAGATGGGTAAGTGAGGATGATTCTACAATGATGTTTGCTACCTCACAGCCAATATCCACACCCCTAATAATTAGTTAAGATTCATACAGTTACAATTCAGAATAATTTATATCCACTTCGAGTTATAAAGATCAACTGCTAAGATGCCTACTGTTTAAAAAAAAACTTACAAGATGAGATGAGCAATTGACCATGACATTCTCACATTGATAATGACTACGATAATGCATAGATATCTGCCCATTCGATCGTGCATTTGCATCATTTAGAATCTCTAAATGGTGACAGCTTTTGCAATCACCTATAATTACAGAAATTGTAATATTTATAGTTTGAAATGCAATAAAATTTATTTGGTTAAATAGCATTTAAAAGCAAGAAATAGAAGCAGATTTTAGGATTGAGAAGACGAAGCATGATATATGAAAATACATATATATGAAAATATATGAAAATGCATGATATAGACCAGCTATAATAGGTTATCAGTTGAAAATGGTGGGCAGGGAAGCATGCCACATCATCATGCGAACTATATTAGAACAAGTCGTATTGTTAAAAGAATAACATGTTAATCTTAATGTTAATCTTCAACGATTATTGTGCATTCCAAAAAACATCGCAAAATCACAAGAATAAAAGTATAAGAAAGTAACAAATTACTTACTGTTTTCATCATTATCACCCGCATTATCCGTAATGATACGGATGGTATCCGTATCATTAGCAGCTTCCTTAGCACTGCCTTGTTTGCTAGTGCTTGCCATTTTCTCGACCTCCCCATATGTGCTGCCAACATTTTCATTATTCTTGTCATTTTCGTAGTTCATATTTAAATTAACATTGGCTGGCGCATTTTGGTTGCTGTTATTTAATTCACTATCGTCCGTTTCCTCGGTGTCATTGTCACTGCTATTTATTCCTATACCACCATAAATCATTATCTATAACATAACTAATAAAATAATATCATAAAAAGTAAGCTCATTAAAATTTGTAGCTAAAAACACTACTTAATCGCTTATTCGTAGGTAATGAATACATAGACGTAAAGTTGTTTGCAGTGTTAAGGATCCAAGATTGGTGTGAAAAAAACACAAAAAAAAATAGAGATTACTAATTTAGATAGACTAGTGCCACTAGACCGGATAGTTTACCCAGAGTGCATGAATTTCCTATGCCAGAGTTTGCGAGCGCGTAACAATTTTGTGTCACATCGCAAATCCGTATACGCCGTTCTTTCTAAAAGAACGACATAATCCTATCATAGTGACATTTATATGAATTCCTAATAAGAAACTTTTTCTGAACAAGCTAAACATTTTTGGAGAGGAGAGCACTTCAATTTCAATTTATTTAGCGATATATATTTAACAAATTTCTTGGGTCTGAGATGATCTTCGCATTAATGCAATGATATGAAACAAATTTATTGGGGAGTTGGGAAAACTTCATGGGTCTCACAGGAAAATTTCCCATTTGGATTAAAAGTGAGGGGTGACTAATGGATCCTTTTCGATTCAATTCTTTTCTTTTCATTTCTTTTCTTTTTGATCAAAATTAAAAGATATTATTGAAAACAAGCGAAGAAAAAACCAAAAAGAGCCAACAAGTTTTGGTAGGTTCAACTCAGATCGTTTCTAATTCTGGCAAGGAAAAGAATTTATTATGAAAAATTATTATGAAAAAAAGAAGAAAAATTATTATTTCGGAACTTCGCCATCTTTCGTCATCCTTTTGTGGGATTTTTGCCATTTCTCTATATCAGGTCTAAACATGATTCTAAATTGTTTCTAAATAGGAGACAGATTTCACAGTTGACTTATACAGGAATTATAAACTGCCGCTGGTTTTAGAGAGCAGCAAGGAGTATTAACTGTGTCATTTCTTACCAGAGTTGTGTATTATGTACCCGATAAAAATACTAGAATTGAAGAAAAAGAATCGAATTTATTGATAACTAACAGTTTCATTATTTATACATTAGCAGTTTCATTATTTTCATTATTTATACATGTGCCCTATTTTTTACGAACTTAATGTCATTATTGGTAAAGTAAACATGTTATATAATAGAACTTATTATTATATGAATTAACTTATTTCGATCTTTGATAATTGGGATGAACGAGTGGTATGTTGCTTTGAACTATAGTAGCTTCGATTTATTTTATGCGAAATAAGCCTGTCATTGAAATTAAATCCGGGAGGTGCTGAAAACCCATTTTATATCTATCGCCAAGTATTATCTGTGGAAACGCTATTATCCCATTAACCAGATGAACCAGGCCAGGATTGTTCAAAAAGAATTCTTACGTGTTGGCAAAACACTTATAATAATAATAGCGCTTAGAAGATTATATTAAGATTATATTAACAATATAGCAATATCATTAAAAATCTGATGGTTTGAGTAAAAAATGAAACAGTGAAACCGCTTTTTCCTCGGGTATGTGACACAAAAAAGATTGAAATAAGACGTGAAAGGTATTCTTTTGATAAAAAGTGTTTCATTTAGTTCTTAGTTTCAAAATAAGAACAATTTCAAATAAAATTTCAACCACTTAAAATCAAAAAAACATTAATTGATGGCAAGAAAAAAGGTCATACATCGCTCGTTTCGTTCGATATGATGAGATCTTCGAAAGGATAGATGCTGAAAAATTTTTCTACAATTACTATAAGTATGAATGGTAGAGTTCAACTCAAGCTGTAGAACAATAAAGAATTTCAGATGGCTATATCTATCATCGTCATCGTCATATTACTTGCTCATAGCTTTTCCTTATTGGGATATTGAATTCCTTTGCTGCTTTCAATGGTAGGCCCAAATATTTTTACTATGTTGGTCTATGATACCTAATTTAGCCACTATGCCGCGATTGAAATTCGAGTTCATAGGTCCTTTAAAAGGAGACTGGATGAGAACAGTCACCAAAGGAAGCGAAAATGATCAGCTATTGAAAAATGATAGCCATTTAGCTTTTGATAGACTAGATTAATAATGCAGTACGCCTTTCCCAAATACGTGAATTTAGGCAACAAATTAAGGAGTTAGTTATATTTTTTTCAACTAATCAAACGATTTTTCGATATTTGATTTTGCTAAGCAATAGGAATCTTGTGAATTTGAGCTATCTGGATCACCTCAAAAACCGCGGATGCATCTTGGAAACAATTTTCTATCGTACAGATTTATTTAAAATTTAAAGAAAATTGCCACAAATAGTCATCGCTCACTCACCTTTGATTTGATACCTCGATTTCGTTTATAAGTAGATTGGAATTATTTCTGAAAAAAAATTGGTGAAAAAGCAATTCGTTTCATGCTCTCGCACAATTGGTCGGAATGATAGGGTAATTGCAGATACTAATTTATCTACATTCATATCACTTATTTTTAAGAAATATCTAATAAAGCTTGTTGTTCTAAAGTTATAAGGAGTTATAATGCATATTGAATAAATTGGAACATTATTTCAGCAACTGCATACAAGATTGGATCTAATCCATTTTCGCTTGATTCTTTCTGATCTTTTTTCATTAAACAATGCAAGAAATTTGTTGTGAACACTAAAACAATTACGCCATTCCAGAAAAGTCTCATGAGAAGCGGTAGTTTCATTTTAAACAGCAATCCTGAAATTTAATTTTTAATTCAAATAACTTCAGATTTTCTTGAATACCACAAAATGAGGCAGTAGTCTAGGAATAAGGTAATCTCAAGTGACTTATCATAGATATCCAGCTTCCTTATAATGATATAGCCCATCATAAGCTATAACAGGATTTGCGCAGATGATAGAAGAATATTCCTAAAGCTTTTCATAGCATTGATATAAAAATAAGAAAAAGAAAAAAAATGTTGCAAGAACATAGCTTCTAATGACTCTCAAGAAAGAATGAAGTTAACAAATCTAATGGACTGGATTTGTAATTTAGACTACAGAAAAAGAAAAAGGAGAAAGCTTTTCAGTAATGGTGAACTCATTAACCAATAATTAAATGAAGGCTGAAAATCAATTTTCATTTTATACGTTTTAAAATTTGAACTCACGATGGCAACGGATCTTTGATCATAAATCCCGAAAATCTGAGCCTTTTTGTGTGGATTTTATTCCCAGTGAACTGAAAGCTAAAGAAAGAAATAATTTTGTAGTTTTCATGCATAATGGAAACTTTCCTTGGTTTATTTCGCATTCTTTGAACTTAAATTTTTAAATAATCTTAAAAAATTTTTCAAAATTATACTTATTGTTCTTTCTTTCACAAATTTTCAGCTCATTATTTAATAGTCTGCAAGTTTGTACTAATTTTAGAACCAAATTTGCTTCCTTAATAATTTTTCATTTAAGTCAGGCAAGGTTAAGAAGTAAACGATTTCAAACAAGTAAGTAATTTTAAACAATGATTACAATGTTTTTTCTCGTCATGAGGAAATTTGTGCTTGAATGCATCACTGTCATCAAGGCATCCAGTTTGTGATGTCGAAAATACTCCATTTAATAAAAATATATTTTGTGAAACATACGAAGGGTGGACAAAGGACCGGCATCCTCATTAACTAAGAAATTAAACTAGAAGCTCTACGCTTCAAAATGGAAAAAAAGAAGCTGCTCTCTCAAATGGAGATCAATCAACTCTCACTATAGTTCCCAGACCTAAAATAATCTGAAACAAAAAGAAAGGGAATGCATGCAAGTTTATAAGCTGGAATTTACATACCAACATTCCCAATGCAAAACAGAGCGGTTGAAATGAAGCAAAAAAATCATGGATAAACTGATTATATTTAACCATCGAGACCGACTATCAAAGCTTAGTGAAGTACCACCAGATAATATGATGCGATGAGAATAGAGTGCTTGCGACGATTTCTGATGCCACTACAATAGAAACTAATGAATTATGCACATCATAGCTGTTGTGATTCGGGAAATTCTTGGATATAGGATCAAGAAGAATTGCAATGAATGTTGCTGCTAAAAAATGAGGCTGTAGAACATGCTGTAGAAGATGAGGGTACAGCATAGAGGAGTCAATCAAGTCGCCAGGCTAAAGAGATATAATAGAGAAGCAGAGGCTACAATGCCTTGTTCTCCAAAAAATCAACCAAGAAGTAACCCAAGAAGAAACAACCAATGCAAAATGGCTGCAAGATTTGAGAATAAGTCATAACAATTTCCTAGAGCAGGTAACCAGTTATCATCAGCTATATTTATGAAGACTGGCAACATACATTAATCTGTTCTTTGTGGAAGGCACTTACCCATGTTAGTCAAAACTCAAGTAAAAGAGTTGATATTGATCATGGAAGACTTTCGCGACCAATATCTTGTCTCCGCACATCGTGGAAATAAGGGCACAGCCATTAAGCTTCAAGACTACATGAGCCATGAGTATAGTTTAAAAGGGCATTGGGAAGAACATTATAGTCACTTAAAACATTCAGAAATAGTTGCTGCTTATAGCTGTCACTTATGACTAAAAATCTCGGCAGATCAAACAGCCTAGATTGACTATAGGTATACTACGACTCCTACATGGATTCACAAATGTCTCTAGCTCTATATAAAGTCAACATAATCCCAAAACTCTTCTCGAGAACTCAATGGTACTGTGGAAAATGACAATTAAAATTAACGCAAAACAGCTTTCACAAGTACTATCAAGTGCAGTATGTATCGAGGTGATTTATTATCCTGCCACTGTTCTGCATAGACTAAGCAACACACATCCAACATATAGTGGCAGAATCTAAATACAAACGGGAACAACATACACTGAAAGGCATAATTAGATAGCTGGCATTGCCTAAAGGAATATCTGCTCATTATATGTTTTAGATCCTCCCAAGACCGGATAGGAAACCGAGAAAATCGTGGAGAATAACAAGGCTAAGATTCTATAATAAGGACTTTATAACCCAGACAAACAGGCTTGTACTGGTCGATCAGCCAGATACCGCGATAATATTGTTACAGAAATCTGTAATAATCAATATAGCAATAAAAAATGATAGGAATATCGGGAGAATAAATGTGAAGAAAGAATTAGAAGAAGTGAATTAGAATTAGAGGAAATGCAGAAAATTCAAAATCAAAATGGTGGTAGAAGCACTTGACTTTTAATCTGGAAAAGTGACTCCAACAGATTCTAAGAACAACATCAGAAATTTTTATCTAGAAGCGCACACTGCTGGGAATAGTTAAGATAGCGTGCAGAACCTTCAAGTTTCCAGGCCTCCGATAGAAGACTCGAAATTTAGAATGATCCCCTCACCACTCAAAGGGATGAGAAGGGATTTTTTTTAATATTTAGATTCATCAACGAATGAGCCAATTGCTATAAGGATTTTATTCAGCTGTATAAAATTAAGATAATCCAATATCACTGATATCACTAGAATATAACTGAGCAGCTACTTATTTATTTACTTCAACACATGCAAAAACTCCAGCTTCTGCTCCCAGTACATATCCACTGCAACACATTTGACTTGGGTGAAGACACGGTTGCTTATTGCAGACTTTTGTTTCTGTGCCTTGCCTGTAAAGAATCGCTAAGAATAAGTGCTGAATAACTTTAAACTATTTTTTCATTAAAAAATGAAATTTTATTTTATTCTATTGGTTCTATTGGTCGATATAATTATTGGCACCATTTTTTATTATTTAACTAAACTGTTGGTAATTTCTTTAATTAGCTAAAATTTAATTTTGATGATCTCATTATAAATAAAAGATGCGATCATGCATAAGAATGTAGTAAGCAGTCACCTAATAGTAATGGAATCAATTGAATCCAAAATGGTAAATAATCAATTTGTTCTCCATTATTTGAAAATTTGAAAAAAATAAACAATATTTGTAAAATAAAAGAAATATTGAAATTATCGCACCCAACGCAACTGCATTTGATTGATTCATTCCGGCACGTTCTTGAGCGGCTCATTCTCCCACAAGACCCGCAGAATTTGCTGCAACGTGACCAGTTGCTCCACTCATTCCACATTGTTTGTGCGCACGGGTCTGGAATCTAAACATTGTCGTGAAAAAACTTTTTAAAATCTGGTACAAAATTTGCGTTTAATCAATCTAATAGTAATCATGAAATAAAAATTCGAGATTACTGTCGAAATGAGGTTGTTTTTAGATATTCGATGGATTTTATTTATCTCGATTGTCCACAGGCACTCATTAGCTTGATAAGATATGTAATTAATATGATTTTTAGCTGACACCTATATTCATCATCAATATAAAGAGCTACATTTAGGTGAGTGCATTCATAAATGCTTAGCAATTGTTGGTGCATTCTCAAAAAGGATTATTGAACCATTTCACCGCAATATAACGGATGTAGATTAAGAAAGACAACTTCGAACTTAGTTTCAATCACCTTATAATACACCTCTAATAAATAGATAAAATTTTTATTTATATTCTTGTGGCCTTCACAAAAATAAAAAATTTGGCATTCACCTCCAAAAGTCGTGCCCATCACTAGCTTAAAATCGAATGTTGCTCTGAAAAATCTTATCAAAACTGACTTGAGCAGCGCATGCTAATCCCGTTTGCTCAGCACCATCACTACTTTGCCACATAGCATTATTGTTGCACACAAAACCGATGACAGCCGTACCAACTCCGGCTGCTAGCAGTTGTTTATTCGAATTCATTATAACGACATTACTTGATGACTAAAAGTAGATGATGTTTTAATCGAGAATGTTTTATAAATGTCTTCCAATTTTCAAACAATAACATTTTTGTTATAAATAAAAATCATTCAATGCGATTTTGTGGAATAAAATCTTGTAATCCAATCACTATATTAAGCTTCGTCAATCCTTTCATATAAATATTTTAAAAAATAATTCTTGAGTTGATTTTTTCACTCATATTATCATTATTTTTAAGAGTCCTCACCATTACTGAGTTAAACTCGCTCCACTGGCTTGTCGCATTAGGCAATATGCCAGGGAGTCCCTTGGCGATAGAAATATAGGTGAGTCGCTAGCACTACCCGGATTTTTGTACAGGTTTACTCCTGCGGGGGACCGAACCTCAGCATCAGCGCTCCCTATCGAGGAAACAACCCACTGAACCATCCTATCCCATATCAGCATCATCGTTAGCATTAGCATTATTATCATTATTTCATCATTGTTATTTTATTATCATTAATTATTTATTATTATTATCCGTTATTATTTAATTCTTTCTAAATTAGCCATCTTTTCATCGTAGTTACATGAATGAATGAATGAATGCCAAGCTGCATGCGATTATTACAACCTCTGCCTTTAAAAAATAAAAACATTTAGCAAAAAACATAAAAATGGAGCCGTTCGCGGTTTCACCATTATGAACTTTGACATGCATGGCTTAGCCTTTATGATAAGCATTTGGCCGCCGACAGAATCAATCGGAGACGTGATATGTGTATAAGTTCTAGGCCTAAAAAATAAGCCTAGGCTATACTCATTCGTTGTGAAAAAAATGCTCTCTTTCGTTGAAAATTTGCGATAAATGGAACTTAATGTAATGGTATTCACCTAATAAACGTCTCGATCCATATAATCTTAAGTCATATAATCATATCAATTATTATGTGGAGCAAGCAAAAGCTTTTCTAAATATCTTAACAGACATATGCGTTAGGTGCTATCAAGATGCTATAATTAACTATTCATGGATTCAGTTAATCATCGAATGTTCACAAAATCTGCTGAACAAGTGGCAGTAAGAGATTGACACGATTCTGCTGTACTATAGCGTATCGTAAAACGTCCATTGCATAGTGTTTGATTATTCACAAATAAAACTGGTATTTGGCGACAAATTTCGCACTGAACTGCAATAATACTACTTTTAAAACAATCTAATAATATCTATATAAATCTATATCTATATAAGTCAATTCTTCCTAGAATCCCTAAGATATTTAGTCTTTTAAGTGATTACTGAATTGGTTCATAGTTTTATCTACTAATCGTTGAGAAAGACGACGCAAATACCACTCAAGACAATTAAAATACAATGAAAGAAACAGATCGAGGTAAAGACAGATGGCTAACAATGCACTGTCACATATAGGGCAGCTTAGTTATTTCCCATGCTTGAAATTGGTGATATAGCTGCTCGCGAAATTTTCATTGTACTAAAACAGACGCGCTCACATTACCGTATGAATAGAAGTGATAAGTATCATTAAAAAAGAGCTCTAAAAAGTAAATATAAAGTAAATGATGTGCAAATAATTTACCGCCATTTGTTGCTTCCCTGCTATTTCGATTGGTGTTTTCCATCACCATCTGGAAAATCTGAACATTAATAAGAAAGTACCGCGGAAAGATAATAAATGTGATTTTATTAAAATGGAAGATAACCATTTTCAGTTTTTTTATCCTCTCCAAACTGAATTTTACCTAAAGATTAACATTAAAATAGCAATAAATTTTAACGCTGTGAAATGGGTGTTGAAATGCTTTAGTTGCAAAAATTCTCTACTGACTTGTTTTCAATTCCCTGTAAAAACTTGTATAAAAATGGTTTTGTTATTGTCCTAGCAATTCTATTTGTCAATGATGTGTCCTTTATAACATTTCAGGCATTTCATTAGCTTTGCAAGCAACCCGCATCATATAAGTAAAAAACACCAACAAATTTAATTGTACTAAGCATAGAAAATTGTCTTTAGGCTCACTTCATGAATAAAGCCAGAAAATAACTTTATCAAGTTTGGCAACATATCACCAATTTATTAATATTTATGCAAGAATAGCTCTTCCACAGACGAGCTGAATTTTAAACTTTGCCATACTCCTTGAAAAACTCGTTTTGGTTAAACTCGCTCCAATGGCTTGTCACACTGGGCCATGGGGGCTCTTGGGATAGAAATACAGGTGAGCCGCCTGCATTATCCTGATTTCTGGACAGGTTTATTCCTATGGGGAATAGAACCTCAGTATCGGCAGTATGAATTGAGGTTTTTTGCGATTTAACTATTCTCATAAATCCTCATAAACACTCTTCTGTTCCGTTATATTCCTTCAGTATTCTCACTCACCATCATGCAAATCTATTTATATAATTTGTAATTGGAGCCGTAGTAAGAGTGCATCGCGAGATTTGATGACCTTTAAGATAACAAGAGTAGCTAGCGCTGCTTATGGCCTATAACTGAGCATGAGGGGATGTGTTAAGTGCTCAAAAATTACATTACTTATAAACTTCTGAAAAAGTCTTTGGAATGCCAAGAAAATATTTAAATGAGACCGGAGAGAATTTTCACAGTATACCAAAGACTGCAATGAATCGCAACAGATCAATATTTCATAAATAATGACATTCGGTTACAGTGTTCATGTACCAGTTTTTGGCACATAGCGAAGCTTGACGTAGTTAATTTGGTATATAAAAATTGAAGGAAATACTGCCTATTTTTTTGTCAAAAGAATATTACAATATAAGGTAAGCAATATGATAGGGTGTTAAGAAAAATTTAGAACCTAGGAGCAGGGAGGATAAGAATAGGTTCTGAGTGCATTGTAAAAAGATTATAAGAGATTGTCCAAAGGTTATTATAGTACAGGGTCTTTGCTCTTGAAATGGACGTACAACTAAATTACAGATTACGACCCTATAACATAGCGGTGAGAGATGTTTCTGAATGGAGATTTCAATAACTTCTAAAAAATTTCTCATATATGTAAGTTTTTTTCGATTTAACTCACAAATCTCAAATCTTTTGTTCAGCCTTTTTTGATGGAAATTTCTGGATGAAAATGATTAAAAAATAGTTACCTTTGCTTGGAAAAATGAGTTTGAGCAGATCTTTGTTTGAATATAATCGCCACTGAAAGTGAAAGTGTATGTTGGAATTAAATAGCAAATTAGCAAAAATAAGCAAAACTCGAATTCTGATAGAACTGGTTAGCAAATGCTTGACAAGCTAGCTAAATTATAAATATAATAAGATGCTCTATTCACAAAACTCTTCCTTTTCCCCTTCGAAATTTTCTATAGATAAAATACAAAGCTGTGAAGTAATCATAAAGTAATCACAGGGTAATTCTTTTTACCTGCAAGTGACTGATTCGAATGCTGTGTAGTTTAGAGCAGAATTCAGACATTTTCTGAAAAAAAGAATCGATAAATGATGGAGGAAATACATCGGATGCTCAGTTTTGAATGCAAAACATAACAAATACAAGCTTGCCTTGCTTGCATACTTATACGATAAAGTGTTTGATTTTATAACCACTTAATTCTTCAATGGTTAGCGGAACAAGCCAATTCCTTAATGGTTAGCAGTATCGTTTCTATTTAGAGTCGCTCGTCTGTCTACTACGATGGGATACTTTCGCCAGAGACCCACTTGCGAATAGGAGTGCAGTTTGGTTTTCCGCATTATTTTGATTTTTTTGTGACGCATTGATTGTTCCGAGTAGTAACCGAGCCATATTACTTGAAATGTGAATCTAAGCAGTACACCACTTAATAAATGGCTGTTATGTAAGGCATTTGTAATAAATTGCAAATAACTTTAAATATTGCCATTAATTCTACTCTAATTTTTTTGTTCATATTTATCGAACCTTGATCGATGCGTTGTGAAGGATAAGGTGGAATTCAATCCACATTGGCTCCAGGGTCCCCAATCCCCCCAGCTCCCTTCTCTTGCATATCCTTCTGAGATACTTGTTGCAAGAAGTATAACAAAAACAATCGGAAACATCGATAACAACCTCTATGAAAGCAATGGCGATTGTAAATTCTGGCTCGAAGTGCCTGAAATATCTTTAAAAATTAATATCAAGATATTCAAGATTCATAAGTTCCTGTGAGTTAGTTTTACTGTAAAAAATCAGTAAAAGATTTTTATAGCTCTACTGAACCGACTCATTTTATACATCCAGAAAATGCACAAATATTCCACCAATCTAATTCAATTATTACTGCTATCTTTTCCTATAATAAGTACTAATATTAAACCATTCAAGTTACATCAAAGTGAGGGGTGAACATGTGACATTAAATGCCTGTCCAGCACTCCTAATTTCGCAGATCCATAGTTCTCTATGAAATAATGGTTTCATAATCCTAATTAGCTATAAAATTAAAAGAATTATTACTGACAATAGAAAAAATAATTATATAAGAAACGAAAAATATGTTTGCCAACAATGACGATTCAGTAACAACCATCAGTATCAAAATGAGTGAAACTATTTCTGATCAATTTTCTCACATAGAAACTTAGAATGCGCAATTTTTTTCGTTCAAGCTCACGATGGCAACGAAACTGACTTTTTTTTCATTTTTACAGTAGTGTTTACTACAATTACATCGATCTTTTTTAACGCTACCATATTTTCAGCATTCGCATTTTTTGAGTGTTGACCCCTTCTGATTAAGTTAATTCTGCCAATTGGCAGAGTTAAAAATTTTTGCCGAGAGGTCACCCGACAGTAAAAGTAAAAGTGAATCTTCAAAATCAGCCGGATTTTCTAATCTATCAAAGGAGGCCAGCTAAAACCGTCAATAATATGAGTCTCTCTCTCTATTATTTTCTCCTATATAGATAAATATAGAATCAATGTCATGAAAAAACTTTGCGCTTTTTCTTCTTTTTGCATTCGACCTTATACAAGGTTATCTTGCAGAATTTTTTTCCGGCTATTAAAAGACAAACCCTGGAAGCTTTAGAGATTTACACTTGCATGTCTACCTTTGAATAATTCTATAGAGCAAAATTTTCTCTGGTTAATTGTGCGAGAAATACTAGATGATTTTAAGAAAGGTGGAAGAAAAATTGAACATTTCATCGATCTATTTAATATTGTGCATTATGTATCTATCAAATCCTTATTTTATGTTAGTTAATTATAATCTCGAAGTTATGAAAATGACTTTTAAATGCTATTTTGTGATGCCAACGACAATAGTATCAGGTTGGTTTGATAACAAATTGTAATCTGATAGCTCATGCCATATATAGAAGGAGTTCAAGATGGCTACATGCAAATTTGCAATTTGACTGAAGTTTTCAGAAAGCAAAATTTTATTATAGTCTTAACAGTTCTTTAAGGATCAAATATAAAAGCATAAAAAGCGTAGTGTGAAATGGAACGCATAGCAATAAATGACCACAATCCAAATGCGAATTTCTACTTGATTTTGGGAAACTAATATATCAATGATTGTATCTTAAGCAATAATATGAATATGGACATTAGATCACTTATTTTAAAACTTCATTTATATTTTTCATCGAGCTTTCCAGCCAAAAATGAATTGCAATTACAATTACTTGTTTCGACACTTTTTCGGTATATTATATAAGCGAACTAATTCAGTGATGATTTCTCGCTTTCTCTAATGCATGCGAAAAGCCCACCTAGAGATCCCAAAGAATATCCACTGCAACACATTTGTGAATGGGGATGAAGACATGGTTGCCTATTACAAACTTGAGTCTCCACTTTTGCTCTGAAATTCGTTTTATCTAAGGTCTCCATCATTATGAGCTATTACCGCCGACTCGAGGAAAACTAGAAAAAAACGACGAAAGAGATGATTTTTGGTAAAATAAGAAAACTTGCAAGTATATAGCAATGATTTTAATGATTATTTGATCAAATTAGCAAATTTAATGGAAATTATATCAAAGCTTATAATGAAAACCGAAATTTCTTACTTATTTTTCAAATAATAATTCAAATAATAATACAGATTTTTATCCGTATTTTTCAACGCATTTCAGTAAATAGTTGAAAAGAAATATTGTAAATGGAAGACTATACCCGACACAGCTACAGTTACTTGTCTTATTCAGACACTTTCTCGATCGACTCCATTTACCGCAAGCGCCACACAACTTGGTACAATGAGACCACCCCTTCCAGTCGCTCCATCTTGTATCGCTACATGATTCCTGAGTCTGAACATTGCTGCTACAATTTTCTATTAATAACATTTCAATATTTCGTTGCAGCCGTTCTTATTACTACAACTTATTTTTTATATAACCTATACCTATATAACTTAAAATGAAAGTTTTCAGGATGAATAATGAAAAATCTATGCAAAGAACAGTGTCCTTGGACCTTGAATATGCTGGTGATGCTATCCGTTTCGTTGATAGTTGTGACGAACTATAACAAGCAATGAATCGATAAAATTGAAAACAAGCCTTAAGATTAATGTAAGACGAAATTTTTTTCATCTTATGTACCAGACGCTGATGATAATGCCAGGGTCAAGATTTGTGATGGATTTTAAAAATCTCGCGTTCAGCCTCAGCCTTACGTATGGGTGTAATCTCAGTTAAAATAGGTGCAATTAAAGTGCTCCTTTTTTTTCGTCTGGAGAGGTTTCCATGGAATCTCAAAACGAATGTGCGTATCTACTTGTAAGATGCATAGCCTTAATATATAGTAGCCAAGGGAAGTGGACGATATCAGGAAGTCGGTTTTTGATTTCTTGCCTAAATTACGTTAAGTTGACAAGCAGACTCATGATCACATCCAATTTTCCTCGAATATCATTTGCATCAACAAATGATATCTGCAAACCTGCCGTTTTAGCTATTTAGACATGCTCTTTGCTTGTTTTTTTTAATTGTCCATTACAGAGACGCACTCTCACCTGCTTGCTGAGCACTGTAATGGATGGCATCAAAACTAAGAAGGCCAATAAAGACTGATACAATCAAGGGAGATTTTGAAAGCATAGATAGCGCAGCGATATACGAGATAGTGGAAAAAAGAATGACTCCATTTATTGTTAAACACGGCATCGGATAGAACACCTTTGGAATTTCTTATTTTATTCGCCAAAGAAGCAATAAATGATACGATGATACGAGCTGTTAGAAGAAGAAGAAGACGAAGAAGACCAACGAAAAATGTGCAAATTACCTGGTTAGTGACAACACCAGCCATCACTTCAGGAATGCGAACGATGCAGAATAGCTTGGTATATTCAGCGCCATCACTGGCTTGCCATTTTCCATTACCAGTGCATTTGAATGGCAATTCAATATTTCCTATTCCTTTCGCTAAGGATACGTGTTCCGAATTCATTATGATGACATTAGCTGTCGGCTGGAAGTGGTCTGAATTTAGGTTAAATTTTTTCTTTTCAGATATCTTAGTTCAGCGGAAGTTTTCTGCTTGCAACATCTAATACGACATTTCATAAAAATATAGGAACCTCTAATGATGAACATCTGAAGTCCATGGTAGGGCATGGTTTAGTGTCTCTTACGAACTGAAAAACAATGCCGTTACGCGAAACAGGATCTGTTATTTGCAAAATTTCCAATTTAGAGCAATGACCGCATGAAACTTCGGCAGTTAAATCTTCTGCGGAAAATCCTGTGAATATAGGATAAGATATTTGATATTAAAAAGATGATCAGTTCTATCTTAACAACAAATTTTCAAAAAGGCCTATTATTGCGAATTCAGTGCCGAAAAGTTTGATAGATAATAGAGAAATGGCAACTTGATTTCGATGAGAAAAAAATTGGTCAAAAATAAAGGCTCGATTTACTTTTTTAAGCATTTCCGTGGAAAATTATTTGTTGACCTTTCGCATTTGTATATTTTGTAGTTTCAGCAAAAGCTCAACGCCTATGAGCTTCTATTACAACAACAGAAATATTTGCAACTGAAATAATTTTCATGCAAATTACTATTACTTTTTTCATCATTTTGTTCTTGAATGCATGAAACGCCAGAATATTTCTTTCGATTCACAGCTTCCCATTCACCATTGTTATTGCAAGCAAATGTTGCATCTACAGATCCTTTACCAGAATATATCGTCTCCTCGTTGCTCAGAACTTTCACAGCACTAGATTGCTGAATTTTTCCAATAAACTTAAACCTTTTTTGGTACTTATTGATATTTCTAAAAATTTCTCATCACTTGTGAGTTGTATGGATTTTTCTCATCCTTAGGTCTTCTATCAGAAGCCTAGGAACTTGAGGTTCTTGAACAATGTCTTAGCTGCTCTTAGTGCACTCTGCTAAATAGAGATCTCTGCTGTATCCCTGGAATTTGCTGGAGCCGCTTTTCTAGATTGAAAATCATAGCCCCTAGTGCTTCTGGGCCTAACATATACTGCACCGATATTCCTGTAGGCAATGCCACCTATGCTATTTGGTTATGCTACTCGGATATTGACGATATTCTGCAATTAGATCCATTCAACCTGAGATGTTAAATTCATCCAAGCAATTTCGCAAATATAACTTCTAGAAAAACAATTGTTATCAAAAAAATATAAAATGCTTGTACCTGATCAGCTGAACAAGTAATTACAATAACAACACATTGATTGATTAAATACTGCGCTGAAGTTATTGTACCATTCATTTTGTTACTTAAATTTGCAGGCAAAATTAACATTGGCTTGCATCGCCTGCAAGAGCCTGAAATTGGAGCTTTTTGCTGTGATCTTTTATTAAATATTAAATAATATCTTTTATCCAAAATATTTTAATGAAAGACCAGGCAACTCAAGCATGACCAGTATGACAGATTATGGGAATTTAACATGAAATCGGCGAATTATTATCGTCTTTTATGATAAACGTAAAAGTGATGGAGAAAGCATCCTATCTTGTTCAGCAGCACATGCGATTGCTTGATGCACTTCACCAACTTCACTTTGCCATTGGTTAAGATAATTGCAGACGAAAGTCATTGTAACCATTCCATTCCCTACTGCTAATTGGTTCCCATTAGCACTGATGATTTCGACCATATCGATTTGCTTAAAAATCTCGAGACTTATAGTGATCGGTCAAATTTATTAGATATTTCAATTAAATGAGGTCGAAAAATCATCTCGATTTCACAAGAACGTTACTCTCAAATATTTCTTTATAAGTATGGTAGGCCTAACAATTTTTTGCTATCGATTTTCGTTTGAATATTAGAATATAGGAATATATAAAATGAATATAGGTATATATTTTTTAAATATTTGTCTCGTAAATCATTACGAAATAATCTGCTCCTACATCTAATGACCAGCGTCAAAATAAACATTTACTAGATCAGAAGAACAAGTAATGGTAAGGGCTTGACAGTCGTTCTTTACACCATATCGTTTCGCAATGTGCCCATTAGATAACGTTTTATTATTCACAAGTAGAATTGTCAGTTGATGACAAGCCTTACAGGAATTCACTGGAATAATAATTAGTTATCACATAAACAATGATGAAATCAAATATTAAAATATATGGTCAGACGATAAACATCCGATTAAAGAAATGAGAAATCAAAAATTCTGCTCGATTTTAAAATTTGTAACTATAAATCTTGTAGCCAAAATTGTTTGAAATCCTTTATTTTTGATTATCATTTGATTATTCTCAGCAACCTGGGCTTCATTTTTAATGGCAGTTTAATCCTATCAAGATGTGCGAAATCCTATTGATCCTATGATGCATCTATCTATAATTTTAGCCTTTCTTATTTGAAAATGTGACTAAACTATGCCTTAAAAATCTTGGCGAATGCTGAAATATATTGCTATTTCTTATTAAAACTATATTGTAAAAGGATAAAAAGATGATTTTTAATTCCAATTCTTAGGAAGTGATTTTTTATTTTTATGCAAATTTTTTACGGTGGTTTTTCAACCAGTGTATGGTGCATTTTATGTCCACATGCATTGCTTTTTTTCTAAGCGTTTCTGGTTGGACTTGCTCCGCTCGCTTATCGAACGAGATAAATTTCGCCAGGGAATCACTTGGCGATAGAAGTGTAGGTGAATGGACAGCATCACTCGGATTTTTTGAAGGACATATTTACTCTTGTAGAGAGTAGAACCATAAAGCAGAAGCCTGCTGCCATTATACTTCCCCTTCCATATGCATTGCTTATTGACTGAAGAAGCTATAAATACTATGCCAGCTTGGCTAAGAATTATATTCGAACAAATTTACTGGTCGAGTTCAAGAGAAAATAATATATAACTTACCATTGTTTATTAAATTTTCGCTATTTATATCTATCGTTGACACCTAAAACACCAATTAGGTTGCAATGAATCAAAAATATGAACTTTCTTCCTTAACCAATCATTAATTATATCATGAAATGAAGAATAAGCAGTTTAAATTAAATTTAAAGGAAATATAATGACAAATTATTTGCTCAAAATAGTAAGTTTTCGTGAGAAATATGATAGTTAGGCTTAGTGAATTCGATTTTATTGCTTATGAGATTCCTATGGCAAAAATACTTAAAGAACTCAAGCTAAGTGAAGTTTATTATGGATATCGCAATCAAAAAAAAGAATAATAGTAGAAATTTCTATTGATAAAACGAGTGGCAATTTTTGAAAATGTCTGGAATGTTGCACATCGAAAGATTGAAACATTCGGTCGAACGATTTAAATTAAATTATTGCCCATTTTATTGATACATGATTGAACTTCATCAAAAAAACTATCTGTTCGGCACTGGCAAGAAAAACTAAAGAAATTTAGGAAAAAATAAAGAAAAAGTAAAAGTAAAAGTAAAAGAAAAAGTAAAATCATTTTCTTTGTTCTTCAGCTAATATAACCATTAATTCGCTCTAGGCTTTAGGCTTTTAGGTTTTAGGCTTTTTAATAAAGAAAACTGAAAAATCATATACAGCGTCCATTTGAATAGCCATTGCGCACGGTTTGGTTTCGGAAGAATCACCGCTGAAAAAATATTTAGGGCAGCTATTTCTAAAATTTACTTAGGTAAGTTAACAGGATTCCTTAGGTTCTCTTAGGAAAACTTTTCTAAAATTAGCTAGAAGTTCTAAAAAATTTAAAAATTTAAAAAATTTAAAAATTCTTAAAATGGCAATAATCAATATTTTTTTCCTTACCTGCAACCTGTTGTACTATTCGTGACACACTGCCCCGCATGATTTAAACAAAATCTGAAATGAAAATTATGCTGAATAATGAACCTTAAGCAAAAAAAGATGACCTTCAGCCTATGTCTTCAAAACAAATGTATATGAGGAGGCGAATTTAGATCTGTCGAAATTTTTTTGCATAACTCGTCTCAAAACCTCAAATGTTTCCATGCAATTCATCTGACAAAAAAAAATAATCATAAAGCGAAATTCGATTTGAAATATAAATATAATTTAAAATTTGATGACAATAAGGAGAATAAGATTGAAGATTTGAATTTTGAATGAAACCGCTTTAAAAAAATTGTTAATTTTAACCAAATTCCCGAACCTTGTTCGATGAGCTACTGTAATAGTTAGGTTTGGTCTACATTCACTCCACGGTCCCCATTCTCCCCATTTTTCTTCTGTAGAAGAATCCTCTACAAAACTTTTTACAGAGAGTAGCACAATTATATAAGTTATCGAAGTTTTCATGTTGATTTTAAATTTGCTGAATGCTGAAATAATCATGGAGCTATCATTTATTTTTTCCATGCTATATTAAATCTGCAATTTACAAAGAAAATCGAGATAACAGTATGTTAGGATGTTAATTTATGGGTTATGGCCAAAGTGTTTTGAAAAATTTTAAACGTATAGAGGGACCAGCAATACATGTATTTAGACGATAGAAAAAGGAATGGCTTCTATTACTGTCGACGATAGAGACCGTGCCGCTTGGAAACGTCTTACCATTGTAACCAGTGGAGCTAGCCTAATCAGTAATGATGCGAGCTGTTAGAAGAAGAAAGTCAAAGTTTTGCACATTGTATGGAATCTAAAAGGTTTATTCGTTTTAAGCTTCGTCTTAACTTAGAAGCGCTAATAAGACCAGAAGATCACCCTTTATATTTTCTATGAAAATAAAATCTTTGCAGAATTTTTGTTCGCAAATCCATATCTTGGATTCTAGGTTCAAAACAAGTCTTAAGATATAAATTTTAACCAAGGATTTCAATTTGTTAAAGCTAGAAAATTTGCCATAATACATAAAGTTTCAATGTGAAGAATCAAATATAACCTAAGGCATTTAATATGACGAAAAACGGTTTAATCGCTGAAATTTGAAATTTTTCGCAGAGAATACATGTTTTTGTATAGAATCGCGATAGCAAATGATCTTATTTTGTAATAAAAAGTTTCGATCAATCGATATTGCGACATCTCACAATCCAGGTGCACTGGATATTTATAGTGCACAGTTTTGATGGCATTAAGTAAGAAAGTGGTTAGCGCACGTTATTTCTCGTTAGGTTAACTCCGCTAGCTACTAGTGTAGTGTTAATTTTTACTATGAAATCACTTGGTGAAAGAGGTGCAGAAGAATCGCCAGCACAATTTGGATTTTTTAAAGATAGATTTTGGTCATATCGAGACGGTAACTTACGGTAACTTAGTTTGGGTAATCTGAGTCAAAATCCACTCAGCTATCCTGCTTCCTATAGGCAATGAATAAGACGCATTGTAATGTCTCCTGTTACCATAGTATCACCTCAACGCATTTTTGGGAAAAAGTTTTACTACTGAGAATTATGCTATAGTAATTACATGAAAAATAATTCATGAAAAAGAAGGTTTTTATTAAATGACTTCATTTGAAAGATTTTACACAACATTTGCGTTATCTTTAATAAATGTGGAGTTCTTCAATCTTTATCGTCATCGCCTATTTGAACTTTTCAACTAATCCCAATCTTCTAATCTTTAGTTTTAATTAAATCAATCATTTTCCATTTTTTAATGCAAAAAGCCTCAATTTGTCGCATGGTAAGCGAATATATATCAACTTAAACTAGGCCTCCATTTTTAGATCAAATTATTGAGATACTGAGAGATCCGAAGTAAACATTTACATATTTATACATATTTTTTTTCAATATTGAGTAGAAGAAAGTCTGTGGTGATTTCTGATAATAATTGATAATTTTTTATACAAAGCAATTCTATGAAGAATTTAAACTTTAGAATTTTATAATTTCGATTTTTCTCGTCTCGTGAGTGGGAGCACTGGTCGTTTAAATATTTCTTTTGCCTTAACCATCTGAAAAATTTACTCGTGCAATATTGACCCTTGCTTTTTCTAGAATTTGCCATTTTTATTTCCTTCTTTTTCAATCTTCAATGTTCAATTAAATTAAAAAAGGACATAAAAATTTCAAAAGCGGAATTTTTTTTGTGAATTTGGAAATTCGCATACATCGATCTCGTTCTAATTTTAAAATGACTGAATACATACAAAAAATTGGCAATGTTCCGCTCGGAAAAAGTTATTTATCTAAAAAATTTGTTTAAAAATAGATTTTGATAACGAAATTTGATTCATATCATTAGTAGCTTTTCAATGTGAATTTTTCAGTATGATTTGCTTTGCACTATAAAAGAACTTTTTAATAAAAGTTCTAAGGCTCCTGATAAACGGTTAGTTAATAAATAGAATAAATTAAACGGTTAATAAATAGAATGAAAAACCTTTTACGTTAATTGGTTTTTTAAATTAAATCTTTCTCGTTGTCCTCTTCCTTCGTTCATTATATTTTCTAGGGAAAAGAAAGTAAGGGAACACACAAAATATTCTCCTTTTTCCTTTTCCAGCCTTTCTCTTGCGAGAAAATATAGTATAACTAAATAACTAAAAATTAATTAATTGAAAGGCAAATTTTTGTTCATTTTATTTCAGTTAAATTTTTTTAAATGAATTTTTTTATTTTTTTGTTTGCCTTTTTTTTGTAAGCTGAATATAGGAATTTTTTTCTGAGAAATTTTTTTCAAACTTAACTTCTTTTTATCTCTTGAAAAATTAGAAATTAAAATTGTGAAATTTTCCTATTAATTCAAGATATAGAAAAATTTAAGGTTTCCTAGATGAAAATCATGATTTTCATCAGAGACCTATTTCATTTATAAGATTTCGTATAAGATAGCTGCACGCATAGTCACGCATAAATATACTCAAATTTTCATGTTGGAAACGACCGTTCACTTTCATTATATTTAATGAAAGAATAGACTAGCCTTATATTTATGCTTTCAAAAAATATGTGAAAAAATAGGTTTTTAAAAAACATCTTTCATTTTTTCTGCAAATTCCTTCATTTATTCATTCAAGGTCCTTGGAAAATTTTAGAAAATGTTTTATTAACACAGAGAATATTTCACACATTTTCAATGTAGAAAATTCAGATTTGAGTAAATCAAGTATGCGAATTGAATATTATTTGTTAATTTGTTCCATACCAAATAATTTGAATCACTAACAATATAAAAAATTAATGGTAACGACAATGATAAAAATAATAATAATATAGTAATAAAAATAGGAGCCACACTAGTCGCATAACTTATTATGGCACTTTATCCTGAAAAATTATTAAATTAATAATTTGGAGAACAATATACATAGAGAACTTTGAGCCGAAGAAAAGACAGTGAACTAGCTAGCATATAGGAAATTATTTTTCCAAAGAGTCATATTTAAATGTTGTTGCCAGCAAGCGTTAGTCTTTTTTTATTTGGAAGCCATAAATCATGCATAAAATTCTTCTTCCGCCTGCGCTGATTTACAGCATTATTCATTTTTGAGGTTTTGCTCGCTCCATTCCTTCGTTATTCGACATATTCCTTCGCAGATATTGCCAAAAATTTTGCCAAGAAGTTAATTGGCGATAAAAATGCAAATGGATTTTGGCATATATTATTAATGTATCTGCAAGAGTTAAGGAAAATACTGGAGAACAATGGTTACTGCGATCTATTAGTACTTTTTTTTAGTTCTTTATACATATTTTGAGAATCAAAAAAGACTGAGCAGTGAACTAAATTTGAACTATTTTTACTGATTTTTCGCCTCGAATTATCGCAATTTAATTCATTTTGTTCGTTTCTCGTTCTTCACTTTGAAAAATCAGCGGAAATAAATTCAATTACTTAATTAAAGAAAATGCAACAACAAAAAAAGAATATTTTGCGGGTTCGAAAAATTTTAAATTTATCACAAATTTGCAGTTTTAAATTGTATTTCGCTAGCTAGTGATTTATAAAAATCCCTTCTATATTTATTTATTTTTCTCTCTAATTTATTCACTTTTGTTGAGAATTCTGGTTAATATTGTTGACGTTTTTTAGTTGCTAAGCGACATTGTTTGTTATTCATTATTCTCGTGAGCTATTTATTCATATTTAATTGTGATAATTATTTTTTTAAAAACTAAATGATTTCATTTCAGCAATAAAATCATTCAATGGAACCTTCATATTTGACAAATTCTTGATTAAATTTGATATTTGTTTTAAAATTGCATTAAAATGAAAACGAAAAAAATTTAACGTGATTGATTTTTTGCAGTATAATTTGTATTGAATTTAACTTATAGATTTGATTAAATTTTAACTTTGGCAAAACCGTACAGCTGAAATTAATCATAAAAATCTTTATAGCTTTGACATTTCATGAAAGCTATAAAAATCGAATCAATAAAAAATTTTGTAAAAGTTTTTTTGTTCACTAATATTAATATTAAGTAATTAATAATGCAATTCGTTTTTTTTAAATTTCTTTTAATTTAATTTCTAACAATTTAATTTCTTAATTCCTTCATGGAATTAAATTAATCTGCCAAACATTGAAATATCTTTTATTATTTCTTTCATCTTTTGTTTTTGATTTAATATATAATTTGATTTAACTTGGGCATAGAATGGCTCAATGGCTGAAATTCTGTTCCTCGCCATATTAAACCAATCGAAAAATCCAGAGTGATCCGACTCACCTCTATTTCTATCGCCAAAAGATTCTCTGGCATATCTGCTAGTGCGATAAGCCAGAGAAGAGACTCTAACAAGTAATGGTGAGGGCTAAAATATATATATATATATATACACCAATAGCCAAATTACAGAGTATAACGCTTGTTTGTGATTGTCTGCCAAAAAATTATAAAGCATTTTGGCAAATAATGCTGCCGTTTTTCGTAACCTCTTTGATTATTGACAAATTTTTTATAATATTATGGATAACTTGGATTTATTTGCGAAAGATTTTCTTTTTATAGAAATATTATCGTCAGGAAAATAGAAATATTTCAGCATATTTGTTTACGATGACTTTTCTGTTCATGTTCAACAGCACTTATATTTTTTATTTGGCTAACTACATTGATTGTTAGGATAAGATGTGACCACCAAAATGGGAGAGGTGCGTCCCTCAGCACCACTTCACTTTTTTTTAACAACTTGGTGTCACATTTCATTTGCTTTATTCAGTTTATTTTCTTCTATACTTGGCTTATAATTTGATTATTTTTGTAGCGAAATTCACATTAATTTTAAAATTCCCTTCTATTCGAATCCTTTGAAACGTTCATTGAAAATTTTTCATTATTTTTTTCCCATTATGATTAATAAAGAAAAAAAAGTGAATTATTGAATATGGTTTTTTGCATTACACTGAGGCTTAGTAAAGCCAATATTGTACAACGTGATTTTTCATTATATAAAATTTTTAAATATCACCTTGTACAAAATTAAATGAATTCTATGATTTTAGAAGCAATTCAGTCATTAGGCTGGCAAATTTCAATCAATGAGTTCGAGTGCTCGCAGTGGAAAAGTGCTTCCCTGGCAGAAACCAGCTACAAATTCTGGTAACAGAGCATCAACGATTGCTGATGCAATAAAGGTAAACTGAATTAAAATTAGTCCAAATTTATTTAAAAAAAGTAATTCAAACCTAAACCAATTGTCATTAACATCTTCGAAGCTGCTTTTTGCTTTTTTTTTATGCAGTCTTTATTCTTCTTTCTATCATTTTAGTCTCAGACCTGGTTTTTACTCCTTAACACGACTCATCCGCCTTATGTTCAGCGCCTTAGAATGCAATGTCGTGCTCACAGTTACAAATAAAAAAATGACAAAGGATAACGTGGAAGTGACAGAGTTTTATTATGGGGTTATAAAGATAATAAGGGTGGTATGGTGATTATGGGGTTATAAAGGGAAAGGTACATTCTCAGATTTTTGCAATAAATCTTTTTACAATCTGCTTTTTGCAGTTAAATATTCATGCAATATTCAGAGTCGCTTTTGAGGAATCTGCCAGCCACCCCATTAGCGTCAGGCGATACCTGTAGACATACAAAATCAGAATCTCCAGCTAACTCGCATCGTCTTACCGTAATAGCCAGTACATTACAAAATGTAACATTATGCTTGCTCATTCCATTGGAATCAGAAATTGAATGTAAAGCAGAATTTTCTGAAATATGCCTATAAAAAAAATTTCTTGCTCTTTATACTCTTTTATACACAGCATTCAAACTTTTTATAAGATATCTGAAGTAGTTACCACTCACCATTTCCAGCTAAACTTTCTCCAATTTTTTTTCAACTTTGCTTCAACTTTGCCAGTGATTATAAATTAGACATAAAAATAGATTCGGATTTTTGATGACACATTTAAACTTTTTATGTTTGCCAAAGTCTGAAAAACTAATATCGAAAATAAAATATAGTAACGGTGAGACAAGTGAAATTTCCTTTATTTTTCGTTAATCTTTTTTCGATAAAATTAAAAACAGAATGATTTTTCTCTGCGAAATTCTCTTTTTCACATGAATTCGATTGAGCTTTTTGGATAAAATTTTTCATTCGTTCGAATAAGAAGGTGTGACAAATCTTTTTCTTCATGGATTTGTAAGGAATTTGATTTTCAATAAATTTTTTTCTCAGTCTTATATTTAATTTTTAAAAAAATCCCAATCAAACTATTCTTATTATTATTAATTATTATCAGCATTCACTTATAAATACCACGCCAAATTTTCTTTTTGCCTTACTTCATTTGCTTATCTCAGAGCTTTAGTGCCATTCACCTACGATCATCGACGATTTCTAAAATTGGTTATAATCTCTATTTTTTATTTAATCGGTTACCTACAACAATTATTTGAAATAATTAGTAGTTTTTTTTGCACTGAAATTTGCAGAATTCAATTATACAACAATCCTTTAGATGGTGGTAATTAGGCAATTGTTATAATTGAGTCAGCCATAGTTTTATTCTATATTATTTCCTTCTAAATCTCATTTAATCGACCATTTCTTATTTTTTCTTCTTGTCGCTGCGATTTCGATTTGAAAATTTTATTAGCTGTATAACAAAACAGCTGTATTAAGACAAATTGCCTTCGCCAGATGTCGAGCGAAATGCACTTGTCCCATCAGTTTGGCTTATTTTCTTCGTTTATAATTTCATTTCACCTTAAACTGATCGAGAAATCTCGTAATTGGTTAGTTGGCTAAATTATATTTATCAAATAGTGATTTTTTACGTAAATTTTTTCACAGTTATTCCATTTATCATAATTTCTCCCTTTGATAAACTATAACCATGACGACTGCTTCAATTCCACAAAAAAGTACAAATCTACCTCTTCACTTTGTAGTTTTTTAATGTTTCCTAATGTTATCTGAGTTGCTCTTGAGAGTCATAATTTATGCCATTCTATACCATTTAGATCTTAAATTTGATTTAAAAATATATCATAACCGGTTGTTTAGCAGAAATTTTATTACGATCACAGCTCTCAACGAAACTCCAGTTCGAATTCGAATTTGCCTCTGATAAAGCAAAAGCTTGCAGAATATACGAACGAAGAACTCGAAGAATATCGGCAAGTCTTCAATATGTTTGACACTGGTGAGCCGTCAAATTCTTCGCATATTTCCTTTAAGAAAAACATTTTAGAAAAAATTAATAAATTAAAAATTAAATTAATAAAATTATTGACATAAATTCACCAAATTACCAGTTGCCACAGAGACAAAGTTTCTTTTGCAAAAAAAGTTTTCTAATTCAAAAATATCGAGCGATTCATATGATTTCTATCTTAGATTTTGACCGAGTTTTCTATTGAATTTTCCTAGATGGGAGTGGCGCTATCGGAATTGATGAATTGGAAAGCGCAATGAAGAATTTTGGTTTAGAAGCAAAACGAGATGAACTTGAGCTGATTATTGAAGAAGTCGACCAGGTCACTGTTTTTCAATTTTTTTCTTGCTCGATGATTCAAAATTATTTTTTAGCTCTTTTCTTGAAAAAAGACGGTATCAGTAATTTTATTGATAATGGGGTCATATATAATTGGCTGAGAATTGGCTGAGAATTGAATTTATTTATTTTATTGACAGTAGTTATCGCAAATCTTTATTTTACTATTGAGAGTAATATTTTATATGCAGGTGAAAAAAATGAGAAAATGCTTTTAACTATTGTTCAGCAGTAGACAATGCTCTTATACACAACAGGAAGATGTGTGGAAATATCAATATCATTGTCTTCTTATCATCAGCTTATAAGTTTCAGATTGGCAACCATGAGATAGACTTTCATGAATTTTGTGACGTAATGAAGAGAATGAACGCAAAAAAGCGGTCGTGGAATGAAATCGTGCGTGAATGCTTCGCCGTTTTTGATCGAGTTTGTTCTCAAAAATTTCAATCATACAAGAATAGAGCACAATTTATCAACTGAAATTTTATTCAAAAATAAATGTTCTGATTAGTATTTACTTCGTTGCTATTTACATAATTTATAAACATAGCAGAATAGAGAATGCAATAAGTATTGGCTCTTCTTTTTCTAATTCCTTTCTTCCTTTCTGTTTTGGCCGTTTGCGTTGATTATTAAGAATATTTCGACAGCTTAAGCTGCAAGTAGTGGCGCATCGGATCTTTAATTCAGATTTCAACGGGGAGAAAACGAACTTATGAGGCTTGACCTTAGTTCGAGTAATACCACCCGGCTGCCCTCTTTTTATATGTATTATTAGTTCCATCATGAACATTATAGCAGTCGATGCAAGTTAAATATTACATATTGCATTCATTCTTTCTAAACTCAAATAGTTAAATATACTCAATATATGCACTAAACCCAATGAATTTAAAATATCCTTTAATTAAATAATAAAAAATTATTTTAGAGTGAATTGGGAGTTGTGTCGAAAAAGGATTTCGCATTTGTATTAAGGCAATATGGTGGCATTCAAGATAACCAAGTTATCGATGAAATTTTCGCAGAAGTAGACGTCGATGGTAATGGATTCATTGATTACGATGAATTCGCTTATATGGTGCGTAATTATATGACCGATGATGATATTTGCTCTTAATCTGACAGAAAACGTTTCTCTGCCAATCAGATATTTTCAGTGATAACAGCTAACATTGTATATGTATATAAAAGTGATTTAATTAGTACTTGGTGGAATACTGTAAAATAAGGCCGTGGATTTAACAGAATTTATTCTTTACTTCTAAAGTAAAACCTACTGGCAAAGTCATTTTTGCAAAAGGATTAAAAATCAGCGTAAATGCAAATTAAGGCAAATCACAAAATAAATCTGCCGTATACAATAAAATTGCCTTTATGAATCTCATGTATTTATTTTTCATGAACGGAATGAATGAAATAAAAATTTACTCTAAAAATCAAGAATATTTAATGTTATGCAATCCTGATAGATAAGGTGTTTTACCTCTATTAGTTTGATGGCTAATGTACCGATGATTAGAGCACGTCATTCTGCACAAAGATTTCGACCAAATTAAAGATGTGAAATATTTTATCTTCAGACTTCCCTTAAAACAAAGAGAAAAATTGTAAAAACTTAACTAATTTCATGCATTTTTCAGCTGCTTTCTTTTGAACCTTTTGTAAATTCAAGAATTTATAAATAAACTTTAAGATTACATATTGAAAACTTTAAGATTACATATCAACTTATAAGATGGCATATTGCGAATTGTATATTAGTTTCAACATACTTCATACATTTCGTGAAAAGGAAAGGGATAAAATTATGAAAGGGAGAAAGGACAGAAAAAGAATGCTTTTATTTAACTAATTAACAAGTGAATTAAAGAATTAAATATAAGGTTAAAAAAATAAAGCTTAACGTAAGTTTTATCTGAATAATTGTTATTAATTAAATAGTTCAATTTGCGTCAAAGAAAATTTAATTTTTTTAGAGTCTCAACAAATTGGTACTTCTGTCTAAAATGAATATTATATTATATTTAGCTTATTAAAGCTAATTATTGCTTAAGAGGAAATTTTTTTCGCATTCATTTCCTTAATAGCAACGATTTTTTGAATAGCTTGCCTAAAGCTTTTTGAATAATTAAACATGATATAAATGAAATTTTAGCAAATATATTTAGTAGACAAGGATGAGTTAAGTTAAGGGAAACATGTCAATTTATCTGCGATCAGTTATCAGTTTCGTGTATTTTGATATTTTGATATACCATACCCATACCCATAATTTGCATGCTTTTCGTTTATAATTACTGCACTTGAAATTATTTTCGTCTTTAGACTTATGGGCAGTGCTAGGCAAAACAAAGTGATGGAATTTTTTTGATAAGAATTTTTGATAGAACTGAAAAAGAAGTGATAGAGTGATGTGGACTGGATGCTGCTTTGAGTCAAACATGAACAAATCACAGATTCGATTACTACCCCTTGATAGTCATTAATAATGAACTCCATGTGGTGATTGTGGAAACCCACTTGAGCTTCCATCTGACTGTCTGGATGAAGATTCTCATCCTTCCCAATACAAGAAAAGGAAACACTGGAGCGTTTCACAGCATTAGAGCACTCTTAATGCATATTGTCGTCGAACACTTCAAGTGTACCCATTCGCCTTATTGGACTGCTAATAACTTTTTTGATAAATTATTATAATCTATATCTATCTTTTTGAAATAATAGAATAGTGGAATATCAGAAAATAAATAAAATGCATCCATATCTACATAATAATTTGATAGTGTGAAGATGTGTATGGCGAAAATCTCGTCTATATCATTTAATAAACGATCATATTTTTTGAAATCTTTTCCAATCCTCCTTTTTTATTGTCATCTCGAAATTCTGTTATTGCCTTTACATCACCCTTGATAATGTTCCTGTTTTCCCTAGCTTCAGATTACCAATATCGTCTTAGATCCTACAAAACTCTTCAAACCACACATAACAACTTCTCCATGTTCTCCACTAATATAAGCATATACTCCATTAATATTCCATCATGTTCTATTAATGCCCCAAGTCACCATAATCTTTTGCCGCGGCAAGCTTAAACCTCCCCACACATATTCGTCCTTTCTTAATCCTCCTCAGAATGGCTATAAACTTCCACATCCTTAAAATCCCTTTGATTCTGCTCAACAACCCATTATGTCGCCTCGTATTGTTTTGTCGAAAAGCCGAATTTTTTTACAAAATACCAGTACTAAAAGAATTGCTCAAATGCTTGCAAAGTTTCCGCTGAGAATCGCCATTGAAAATCATTGGTCCTTTCTAAAATCTGTGTAATTTTTGTGGAAAGTCTCAATATCCTTTGAACAATCTCTTAATGCTCCAAAGTCATGTTCTACTCTCTTGGTTTGATCTAGAATTAAAATGATTTTAAAGCTTTTCATCGCTTTAGCTTTTCCAGAGCCAGCTCTTTAATATCGGTCATTCTCATTTTGTTAACTTGACCTTTTCTACGCTTTTCTACATTATCTTAAAAAGTTTGTTATTATAGTTCTTTCTTATTTACTATATTATGATTCAAATATTTAAAATTTTGGAAATATTGATGTACAGGTATTTATCCATACAACCAAACTTTTCCAGCATGGTATTTGCCTCTTCCTTTCTTCTAATAAATAGAATAATTACTGGTTAGGTTGGCTTCCCTGGCTACAAAGATAAGGTGCTCACAAGCCATACACCCGGACCATATCAGAAAGCAACAAAAACCATTCACATTCTCGCAGCTTAAATGCTTAATAGCTAGATACCTATGCGACTACAACAGTTAATTATTGTAGTTTAGTTCTTAGAAGAATAAATAAAAGTTAACACAAAATATTAGTGCAAACAGCCAAATAAATAAAAAAACAAATTTACTGAAATTTTATTTGCATTTGATTTCATTAGATTTTTATAAATATTCTTTAAAAATATTGCATGTATTCCTTTAATTAATTCCAACTTTCCAGTAAACAAAATTTCTTGTTGTCAATCATTTCCAACAAAAATATTAAGCATAAGTTATCATATCAAGTTAATTGTCATTATAACAACATTATAATGACATTTATATGATGGCTTTTCTTTAGCGAAAATCCACAGCGAAAAATTTTGCGTGCGATAGGATGTTAAATGACTGAACGATGCCGAAAAACTTATTAGTGAGTTTTATTTATTTATTTTTATTTTTAATTTTTCGTTCCAATTCAGATTGTTTTCTTCTGTCGACCTAAGCTTTCTACTAATCGGCTTTCTTTCAAAATTCAATGTCATGAAGATGGGATAACTAAGTTTCAAATATTGAGCTAGCGAAATTAGGTGATTGAATTTATTTATGCTTCATCGCATGGCAACCAAGCTATCATTAATTTTCGCTCACATGTTCGTATTATATTGGCTGAGAATGTTTTCGGAAAATATTTTATGGTTTTTTTATTTTTAAAATTACTCGTTAGGAAGTATTTTAGCTAATCGTCATGGTAGTCATTTATATATTATTATTTTAATTCACTATTATCGTATAACTTTATGACATGAAGGTTTTTTTCCTGTTGTTATTATTTTTTCACATGAGAAGCTTTGAGAAGTTTTCTAAGAACTGATCGAATGAATGAAAAAAAAAATTCATTCAACACAGTGAGAAGGTGCTTTTGCTGGAGAAGTGGAATACAGAGGCTGAGTCATATCTATTAAAGCATCGCTCAGTCCTTGCCCCTTTACTTTATAACTGAAAGTAAAAATTCAGTTGGTACTGATAGAATGATTGTTTTTATACCCATGTGAAAAAAGGGTAACAAAATTCACAGTGGATTACAGAGGCAATCAAGAAAAAATGATAAAATTTATAAAAAGAAAAAGAACTCGTTCAGTCCGTTTGTTGGCCACCTTGAAATGCACCTATTCGAATTTCCGTATAATGAACACGTCAGAAAAATTTTCGTTTTGCTGCTTTTCCTTAATGATGTAATTACTTGAATGGTTTTTTTACATGGATAGTTTTTTTTTTCATTTTTCGCTAATGTTTTAAAACTTATTTATTATAAAACTTAACTTTCATTTCATTTTTTGATGTATTTTTTCACTAGTGGTGCTGATAACCCAGTCGTATTTTAATCACCACGTGTCTAATTAACAAAAATTTCCAACCGTTCAACAACCAATGTATCCAAACGGAAATAGTGATCGCTAAACACTTATTTAATTAACTTTATAATTAGGCCCCTAATTTTTCCAGGAGCATTATTATGGATTTACCTTTTAGTTGCAAGCACTGATTATTGTCGGAAACATTGCTATTTGTAGACTATTGGTTGTAGACAATTTTTTGATTTACTAGAATAACATTCGAATTTCTTCTATATAGTTATGATTTACTTATTTTTATGCAAACCAATTTTTCTCAGTTCTCTTGCAGAATTCAATTTTCAATTTTTTTCACAAAGAAGGGAATAATGCCAAAATAAATTCTAAGTTATATTCTGAATAAAAATTACATCTGATTAAATTCGAAGAAAAAATTTTAAAATAATCCTTCGAAAGCGTATTTGAGGATTCTTTACAACAACTTGGTCATAATTTTAATCGCTTCACTAAAATCCATTTTTTACATTCCATATAGAGTCATTATTTTTTTATTTTATTCTCGCAACTAAATTTGTTGTTAAGCGAAAAAACAAATTGAAGATAAAATCGAAATTTAAAATTATGTTATGCGTTATTTTTATATTTCAACAAGTTTTGTTGGATAATTGCTTGTGTCGAAGAAAATTGCTGGATAGTTTCCAATGTTAGTTGGCGGCTGAACAATATACTTAAAACTGCGAAATCGCAAGGAATAAGATGGAATGATCCACTTGGTTGTTCCTCTCATTTCGACGTGCATTTCGAGGCTGCAGCGTTTTTCTGCTGGCAGAAGTAAATCTTTTGAAAATCTGGGTGCTGCTGGTGATACTTACTTGTGCTTCTATCTCCAAGTGATCCTCTGGTAAAATTTGTCTAGTTCGACAAGCCAGTGGAACCAGCCTAGCCAGAAATATTGACCGTTTTTAGAAAAAACAAAGTTATTTGACAATTTTAAAATTAACGGTCAATAGATAAAAATTTTACTTTCTATAATGAATTTCGATATATTTGTGGACTTTAGTGGAAAATTAAGATTAAAATTAAAAAAAAACGAAAAAGAATTATTCTCTCTTTTCCACATAGTCTGCTTTGATAAAAATTGGATCTTCAGTATCGCCTAGATTTTTTTTTAAGGACAGATTTACATCCAGGACCATCCAGGAGTACGAATTGAATCATTCAAACAACAGCGAAATTAGTCGAATTTTTCGATGAAAATAAGTAATTGTATAATTATATGATTATAAATTATAGATTTTATGGACGCTCGGGCAAACAAATTTTTTTGCTTCAAACTTTTTTCGATGTTCAGTCAATTAATCATAGAAAATACTTTCCTTCAGCCTTTTGCAGCTGCTTAATGCTTTTTTTAAGGTTTTTTAAATAGAAAATATCCATTGATGCAATGCCAAAACTGTACAAGGATTCTCTCAATAACTCATTTTCCCGAGATTTCATTAAACACACATTGGAAAAAATGTTTAAGATGGGCATACGTAATGGGCATCGCCGAAAATCCATAAAGAACCTATTTATATATGTTTTGCCAACTGTGAACAATTCGAAATTGATATTGCTGAACTAATTTATTTTAGTTCAATGATGGCCGAATTACTTAAAGCGAAAAATGAATCGATTATGGCAGATTCACTGAACAATTTAGATACAAACGCGGTAAAATGGTCTTTTTATACAAAAAATTAATTAATATTTGGAGTCGATTGGACAGAATTCACGAAGATTTTAAAAAAAACTTATAAAGATGGCCATTGCAAGTCTTTAAATTGCACGCAGTGAAATTCTTTTGCAGGATGAAGCTTTAATTCGTGATGACAACCATCGATTATCATTATATTATGCAGCGGAAAAAGGAGATACAACTACTCTTAAACGAATTTTAGAGATGGATTCATCATTAATCGATATTAAAGATGAAAATGGGTAAACTTGGATATAAACACTTTGGGCAACAAAAATCCTCGAAAAGTAGCCAAGCTGAAAGCAAAATGCATAAAACCAAAAACAGAAGACATATGCAGCGCTAATCAAGAAACAGAAATCTTTAAACGAAAAAGTGCAAACATTATTATAATACATGAAAATTGTTCGTTTGTCGTCAGTGTCAGAACCATCTTCTCATTTTTTTATAATCTATTTCAATATTTTTGTAGTGAAATATTTGCTACGTTTATACATCGATAAATTTGCAAGAAAATATTAGAAAAACAAGTCTCTTACATCAAATGATTTCCCAAGTTTTGGCTGGCGAGAAATCCGACATCCGACACGCTGCTTATCCATTTTAAAAATTTCTCACAGTTTAAATGCAGTTATTTTTAATTCCATAAGCAAATTAACATTTTTCTGTTTCCAGTATCCTTTAGGATCTGTCGAAGTAATTTTACGAATTCAGGTATACTCCACTAATGGTTAGTTCAATGTGTGGAAATGTAGATACGATGAAGATGCTCCTTGAGAATGGAGCGCAAATCAATCATGTTGATAAGGAGAAACATTCAGCTGTGCATTGGGCTGTTGTCTGCGGGCAAGTAAGATTTACTTAACACACCCAATATTTTAAAACTTTTTAAGTTATGGATAGAAGACATATGTGTCTGGAGACTGGTCAGCTTTAATGTCAACTTAATTTTTGAAATATGATTTAAGAAATACACTGAGCCAATGGGCTGCGGAAAATTTTTATTGCTAGTGCTAATTTGTAAAAGTAAGGCCAATCAAGAGATGATAACCAAATATAAATTAAATTGCTGTCATGTTTAGCAGATCTTGTTGAAAAAGCAAACAGAATTTCAACCAGCAACATTTCAAACAATTTTTTATGATTGCATATAGATTTTACCAGGTTGTTTAAACAAAGTTATCTCAAAATGTAACTTTGCTTGCTAGCAACTCAAATTAATGCTATATTTTATAGTTGGCAGCTTTAACAGTTCTTCTCGAAAAAGGTGCAAATGCGAATATCAAGGACCATCAGGTATGGAATAGCATTATCTTCTTCTAACAGCGCCCACCATTTCTGGTTTGGCTGAGGAGACCCTTTCGTAAGAGATTTACTTGGGAATAGAAGAAAAGAAGTAAGCCAGCGCCAATCTGAATTCACCTTTGATGGCAAATTTACTCCTGATAAGAGGCAGGAATTGAAGTTGCGATTACTTGACGTTAATCGAAGCATGACCACTCTTTTCATAAGATAGGATTATACTCCAAAGCATTTCACAGAATTTTATATATTTCCATTTGGATTCACTAGGTAAATAGATTTAGAAAGGAAAAAAAAGCAAACTGTAAGCAAACTAAGCAAAAGATTTGTGTTCTTAGGTAGGCTTTGTATTGTTCAGATCATTATTCAACTTCTCAGCTGTATTGCACAAAAAACCCGCAAATCAGTAAAATTTCTTTGCATCTTGGCCTAGTTTAATCAAAATTTTAATTCTATTTGAGTTTCAGGGTGCGCAACCGCTACATTACGCTACTGTAATGGAAGATATACCTCCTGAAAGAGGCGAAGCTATCCTTCATATATTACTGAAATATGGTGCATTGGTGAATGGAAAAGACGTTGATGGCCGCACGCCATTACATTGGGCTAGCAGCAATGGTAAGATTTAATAGATTTGATTCCAATGTAGTTTTAGCAAGCGACATCGCTTTCGGCAACTCATGAATGCAGCAAAAACTATGTCATGCAATAAAATCCAAGCATGATATGATATAGTACCCTTTTTGAAACCTTACTATATTGTAGGAAATGCTGCAGCAATTCAAAGTCTCATTCAAGCAGGTGGCAATCAATATGAATTAGATCGAGATAGGCTGACAACATTGCATTGTGCCGCAAGTCATGGACATGTAAATATTCTTGAGATGCTCATTGAGTCATCAGGCGAATCGATCGTGGACTGGATGGATAGAAATGGAGATACAGCCTTGTTTTATGCGGTCACACTTGCTCACTATGAATGCAGCAAATTCCTGCTAATGAGCAATGCAAATCCTAATCATCAAGTAATTGGATTATAACCACTTCTTAATTTGAGTTGTCCCCTTACTCTAGAGAGTTAAAATTTGTTTAGATCATTCGGTAAGGTTTTATTTCTTCCTAAAGATGTGGCTAAAAAATTAATATTCTTGGGGAATTTTTAAAAATCTTAGAAAAAACACAAATCCAAAGCTTTATTTTAAGGATTACCGGCTGCAATGTCCAAGTCACTGTGCTGCAGCAAAAGGGCAGTTAAAAATTTTGAAACTTTTGAAACACTATGGAGCTAGTTTCGAAATCCAGAATCGTCGTGGTGATATACCTCTTCATGAAGCCATACAGGCTGGTAGTAAAGGTACATTTTTGTATCGATTTTTCATAATTTTTTTTCTGATCTAGTTTCTTAAAATTAGAGCTTGCATTTTCAGTTTCGGTTACTATTTCAATAGTTTTTCTTTTCAGATGTAGTTGAATGGTTATTATCATTGCATCCATCCACTGTAAATGCTGCTAATCATGAAGGTCGAACGGGCCTTCATTTATCAGCTGCCTCAGGCGATATGGAATTGGTTGTCCTATTATGCACAAAAGGAGCTGAAATTAACCCTTTAATGTTATATAAGGTATTTTTTTAAAAAATTTTGAATATAAATTATTAATTTTGGATTACAACTTTATACTGGCAAATTGCGAGAATGCAATATTATCAAAATCAGGTAGTTTCTACATTTTCCGTAGAATTTTGAATTAGTAGCCTAGTCCTAGATTAAATTTTTTTTCCTAAATTTTAAAATCATGAGCTGATGCATGCCAATAATTTAAACATCCAAATTAAACTCTTTCATGATCTTTTTCAGGGAACTCTTTACACTCCTCTTGACTTAGCAGCGTACAAAAATCATACTTTGGTTGTCGATTATTTAAATCAACGACATAGAGCTAAACGTGCTGATCAGATTCCTGAAGAACAAAGGATAGATTCGACCACACAACTTGAAGAAAGCATGCAGAAAGGTTTCATTATGATGCTAATGGAAATACATTAGTAACAGTAGAAAAGTTGTGGATAGTTATATTCAAAGCACGAAGATGCAGCTGTTATAAGTGGCAGTGGATGTGTTGTCGCTGGACTCATCTTACTGTCCCATATTGAAGCCACCAATCAATATGTGGATAAAATAAGGATTTTTCATAATATTCTTTCATAATATTTACAGCTAAATATCTAATTGATTGTCGGTGTCTTCTGGAAAATGAGTTCAAAATTGCTTCAGAAGCGCAACGGTGGCGTATTCTTGCTGCAGCAAATGCAGCTCAAGAGACACAAACAGATTCTCCAGATAGAAAACCAGCAGAGACGAATACTTCTGTCAGTGATTTCCAATTGATTATCCATATAGATATCTGAATTATGCAAATTTTTTTATTTCCTATCTAAAAGAGGCTTTTTCGAAGAAAAAGGAGAAATTTTTAGTTTTTTAAATTTTTAATTTTTTTATTTTTAGTTTTTTGTTTTTTTCTTTATAAACCATTTTTATTAAAATTTAGTAAGCATAAATCTATTTAGATTATCAAACAGAATTGGTTATACAATTCATTTTCAAAATCGTTTAAATATATATTCATTTTCAACTGAAAATTATAGAATATTAAAAAATAGGTTTAAAATCTATATTAACAAATAGGAATCAATGCTGCTCTTTCTATTTTATCTGCATTAAGTTGTAAGTTCGCTGACAATACCGCTTACCGCTTTGGCTTAAATAAGAATTTGACAGTTGAGCATTTGCAGCGTCCAACCAGTCCTAGTGCAATTGATGATCAACGGAAAAATATGCCGAAATCAACTAGTACAAGTGACTTATTCGGCGAAGATGCCAATGTCAATCAAGTACGCTATTCATATCAGATGAATAGCAAAATTTTATTTATCTGGCTTTCTAAAAAAAGCAACTGTGAAAATGATTAAATTAGGAAGATTTCCAGGTCTACACTCAGTTATGTATATCACAAAATAGCGATGAGAAAATACGAATAATTCTTGCCTACATCCATTTCCTACAAAATACTACTGTACAATACAAAATGCAGGAAAATTTCTCATATTTCAGATCGATGAAATTATGGATAAAAAACTTAAAGGAATTGTGCAAGAAGAATTGAAGAAAATTGCAAGAACTCAAAATATGACGAATCAAGAAAATGACTTCGAGCATAATAACATAAATGATATGGCGAACTTCTTTTCTACAGAAAATATAGCTGACGAGAAGTCAAAAAAGCGATTTAAAAAGTTCGCCGATTTTCTTCCAGCGTAAATTAGATTAAATGATTTCGAAGTATTCATTCTAAAGTTTTTCGTCGTGAAGTTAATGAAAAGCGTTTGACAATTTAAGAGGTAAAACTGTAAATAACAGAATTAAAAAATAGAAAAATTTGTTCATTGAATTATTTTGAATTAAATATAGGCATAATATAACTAATGGTACAAATGGGCAAATTAACAATGCTGATAAACTAGTCATTCATCACCCATTACAAGTCTCAACAGGTAGGTGAAAATTTTTCCAACGTCGAAATTTTTTCCCCGGCTAGAAAGCTGATTCTTCCCGACACTCTTAATACTTTTTAGACACTCTTATGATTTTTTTCCACAGGAAATGAAGTTTTTTCTCAAATTTTAGATTCAAATCCAAATAGTTACGAGATGGTTACAGTATCCATTGTTTTTTTTAAAGTTTCAGACGATTGTGATTCTGAAATGGTGGATGATAATGGCGAAATAGTAAGTTATCACAGCTATCGCGATGAGTTGGCTAAAACTTTCACAGCTTTTTCGAATTCGGCTGTTCCAAAAGAGTTTTATGAGGATGATATTCAAAAAGTGCCAATGAACAGTAAATTTTTTTGAACCGTATCGCATTGAACCGTATTTGCCATTAATAATTACAGTGACCTTATAAGCGGTAGTGTTATCCATAATCACTGACATACAAATCTGGATTTTGCTTCTCACATTATATGTTACTGCGTGAAAGAAACTTGCATAGAATATTGAAACATTTACAATATTTCGATTCTGAGGGGTAACTTATTCTTTCTTATCAATTAGAACATAAAACTCTCAGTAATAATGCGTGGACTTTGGTATTTTAGGTATGAAAACAAATCAACGCTATGCACATGAAAAAGCCATTTTCCAAGAATTGACTCATTTGAAACGAGTGCAAATCCAATATGGTAAAGCCAAAGAGCCGATTTTAGTTCGATCACTGATTGGCAACTTTTGCAAGATGCATGAGTTAAATCCAGCGTATTTCAAATTTCAGACATTTTATGCATGGGAAAAATTCTTATATGGTAGGTTATCTTTCAAAAGATTCGAAAAATATGTGAAAATGATTCATTAAAAAATTGAAATAAGCTTCGAGAAGCTCAATAAAATTGCACTGGAAATCAAAACGGTTTGCAATTTTTTAAATTCCTTTTCACTAATTTCTGTATAATTTATAAATGACAAAATACCGCAAAGATGGGATAATTCCGGTTTCAGATCAACTTTCAGATCAGCTTAAAATGATTTATTTGGAAGAAAGACGCCGATTAATGAATGCAGGTCGACCAGGCGCTTGGAATACAGGCAAAACAAGGTAAATCTTTTGAACCAAAAAATTAGCTTAGACTTGTAAGATTTTTCCATTTCTTTAAAAATGCAAATATCGACTAAACATGAAATGCCTACAGAGAACTTAAAAAAAATTCTAAGATTCGACACTCGTCTCGCACAAGTGCAAGTGGTACCAATTCATTATCCAGCAAATGAAATGCATACTGTTTGCCGAAATTCACCAAATAGTGGCTCGACAGATGTTTATTTGAGAAGGATGAACCAAACTAAACTTGGTAGCGAAAAGCGATGCGCCTGCCTCACAAGGGAACCACACATTTGATATTCATTTTAAAAAAAATTTAACAGATTCTTCTTTCGGAAGGCGAAGATAAATGACTACGAAAAGAAGAAAAGAAGTAAATAACAAGAATTGACTTTATTAATTATTATTTGTTCCTTATTGGTTGTATTCAAAGCAATAGCAATGTAGATAATAAGTATACGTTATAGTCATGTTTGCTTCGCTAGTTTTGGTTCAATTTCGGCTTGGTCTATGAGCCAATTCTTGCATGAACCTTTTTCTGGTTAGACTGATTCTCTCATTTCTACGATTTTATTAATTTGTATTTCTGTTCCTATTAAGTGTAAATTAAAAGTAAAATTCTTCATTCATCCATTCATCATATGTGCCCTTGTTTCTACGATCAGGAGAAAACACTCGATATAAAATGTTTAAAGTCTTATTAACAATAAAAATTTCAAAAGATATCATAAAAATAAAAAAATTGCTGAAAAGATTTTCACTGCATTGAATATACTATTCACAAAAAGATTTCATAAACTTAACACTTGCGGCCCGCCTGCCGAAGAAGATACCTTCTTAAACTCAGCTGTTGATCTCTGAAGCTTCTTTGCCGATTTTTTCCACGTACTTTCCGCTTGACCATCATGTAGTTTTTCCGTTTCGCCAATTCTCGATTAGTTCGCCCGACATGAGAACCCTGGAAAAAATCAGTAAGAGAATGAAATCAAAAGAAAAACGACAGAAGAAAAATTAATTTTATGGAAATTAATAAAATTAGAATTAAATGAATACCTTTTTAGGTTTATTAAATTCTTGACGTCCAGCTCGACCAGATGCTACACTCGCTAACCGTTCCTCCTTTGAATGCCTAGCAATCTTCTTATGGAACAATTCAATATCCTTTAAACGGGGCAAACCGTCCGCCATACTTCGCCTACAGTTTTCAAATTGTATTGTGACGAGACGAATTCTAATATGACTATACCAAAATAACCACAGAAAAAACAAATGATTTTACCTTTCAGTTTGTTCGTTAAACTCTTCTTCCAACCTCATATCGTCCAATTTCAAGTTCTTTTCTAGATTTTTTTTCGAACTATTCGTTACAAGCTTTTTAAGCTGGTAAGCTTTGATTCTTCGAAATTCTTCTTGAGTAAGAATTCGACTCTCACAGACCATTTTCGCTTTTTCTATTGAGGAATATTGAATGGATTCCTCAAAAAATTAAATGATAATAATAATAATACATGTACTAATATCAATTTTGTAAAAGATATTTCCATCAAAATTCTTGCCTAAACAAATAGTAAAGAAAGAATCTGATATTATTTGAATTAAGAAACGAAAAATACTTCGAAATGAACTCTTCGTTTTATTAATGCGAGATTATCTGCTTTCTCTTCCGGCATCTTTTCGATCAAAATAGTTTTACTATTCACATCAGTGGTGTTTTCACCTAGTTTTTCAAAGACTCGTTTCCTACCACGCCCGTCATCCCTATCATTATCTTGATGTTTATTTTCATTATCCGATTCATCGTCTAAAAGAATCAAAATTTCAATCATATATTTGAAAAGCATAATAGCTATCATAAAAAATTGAAAACCTTTGTATATGCAAGGGTATTTTTTGAAAATATGAAAAAATTGTACCTGAGAGTCTATCCACTTCCCATGAGTTATTATCACTATAACAATCATTATCGCCATTCATCTATAGTTGAAAAAAATGCGATGAAATACAAATATAAATGCAGACTTTAAAGTCCAAAATTATTTTACAAACTTTGCTTCACCAAATGTCTTGAAAATCACTATTAATGCAACAATAGCAAAAAATGGATTTCGCAATTTATTATTAAAACTTCATTTCCAGAATATTTTATAGGACTAACTTCAACTGAATTAATTTCTTCTACAAATTCGGGTAAACACTCAGCACCAGATATAGCAACTTGAGTTGAGTCTGACCCAAAAACAGGAGCAACAAGTTCTTTTGTAGCTTCGGTTGGGCTAGAAATAAATTTCTACGGTGAATAAATCAAACAGATGTTTCACAAGTTGAAACTAAAGGAGAATTTGATCTAATCGCAACCATAAACTTTACAATAGCAAAATCGAACCGGCCGCGATCTTTTCGACACAGCAGCTTGGGATTTATATTCCTAAATAGCGTAACCAATCCTCGAGCAGCCAATGAAACATTTTTATTTTTGTAACTTTTATACTGAAAAAAATTTTCGTGATGAAGAAATCTTATGAGGAAGCAATCAAAAATTGGTGTACAAACCTCAGTAAGATCTCGAAGCAATTCTTCAGTGGCTGCAAAAGGACTACTAGTGAAAATTTCCCTAATGGCATTTAGACCAACTGTTATTGCTTCTGGAGTATTCCGATCAGTGACAAAATTTTGTGCAATTACTCTCACAAGCTGTTCAATAACGTCAGGAGGAACGAGTTCATGACAAGCTTGAGCCGCATATAGTAATAAGCGAGTAACCTAAGCAGTATAATTTTTTAAAATTACAACTTTGTTGCCCATTAAAATTATATATTCTTAATAGATAGTTCAATACATTCTTCGAACATATCATTATCAAATTTTCAAGAAATTTGGTAAAATAAGCTTGAAACATGAAATAAAAGTTATCTTAAATGAAAACACTAACTTAATATTTAATATTTTACAATATTTTAGTATATAAAGAAAATAAAAGAAAACCTCGCGTTGTCTTGGTTGAAGATATCGATAAAGATACGAATAAAAACCCAAAGTTTGTAATTTATGGGCACCAATAATACGGGCGCACAGCGCCATTTGCAGAAGGCGAATTTCGAACTTTTCATTTGTTCGCGATTCTAATAACCCAAAAAGGCGATCAGCAAATGACTGTGGGTCGAACAAAGATTGTATGGCGATCCAGTTACACAATTTACTATCAAGACCTATAAATATTATCATTATTCAAAATTTTCCTATTTGAAAAAGTAGTAACAAGAAGGAGATAACGTACATTTTTTAGACTTTTTCTCCTTTGCCATTATTTTTTTTGTTTTCTCGAAAATTTTCACCTTTTTTCTAGTTTTCTTGGCAGCTCGAAAACCGACTGTCACCTTAATTATGCATACTTTAGTACATCAATCAAATCAACCACAAGAACACTAAAAATGAACCTCCCTAATCGTCTTCTGCTCCATTTTCCCTTCTTCATCACTAGTGTCGGTTTCATCATCTAATCCTTCTTCATCTTTTGAAGAACCTAAGAAGAATTTCATGGCCATTACCTAAAGAAAATATGAAATTTAAATATGAAATGTGAAAATGTAAAAAAATGTTTTCTTGGAAATCTGATCAGTGATCAAGAAAATTTTCAAACCAATAAAGCAGAATATTTCTAGTGAATTAATTGGTTAATAATGAATTTATAAATAAAATCAAATAAAGCCTGTCGAACCAAAAAAACAACAAACAAAAATAATTTTGCAATGATATGACAATTCTTACTGAATTACTAGCAAACCACAAAGAATTAAAACATTTTTAAATAAATAAAATCGATAATGTTACTTGTATGCGGGTAACTACATGAAAGCAACAATCCGCAATCGCATTCGCTATTTTAGTAGGATTCAACAATTTTTTTCGGAAAGCTTCAACCAGTACCTAAAAAATTTATTTTTAAATTTCTACAGAACAAGATTAACAAGCCAAAAAAATGAGAAAAAAAATCTCATTTAACCATATTTAAAACACATTCTAATTTTTTAATATCATACATTCTAAAAATGCACAAAAATATAACATACAAGTAGTGCAGCACGTGCTACAACAGATCTCGAGTCCATCAATCTTGAGAATAAATAGCAATGCAATTCAGCAATTACTTTGTGATCTTTCCTTTCATTTTTCACTTTTCTCAAATGAGACACCACTGAACCACAAATAAATTTGCTGAAATGCAAAACCATTCTTCAGAAAATAAATAAATATAACAGCGCTAAACCGATTATAAATACTTTATAAATCTTATAAAATATAAATATAAAATAAAAAGAAGGAAAATAAAATGTAAAATAGAAATTAATAAGAAAATAAAATATTGAAAATAGTAAAAAAAATAAAAAAAATATATCGTGAAAATTGAAGAAACCATTAAATGGCTTTCGCGTTAAAAATGAAAAAAACAAAAACCGCAAACGCTTGTCCCTAATTTTGATAAGATCAAAGAAGATTTCAAGAGCAGCACAATCCAATACTGTTTTTCGATTACGCAAAACGACTAATGCTTTACAAAAAGCCATTCGAAGCTAAAACAAACAATTGAAGAATGATTTTAAAGATCTGGATGCAATATGTTCGGCTAAGAATGAGTTTTAGCAAAATATTTACAGTATTAATTTAAAAAATTTTTCTAAAATTTAAATTCGGTTTTAAAAAAGTGTGCAAAATCACATCAGGATCAAGACGTGTAGCCTGATTCCTTAAAACACTCTCAACACTCTCCGCGAAAAGAGTTGCTTCATCTGAAAAAAAATACGATGTTCCAAAAAAAAATCTTAAAATGGGAATCGTGTTAAAATAGTAGTTCCACAGATTACCAGTTTACCGCCATAGTTTCGTTCTTTATTTCTGAGCAAAATATCAAATATATTAGTCATAAAAAAATTATCCTTAATTGTTAATAAGTTCAAAAAACCACCTATTTATCGAAAATCAGACAAAATTTAGAAATAAAAATAAATAAACTAACAAGGATAATGAACACAAGAATGTGAAAGAAAATTTATTAATTCCAGCAATGTAAGCAAATCCATTCGATCTAAATTTGGATCTAAATGTATAACTTTCATCGTATGAGTATACTGAAGAAGTATCGCATCAAAATCTGACTTGTACGATTCTGGATCTTTATTCAGCTGAAAAACTAAATTATTATAAATATCAAAATAATTGTAACATTAATAATAATATTGATAATGATAGTAATAATTAGTGATAAGAGTAATAATAAAGGATAAAAAAATAAATGATATGCTTTAAACTGCATTGTTCATTATTAAAATAATCTAAGAACTTACTGCATACTGATAACCGTTAATGATAAGCTTACATCAATTATTATTTAGTAACAGAACCCTTTTTTCACTTATTTTTGTATTTCCTCCTTTCATAGATTTTGTATTACTTATATTCTCTTCTTTTCATTATAATTTGGCATTATAATTTGCCTATTTCCATTCTATAAAATATTATTAAAAGGACCAGAAAATAAAGGAATTTTAAAAAATCTATTAACCATTTCGTGAAGAAAATTCAAATTTCCGTTGAAGAATTTTTCCTTTGAATTATACATCTTTCCACACGTGAAAAAAAGGAAAGCTCGAGGCCAGCAGGTTTCACGTAGCTTAAAATATTAATAATGATAGCAGCCTCAACTAATTTAATAATTTTGCACAGGAAGAAAAATAGACGACCGACCCTGAAAATGTATCCACAAAATTAATTCAGAAAGAAGCCTACCACTCTACACAGGTTAAAAACGCGGCCTCATATCTCTACGACGGGCTGCGACCGTGTCTTAGTCCCCATCTGTAGCTAGCTTGCATTTCTTTTTGTTGTTACGCCGGTAGCGTCACTGTTTGGTTATTTGGTCTCTCTTTGGTGCTTTTTAATTCGTTGTAGGGGAGATTTAAAATTCATTTTTATTGGAATTAACCAAAAGAACTATTTTGGCGAAGAAAATTTCCAAATTCAGCAAATCTTTATTTATTTTTTATTATTATTGGAAGAATTTTTATTCAATTTTAAATAAAATATTTATTTGAAATATTAGTTTATTATTTTGTTTTTTTTTTCATTAATTTCAAGTTTATTTCGTAAAACGGCAATCTGCTTTCGCATCATTTCTGTCCCAAAGGTTTTTTTGAATATTTGCACCTTTATTATTTATTTGCAGTGGGTTTATGGTTTGCACGTATATGGTTAGTGCAGTAAATTAATAGCTGCGAGAAATGATGAACACTAGTCCGCAAATTTTGCTAAATTTGAGTTCACTATTATTCGCTATTATTTTTCGAACTCAACAATTAGCACGCTTGCCAATTGCGCGTCTGGTAATTGCGCGACGTAGATAATACAGTTTGCACAATTGTGTCGAAAAAGTATCCTAAAAGTCAAAAGTAAAAGGTCATGATGAGCCCCGCCTGTTTCTTTTGCTGTTACATATATATTTTTGTTTAAAAGGTAGTTTTGGTGCTTTGTGCTTATCTTAAATGCTGATACGCGTTTTTCTTTTCCTCATTCGTCTACCAGTTTCCTCACCAATGATGTGTTTCTTATTTTTGTAACCTTATCTTCCCTTCTCTGTATTTTTTTATCGTTGTAGTATAGGAGCGCCGATAAATGATAGTGGATTATGAAAAATGCGAATGTTATTTCTTTTCTAGGTGTTAAGGAGCTAATAAAGGTGAGTAGATACGATAAAATAATTAATGGAGGCTAAAAACCTCAACAAGGATGACAATGAAGAAAGCAAGATCGGTAGCAATGGTGTTACTTACAGTAAGAAAGTGGTCGACTTTGAAAATGGCGAGAGCGTCAATATTTGTGAATCTAGCGTGCCAGATGTTGGTAATGCAGAAACAAACCAAATTACCCAGGTTGATAATAAAGATGTTAACGACAACGTCACGGGCAAGAAGGATGTTAACATGGAAGCTGTGTAAGATTGTATTTGGATTGAGTTTTTTAAGTTTCAGCCAATAATTAGCGTATTATTATTAACTTTATGGCAAAAGAATGCTGGTGCTTTTGTTTATGGATTCAGTAAACGGATTTTTTAATAATTTTATTGTAATATTTTTTTGAGATAGATACTTTAGGTACTTTGTCTCTCATTTTTTCCCTATCTGGAGATATTTGTTTAGCTAAGAGAAATTGGCTCACGTTTTTATGAAAATTTTGTGAAGTTTGTAAGTAATTCTTTCGTAGATGTGCAGATTTATTCATTGGTTTGAAATATTTACCTATCAAAAATTTCGTTTTTACTTTGCCTTTTAGAATGAATGCTTTAAATGAAAAGATTGAAAAAGTGGAAATGTTTCGCGATACCTATTTTCATATGTATCCAGAAGCCTCAGCAACTGATAGATCTAAAGCTGTTAGGGAAGCTGCTTTGTTGTTATTAGAGGTTAAAAATTTATTCGATTTGTTGATTATGTATATGTGATAGTATCTGGTTTGGTTTGAAGGAATTTTGCAACTTTTTTTTTCAGTATTTTTTGTAATTGGATATCCTTGCCCTTTCTCCATTTCTCCTTTTATCTTTTATTTTTTCTGCATGTTTTTCAGGAAATTCCTTTGGACTTGTGTGGATCTGCTTCGTCTGCAACCTTTAACTTAATTTACAGTCGCATATTAAATACCTGCGTTGAATATGATCCAATGTGTGAAGCACATTTAATTTTAGCCCTGAAACTGGATCCATTTATGCATCAGGCTTGGTATGAAATGGGAGTTTGCCTTTGCAAGAAGAAAGACTGGTCTGGTGCAGTAGAGGCTTTCGAGGTGAGTATGAATTTTCGATTTATCCATATTCACGAATTAGTACTATTTTGTTTTTGTTAAATTTTGCATTTGTAGATTTGTAAATTTTGCAAAAGTCAATATCCATCAGATTTTTTTCTCTGTAGCGTCCAAAAAAATCTTTTTGAAAATTTCGTATTCATCAGTATTTAACAGTCTGGTCTCTATCAGACATTCTGTTGATTAGCTGACTTATTGTCCATTAATTTCACGCCTCTTCCCTCTAATTTATTTTGCGCCAAAATTTTGCAGCTTTTTCGCGTGATCTGTGAGGCTAAATTGGTGTTTCATTCTAAGTATTCTCCATTCTAAGTATAGTTTTCTATTTTTTGAATTCTGTTAAATGTACTTTCTCTGTACTTCATTTGGAGATCAATCTCATCTATTTTGTTAATGGTTCTGTTTTAAATTTATAAATTGAGATTTTCTTATTTTTTTGAGAAAGCCGTGCGAGGTCACCGTTGTTCAAAATATTTATCTGCGTTGGCAATCAATTTGCGTCAATTGCCATCTTCAAATTTCGCTAGTGAAGCAGCGCGGCTTGCATCGTACGAATATGCAAAAGACCTTTGCGTTGAAGCAGTAAAATTAGAGAAACATAATGGCATTGCGTGGCATGCTCTTGCGAATTCCCATCTTACTTTATTTTTCCTCATGGGACAAACTGAACCAATTTCTCTGGTTTTTTTTTTTTTCATTTAGAAAATAGTTGAGGTAAAATATTAATTATTCTTTATGAACTTTTCACCATTGAGCCTCTTCATCAAATTATGCTACTCCGTTTTTGTTCAACATATTTTTAAACATTTATAGAAATTTGCTATACGGGCTTATGCCAAAGCTTTAAAATATGGTCACCCAGCTACTTTCGGTGATATTCATCTTAATTATGCTACTGCCTCGAAGTTTGATCAAGATTATCAAAACTGTTTGCAACAACTTCGGTTGGCAGTAAAAACTGGATCTGTGGAAGCAACTGAACGTCTAAAAATTCTTAGCTCCTTTTTGTTTAATATTAGCCAAGCTGTTGCAAAACAAGGTTGGTGCAAGGTATTTTCTTGTTCGAAGCAAAAAATAAAGTAAATCTAGTAAATAGGATTTTTTAAGGAATGCAAAATTTTTTTCTGTTCTCTTATATTATTTATTATATATTATTACTATACTGTTTCTCGTTTTGCATTTCGCATTATCCACATTCGCACTTTTTGATAAATAATAAAATGCAATTGCATACTGTCTTAAACCATCTTCTTTATCTGCGAGGCGTTTTACTTTCCTAGTGGGTATTTTTTTCTGTGTTTTCCCGATTCATTTTTTTTCGAAAGAATTCAAGATAAATAGAAATTCAGGTTCAGTAACGGCAAAGCGATTACGTGAGTATCAAAAGTCATTGGGTGAACATGACCTTGGTTTTTACCAATTCGATCGTAATTTTTCAAAATCCAAAAAGCCGGTTTACGTGCAATTCAAAGATTTAAAAAATGGGCTGAATGAAGATGTGGTTATAGCTGGAAAAGTTATTGCTATCATTCCCAATCGCGATGTTATACCATTGTATGTTTTTGAGTTCTCGAATTTGAGTAATATTGATTTTTTAATGCAATTTCCTATCATGCTTTATGGAATTCATCGATAGATCAAAAGAGACTTATATCGTGTCTGAATAAATTTTAAAGTGTAAATCGTAACTTGTAGATAAGCGACAATATACGATATGATATATATTCGATTAAATAGCCAGTCGTTTTTTACTATTTATGTTTAATAATGCAGTGGTTCTTTTTTTCCTTTTTAATCAGTTCAAATTTTAACTGTCTCATTCATATCCATTCATTATTTGTTTATTTCAGGTATTTCTTATTTCAGTGTTTTCATTGTTTGTGATAAGGACGGCGAGCGCCTGGCTTTTGCAGTTTATAATTTCTCGGATCTTTTTACAGTCGTTCTTGGAAATTCATTTTGTGTGGCGAACCCCTATGTGCTTAATGTTAGCGTGGATCTTGAGGTAATTTTTTCGTTTTATTTATCTTTTTTAGGATTTTTGCAATATTTTCATTATTTTAAAAAAGCAGTTAACGATTCTAGTTCGTTCATAAGGATCGTAGAATTCTGGTACCACTATTATCTATCTAGAAGTCAAAGTCTCAGAACTGATATTTTTGACCCCAAACATCTTTTTGGTGATTCATAAAGGGCAATTTGTTTTATTTGTCATTTCAATTAATTCGTCAGATAGAGCTTGTAATTTTCCTTCATTTCTTTTTTATGCTTTTGCTTTCTCTTTGTTAACTCTAATTTCTCAATTTTCAGGCTAAGGACATAAGTCAAGCGAAAGATCAAAAAGCAGTGGACATGAATGCTGACAGAAATATTCATATCAGTTTTAAGGTTGTAAGAGTCATGAATCCAATGTCACTTTTGAAAAATGGCAAAGTCCTGAGTAAAGAGTGCGTTGCTTATTGCACTACTGAAGCATCATGGAATTAATATGCCAATCACATCCCAAAGTGTCTTGTGAATTAATTCATGGTTTTTTTATGGAAGTTAAGTATCCCAGTTTTAAAATATTACTTCGAAAGGCTTTTGCAGCGATTATGAGATATTGAGTTTTTTGATGTCATTATTATGGCACAGATAATTTTATACTAACAATTTTTGCTTTCATTCAACTTCGAATTGAAGCTAACTCGATTGTGAATTTTACGAGGTAAGGAATAACTTATTTGTTGGGCATTCGTCCTTGTAATATATCTGCCATAATTTGTCATTTCAGTGTTTTTTCTGTTGGCAATTGTTGTATCTTCTACTTGTTTTGATTTCTTAATTTTTTAATGACTGTAATTTATTGTTTTCTGTTTAGTTCGAAAGTGGCATTTATTTTTCTTGCGAAGATTGCTTCAGCTGAATGTTTCTGTTTTTTTAAATAAATCTTCAGCTATTGTCTTTTGTCTTCAGATATTCTTTTTCACAAATTTTTGAGCATAACTTCGATGATGCAAACTATAATGCAATCGGGAACTGTAAAGAACGGGCTTTGTGGGGGTGTAAAGAGATGCATAATAAAGGTAATTCAACAGTTGCGAGAGTGGGTGTCAATGCGTTTAACAAGATAAATTTATTTACTTTTAAATAAATTTTGATAAGCGGTAGATTTGTGAAAATAAACGTGATTCTTTCGCGTTTTTTTTCAGTTATACAATTTATAAACGAATTTGGCAAATTAATGCCAAAAAAGAAAATTTTATCGCTTTGTGAAAAACTGCAGATTCGGTCGCTTTAATGAATTTATGCAGTTTCGATTATGAGTAGGTCAATGCTTCTTAAAATTTTTGATTCAAGAGGTACAGTGCCTCATTAGTTTTTTAAAAGTTATTGGAAACCCCCAAGCAGCTTTCGGTTTATACCTGTCGGCACCTTTACAGTATTTCAGATCATGCTAAACTGGGGAACTAAATTTTTATCAAATTTCATGTTTCTTTTCTTAGCTAAATCTTAATTTACAAAATAACACAATTCGCTAGGACTTAGGCTAAGTGAAAGTTGATTTGCCTTCTTCACTCAATATTAAGCTTTCAGTTAGCCTTAGTAAGCGTTTCTGGAGTCCCTGAATCACATTTCAAGGGGTCTAGGATGAATATATATTTGAATATTCTCAGTTTTAAAAAAGAATCAGTTTTAAAGGTACGGTACATGGAACAATTATTCTAGCTTACTTATTTTTTATTGCGGAAGCAAAAAATGAGCTAAAGTTGACAAATATTTACTCAAAGTTACCGACAAATAAAAGAATTTACTTAATGCATTCGAAACATGTGAGTTTAGTCCTTTCGAAATATTGGAATGGTTCGAACGCGAGACGCGTCAGTGGACTTCTTCGGTGTTTGTACTGTCAGCATTCCATCCTTGGTTAATTCGCTTGTCACCGATTCTGCTGTAACATTTTTTGGTAACATAAGCTTCCTTACAAAGCTTCGTTCAATCTAAAAATTTATTAAATTCTTTTTTTTGCAACGGCTTTATGTTTAGAATGACTTAAAAATTTTTTTTCAAGAATTACCATCGAAAAATAAAATTTGACATATACACTAAGAAAATTTCAGGATGGTTAGAGAACTATTTAATGGAAAGGCTTTGTAAATTATGTTGAGGTAAAGGTAACATAGCACTCAATTACCTCTCCGTATTGATCAATCTTCGATTCATGTTTACCTTCGATAATCAGCTGACCATCCACGATATTCACTTTTAAATCCTCGGGTGAAAACTGCGACGTGTCAATTGTAATCGAGAATTGCTCGTCATCGTCAATAATCTAAACAAGAAAGCGAAATTAAATCTGTAATAAATCAATTAATAAATCTAATTATACGGAATCTAATCCTAAAACTCATTTTACAAAGAAATGCATAAATTTTTATCAAAAATTCAAATAATATTTCCAATTCAAATAATATAATATTTTTAAATTTCTGCATTATTTTCATCAGCTTCGGAGCCATTTTTAATAGTCATATTTTTTAAGCCTACTTTTCTCTGTTTAGCTTATTTGATGGCAAATAGATGGAAATATTTTCAAACCTATTTCAGGCTGTTTAGCCTTTCGCTGAATATCTTTAGGTATGTTTATAAATCAAAATTTTTGCATAAATTTTGAATCATTTATTTTAATGTGTAGTAAAAATCTTCTTTAACACCCATATAAATGGTGTTTTTATAATAAAAGTTAGTCTAATCCGTTTAAAATAAAAATTTTCACATTGCCAACCCCATCGCCAAATTTATTCGATTCCTTTAACGTATAATCCGTCCAATAAGGCCTCGTAAAATGGCGTTCAAAATTTCGATCACGAAAATCATCGAAGAATCGATTCGAGAAAAAATGTGGATAAAATTGTCGGGACATTACTATTACTGAAATTGTCATTTGCTCATCGTTTTATAATTGTAAACAACTTGTTGAAACAAAAGGATTCCTTGAATAGACGAATAATGAACTGCTCAATTTAAGTTTTTTACTTCGAAAAAAACGAACAAAATTAAGGCTATTAAATATTAGCGATGTTATTTATAAGTCGCATCATGTATTCTCATATTACGTATGAAGAATACATTTCTATTCGTATTACGGTATATGTACTTCAGTTTACACGAAAAAACCATTCAATCCAACATATATTTATTTTATACAAAAGTAAGTTCTTATAAATTCTTTAAATTAAAACAGAACTAAATTTTGGAATCATTAAGGAGCAAATATCAGTTTTACTATGGCTAAATTTGTTTTATCTTTTATCGTAATTTTCAGCTGCAACTATTAAAGACAACAAATTTACCATAGGTTCTGTTAGAAATTAGTTATTCTTATCAGAAACATATATCATAGTGATAGAAAAAACAAGGCTTGAAAAAGTACGAGTGGAATACCACAATTTCATTATGGAAAAAATAAAATTTAGAAAGAAATCGAAATAAGATAGATGGGAAATTTGACATATTTGTGCAAGCGAATGAAGAATGGGAAAAACTCTCGAATATAGGAAAGCAACAAAAATTTCCTAAAGGTTCTTGTTTAAGAAGAAAACAGTAACAGAAAGCTTGTTCATAGAATTAAAAAGACGGTGGCAATTGTCGATAGGTGATAGTCATCGCAGTGAGAACAGTAATGAGTCCTCTTTTAACTTCGAAAAATGATCGAAACACTAGAGGAGATATTTAACTCCTTGCTTGCTTGCTTGCTGTCTGCCTGTTCCAATGAACGGTGTTAATATTTATTGCCGTTTTATTTTTGGAAAAAACTGGTTTCATCGGTTAAAATGTGAATTAACAATTTATCATTTTCGATTAAATTTATTGAACAAATTATTGAACAAAATTTTCATTGGAAAATGTAATTTTCTGAATCGTTTAAGTGTATCTCTTTTTTCCCAATAATTTACCAATATTTTTTGTTCTTTTTTTCAACATTCCAATAGTTATCATTATTATTTTCATCGTCATATGATTCAACGGCAATGTATATGAATGCAAAAATGAAAGTTTTTATGATTTATATCTCTTCATTTAGAATTAAAGTGGTGATTTTTGGTTTTTTTTCATCGTTGGGACAATAAATTGGTATCGAATGATAGGGGACTTTTTGTAAGAATTGCTGAAGAGAGAACTGTTTTAAAGAAAATTTGCCGATCACGGTTAGTGCTATGGATCCATCTGTGCTTCTTTCTTCACTTGAAATCTTTCGCGATTTTCATCTATAACAGTTAACAGAGTTAACGAGACCAGAAGTGATAAATGTTCACTAGCAGAAAATTTCCAATTTTCTTGGCTTTTTTTTCATCTGTTTATCCTACCATGCTTAATCTGTCACTTTTCAATGAAGAATGCATGAACGCTATCAGCTCAATCCAATGATAATAATATACTAACGAATGGACTGAAAGTACAGTGATATTACAAATTTTCGCTAATTTTAAATTTCTATTAATTATATACAATTTCTGTTAAAAAATAATGATAATCAAGGAAAACTTCGTCACTAATCACAATCGTTATTAATGGATGGAAAAACCTTCCGAAAGTTTTGTTGTAAAAGTGACGAGGAATTTTGATATTTTACCCCTAAAATCAATATTTTTGCAATAAAAATAAGACAAAATTTCGTAACTAAATTTATTAGTTGGCAGCTAGCTGGTTAAGTAATCGAATACGATAAATGACTGAATGAATGACGGAAGATAAATTTTCTGTGAACAGTATGGATGCAGACCTTGTCTTTGCTTGTGCTTAAATTTTTTTTTCAGTAAGTGCTGTTGAAATCCGCTGAGCAACTGCAGTCATTAGAAACCATTCTTGCAATTTAAACAGAAAAAAGAAGAGGAAAAGAAGAGGCTTTTCGTACTTTAGCCAGCCAAACCAGTAGCGGCGCTGTGATCTGCTAGAAGAGTGAAGAATCGAATGCTAAAGTTTTTTTATAGTTCACATATAACTAACGAATTTGAAACTGCTAAAATATGATGAAATCTGCACATTTTTTTCTATTTTATTTACTCTTTTATATTTAAAATTTTTATAAAAGAATCAATCAATTGTCATAAATTACTGTTTATTGCTTCAAAAAGTAGGAATCAGTCAACTTGTGACTACTGTAATAAATTATGAGATAATGATAAGAAATAACCAACATTCCAAATAATTTTCATTTGTCATTTGCGAGCAAATTATTTCTTTGCAAACGGCAACCGTCTTATCCTTCTGTTTTGCCTGTGTTCATCAGTTAATAATTTCAGCTTTAGTCAATCTGCAAGAATAAATTCGTACAGCAAAGAAGATTTTACACTTTACCAAGGATTATGGGTTCGATTCCTGCGCTTTGACGAAGGCAAATTTACCATTAGGGGTGAAGAGGGGTAAGCTGCTTCGCAAAATTCACCAAAATTAGCAATTATTTACGGTATTGTATAGACATTTCATGAATGATGGAATCACAAAGATGGCTTTTTAAATTTCTAAAAAAGTCCTCTCAACGAAAAAAGAATCCATTGTACCAAAATTATTCGGACACTTGTATGACATATTTTCTTGTTATCATCAAATATTATTTCTCTTAGAATTCGTCGATTTACCACAAACTAGTTTCATTCACAACTTCTAGTTGCTAGAAAAATCATTCAATAACCAATAAATAATGTATGTGAAAAGTGAAAAAAAAAAAGAAATACCAGATTTTCCATTTTTCAGACAGCTTAAGGCCGAAGCTAGTTTTGATGAAGGCCGTTTACCACAGTCCTTTTTAATCTTAACGCATGAACGAAAATTTGATTAACAAACTGTTGAGCAAGAAGCATAATCGGTCCATCCGGAAGCCAAATTTTAATGGGTTAATATTCAGTATCCCTGGAAAGCATTAAACTGGACGCAATTTAAAACGAATGCCACTAAATTTGCAATATCAGTAATAAGCAGAAAATGATCTTCAGAATAATTTTTTTTTTATTTATTCAAATATTTAATTAAGCCAAATTGCTTTAGCCCAATCAACAAAAATTAAAGAAAGCAGAGAGTGTAAAGATTTACCTTGAGAAAGGTAATAAGTAGTTCGCGATTATTATTTCTGGTTAGGCTTACTCCACTGGTTGTTACCAAAAGATTTTTACCAGAGATAGCCTTGTGGATAGAATTGCAAGTGTATCACCAGCACATGAATTTTTTACTGTCAGTTTATTCTTGTCGGAGGTCAGACCGGACCTTTACGTGCGAGACAATGATACGAGCAAAAATCACTTGGCTATCCTGTCTCAAAACAGTGTGCGAATACCAAACCCGGCTAACTCCATAAAGCGTTTGACAACGGTACCCCGAAAAATGTGATGGTTATCATCCACTTCAATCAAATTTAGCGAAATGCGAAGATTACTATTTCTAATAAAATTGCCTATGTTAACTATTAATGCTGCTTGAAATTTTTGCTAGAGATTCCACTTGAGAATAGAATTATATGGTAAATCACTATATTAAGTTAAATAAAAGGTTTTCATGAAAGAAACGTTCCAATTTAATTTTAAAACTGCGAATGAGGGAAAATTCGATAATTTATTTCAATATTCCCAAAAAATTATAAATTAAAGCGAAAAATCAAAAAAATTATAAACTTTTTAATTGAAAATACCTCATTTTATTTGAAATTTTCGCAAAAAAATTCATTCGATTGAAAATTTTTAATAAATTCTTCAATCAGATAGAAATTTGAGTTTTTTTAAAAAAATGAAAAACTTATGAAAATAAAAGTATAGAAATAAAAAACAAAAAACTTAAAAGTGCAACAAACGATAATTGATAATTGACAAAAAGTTTTTTTAACAAAAAAATAATTTCTCTTCTCTAATTATGCATTCATGCAACACAGCTGAAGTATTTAAACGCAAGTGTTGTTAATGAGATACGGAATGGCAAGCAAATCATTAGTGCTTAACTAAGCAGTTGCTCCAGCTGGTTGCATCTTTAGCAGCTTATCTCTTTCGCTATGAATATTTTTTGGCCAACGACTTGGTGGCTGTTCCCAAAAATTTGAAATTGGGTTTAAAATATTAAATTAAGGGTTTAAGAGAATATGACAATATGACAATAGCTAAGTATGCAACAAAATATTTAAATAGTTTTTCAGTTCCATTCTAAATTAATTCGAATTTTTGGAAAAAATAATAGCTTTTTCTTTCCAGATTTGACGAAATTTGCCGTGTAGTCTTTAAAGGTTAAAAGCCAAAGTATCTGAAAGTTTCCTAATTTGGTCAAAAAACTATAAAAAAATTCCCGTGCTACCAAATTTTCATCTGAAATAAATCGTATAAACTTCATTATTAATTTCATTTCATCGGCCTATTTTTTTCTAAATTTTAAAATCAATTCGTTCAACAATTGCTTTGAACGATCGAAATTGTCTTTTGGTTCGCATTTCTTGGGCGATTCGGAATCTTTTATGATATTAGATAATTGAACCTAAAACAGTTGCTAATTATCTCATTAAAATCCTTCGAAACCAGTAGTTTATCTGAAATGAAAAGAACGCTTTTGAGAAAATTTCACTGCTATTGTTCATTCTTATAAATTATTAGTGAAAATTATTTCAGACAAAAAAATGAAACAAACCATTTATATATTGTTCGTATTATTTGCATTTTTCAAACCCACCGCTAGTGTAAGACAGCAATCTATTCGAGTAACTGGAACGCTAAAATGTGGTGATAGACCTGCATCCAATGTGCATGTGAAACTATGGGATGAGGACGATGGTAATTTTTTCGTTCTAAATCATTGAATGCACTTGGCCCAAATGTTCAGTTAAAACTGGTGAAAATTTGTAAATAGTTGAAATATACAGTTGCTATATGTTAAAAAATGAATTCTATCTTAAAGCCCTTCCATATCCGTGTTTTCTACTTCTATCTGACTTTTAGGGCCTGACAGAGACGACGTCCTTGCTGATAAAGAAACCGATTCGAATGGTTATTTTGATATGGAGGGAAGTGCTCATGAGCTACTGACAATCGACCCCGTTCTCAAGATATATCATGATTGCGACGATGCACTGGTAAATTTTTTTTTCGAACGACATTGGTCACATTACTAGTACATAATTATCCTTTGCCATGAAAATTTTAATTATTTCATTAAATAAAGAAATTTGTGGCAAAAAAGCAGTCCGAATTCCAAATTGTTTTTAATGGAAATTTGTTACAGCTCGGTCAACGCAAGGTGAAATTCCTCATCCCCACCAAATACATTACTGTCGGATCGCATGCTAAAAAGCCGTTCAACATCGGTGTGCTTAATCTGGAAACGATATTTCCCGGGGAAGAACGCAAAATTCTCTAAAATTCTTAAGTCGCGCTTACGAAACTTTAGGAATTTAATTGTATCAGTTTAATGATACCAATAAATTGACGCATTGAAGGAAATGCAGTTTTACCGTATATTTTAAGGTAAAACAAACTCCATTCCAAATCTTCCCTAGCAGACAATTTCATAAATTTCATAATATCTCATAAATATATTAAAAATTAGTGATTGTTCCTCAGATTTATATAAATATTAAAATAGCTAAACAACATCAGTTATCTGCATTGTATTCATCTAGACTAAATTCTATAAAAAATGAAATTTACACTTATAACATTGCATTGTTCTTCATTCAACATCGCTCACCATTTCCCGCTTGATTGGCTCCACTGGCTATTTGGTGATGGCTATCACATCATTTTATTAAACATATATATGAAATGAAACATTGTATGCGGTCGTATGATTACAGCTAATTATAGCCTTAACATAATATCTGCAATTAATAACGTGAGGAAACTCATTATTCGCTTTTTATTTTGGAGCTTCATTTATTGCACGCAAAAAAGAAAACTAAAATAAAATTTTCTTCTCAACTATTAAGGAAATTTTAATAAAGATGCGCAAAATTAATGAAAAAAAGTTTAAAAAATAAAATAAGGAAAAAAATATTCTAAAAAAACTAAACTAAATCCAAGGCTTTGTACACTAACCTCATACTTTCCTTTCCGTTTATACAAATGCTGAACCTTGAACCCTAAATTAAAGCAAAAAATTGTAGTTGAACAACAATTCAGAACAATTTTAACTGGCACAAAGTGAATATTAGATCAGCGATTTGTACACGTTTAGAACTGAGTTTAATTAGAGTTTTATAAAGATGCTAATTTGAACTAAATGCGTGTTGTTAAGTGGTCCATTTTATCAGATACCAGATCATCAATTCGCGTCATCAAAGGAAATGCTCCGTTCAGATTACCAATGTATATTGATTTAGCAACAAAAGTATTGGATGAGCGATTTATTATTATATAGGATGCCGCAAGGCATATCGATCTGCTCACATGTGTTCAAGCAATTCTCATTCTCACTAAATCTGGAATATCATCTATTTGTACATTTTTTCTTTGGTTTAATAGCCCATATCCTCCTATTTATTTATATCCTTCTATTCTATTTATTCAACTTTAAGCTTCAAGTTTTAGAAGGTTTTCAAACAAAATCGAATTAAAAATAGCGTTGATGCTGAAGTTCCACCCGCAAGGAGTAAGCCTGTCTTTTAAAAATCGGCTGATGTTTCCCGCCTGTATTTCTGTGGCCAAGAAGCTCATTCTCAAAATTCAAAATTTATCAGGTCCGAGCTAGCGGGGCTAGCTTAGCCAGAAGAAGTGAGCGCTCTTTGAAAAAAATGATGGAATGGTGAGTGTTGCTGGAGACCCGATCGTACTTTTATCTCCAAATGGCTTTCCAGTGAAAGATGTTCATCCTTGTAGTTTGTGAAGAATAGGAAAAGACAGAACTCTTCAGGCCTATGTAGATAATACCACTTTGTATACGGCTCACCTCTCCAAGAATTCTGTGGCTGCTGAACTATTGAAGAAGCAATCTGAATGTAAAGAAACTTGTCGAGGACATGAGTCATTGACTAACTCCAAAAGATTAAATATCACGTTCTTTCCTTATGTTGTAATAGGTTTGACCAGTAAATTCTAATGGAAGCAATAAAAGAACTAAGTTTCCCCAACTCACTTAAATAAGTTAGGTTCATTAGGTTCAATAATTTTCTATGTATTTAAGATTGTAGCCAAAAGTGTACTCAAGTATGCGTATAATTAGATATAACAACTCAGAAAAGACATGTGATATGGACCGATTTGGAAAATATCAGTGGTTCTACTGATTGGAAACAACAGTTCATCGTTTTATTGTAGTGTTTGCAATTTAGGTCTTTTGCAATAACCCAATTCACTCGCTGTACCCACTTCGATTATTCGAATACAGCCGAGTAGTTCGTTTTTTTGTTAAACTTATGTTTAAAAGCTCAGTCATATTTTTCCAAATTATGTTTTTCCTCTCGAAGTAGGCACGATAGCAGAATGGGTAGTGGTTAAGAGTTCGAGTCGTGAATTTTGCAGGACCGAACTGTCCTGAAAAAAGCTTCTGTACTTCTGTCGCCAAGCGACCCACTCGCTTCTAAAAATTTCTTACCATTCTAGCAACCTTTAATTTTTTTCAGATTTCACAATACAATAATTGAAAATTTTTGATTGAAATCGCTTAATCTTCTAACAAGGGAATTCCTCGAGAATATGCCATAAACAAAAGGCAAAAGGAAAAGCATTGGTACTATTCGTCCATCACCGCCGGCAAGTTATCCCATTTACTCCTTTCTTTTTCCTTCTCTTTTTTCCTTCTTTTCCGCCTGTTTACTTTATTTAATCCATGTAGGCTCAATTTTTCCGCGTGCATTATCTTTTATCGCCGTACTTTCTGCGATAAGACCAAATAACCGAACAGTATGGAGCCGAGTACATATCTTAAATAAATTACTCCAATTACCTCATATCTCATATATCCATTTGGTGGAAAGAGCAGTTGTTCCTCCCTAGCTTTCATAAAGTTCTAAATAACGATATAACAAGTCCTCCATATTACGTTTATCGCAATATAAGATCAAAGATTTATAGCTGTAAAATTCGAAATAGTTGTAAGACCAATTGGATGAAATAATGTTCGCACCGCATGCCGGTTATTTTCGCTCATTAGGTGTTTCGCCGTATATAGCTAGTTCGTCGCCAACTCAAATGGCTTTTACTTTTGCTGCATTCTGCTATTTATTCGCTCTTATTGCCGTTGCTTTTTGCATTTTCTTCGCTATTTTTACGGTATAAATCTTTTTTTGAAATAAAGTAAAAATGAAAAACAAAAAATTTGAAAGAAAAAAAAATAAAAAAATGGGCAAAAATAAATGAAATAAATAAAAATTACTTTTCCTTTTTAAACGAAATGAAATTATTTAAGAATGGAAATTTTTAACTTTATTAATCACAAAATGAAAAGTTTTTCAAGAAAATTATCATTCTCTTTCAAATCCTTAATTGCTATTCGTCGTATGTGCGACATTAGGGCGCCGAATGGTTGCCTCGTCGTCAGCCTTATTTCTCCATTTTTACTTTTTTTCTTTCACTTTCCCTCACCTAATTATGTTCTTTACACTACCAGAGAGAAAAAATTTACGGTGTCATTTTCATTTTTGAAAACTTATTTAAACTGAGAATTTGTTAAAAGTTTATTTTGTTTTGAAAGTTTTATTTATTTCATTTCAAAAATTTGTGATTGTCTAAATATATATATATATTTTATATATATATATATATTTTTTCTGGGAGCATTGATTAGGCTCGCTCCACTGCCAGGCCTATCAGCTTAAAGGATTTCTGAAAGGCAGATTTATTCCGCCAGGTGTGGAACCGTAGCAACGGTGCGCAAAGAGCAACTACCCATTGAGCCATTCTGCCATATAGTTTTTTGTATTATGGCCGAATGTTTGAAATGATCTTATTGCATGAAACTTTTCCGTTTTTTTTCATAATTTTAATGAAAACATTTTGCAAAGGTTATTTGTATCGATGAACTGAAAACGGATTATAAGAATCCAATAGAACAATGTAAAAGTTTGAATCAGGTAAATTTTCTAAGAATTCTTTCTGAATTTCCTTTCAGAATCTGCGGTTTGATTAAGTTTTTATATTAGTTTTTAACTTTTCATTTCTCAAATTTCTGCGGTTTGATTAAGTTTTATGTTAGTTTTTAGCTTTTCATTTCTCAAATTTTTTATGGGATTTATATTCGAAATTTCTTTTAGTAATATTAACAAAATTTGGCAAAATTCCTACTTTATTTCTAATTCGGCCATAAGAAACTCCTAATTTTTTTTTCCTTCAAAATAGTTCTGTAAGTGAATTTTACAGTTGGTTTTACCGGAATATTTGCTTCACATATTTTTTACTCTATTTTTTGTGTTGTCGATGCAACTTGGTGCAATTTGCTGGAATCTTCCACTCGTTGCTTATCATGTTCACAGGTTTTCAAGTTTTCTTGAACAAATTTGGGAAGGGTATAGCCACTGTGTTAGGTTTAAAAATAAGGAAGAAATTCATTATGCAAAGTTCCCTTTTGCTTTTTTTCACAGCAGTTTTCTTGACCTTGCTTCTGTCTTCGGTAAACTGGATTTTTTCGTCCTTCGAAATTTTTTAATAGTAATTTCAGGTATATCAATCGTCCAGTTATGTCAGGGCCGGGTATTTATGATCCTACAAAAATTCTCAATCAGGATGAATTGCAGCGAATTCTTCGAGAAGGTTGGATCAAAATTGGGTTTTATTTAATATCTTTTTTTTATTATTTATATGCCATGATTTATACTCTCGTCACTTCTGTATAAGTTTAATTGGTTTTTGTTTTGCTTTTCAAAGTTCATCTACTTACTAATTGAGATAATTAATAGTTTTATGAAAATCATATTTATATATAAAATTTTTTATTTGAATGTTGTCTTTTTTTATCTTTAAACATCTTAAGATATATTTTTGATTCCTTTAAAGTAGATTTTAACTGCACATAATTGTGTCGGCTTTTTTTATTTTAAATTACCAGTGTTAAAGTTTTCCGCATATTTTTTTTGTGTTGTATTTTTGATTTATATTTTGATTTGATGTACATTTGTGATTAATCTTATACATGTATCATTAAGTTTTTAAATTATTGCTAAGTGAATTGCTTGAAAGAACCGAATTGTGCTTTTTTTTCTTGTTTTATTGATGTTTGGAAAACAGTGGAATGAACCTTCGCTATCAAATCGCTATCAGTGAAAAAAAGTTTCAACCATCATCGCTTTGTGAGAATGCAGTTATTTTCCACCGGATTTTTGCCATTAAATAGCAGGTTTAGAGAATGCCATAAATTTTCGGTTGAATAAATTATTCGTCAACAGGGAATAGAAAGTTTATTGGTTAATAACCGCAGAACTGAATGAGAACAAGGAGAGGAATGAATTCGATACTGTGAAGACGAACAATTAAACATAGTGGGTTTATAAAGGGCTATAGGAATGAATATACAAACATTTGCCCAAATAAAAACGTGTGACTACGAATGGCAGAAATCAGAAATTTATTTCTCCATAGAATGAATGGATGTGCAACAGCTGCCCTATTTAGCATATACAATGTGGAAATGGAAAATTAGATTGGCATTTATATCGTAATGGGCATGCGCAAGATTAGGTCAAAATTCCACAGTTTAAATTATTATTGTGAACTGCAACTGCAACTGATGCTTTCGGACACATAGTTTTTCCATAAAGGTAGCCGATTTCATCTTGGTCGCCCACGGCAATATTTAGCTCTTCGGTTTTTCTATTCTCATTTGAAATTTGGTTCTCCTGCAAAAAAAAAAATTTTATAATTTAATTTCTTTTATTTTTAATTTAATTTTTTGAAAATTTAATTTTTCGGAAGAAAAATTTAAATGTTTTTTTCCGAATTTTAAAGTGTTTAGCGTCAAACATTTTCAGTTGCCCATTTTCAATCTGCTTTGGTGAATTTATTTGAAATTTAGAATTTTCAAACTAAAAGTTTCCATAAGAAATTTTAAAATTGCTGGTCGATCGTTTTCCAGACCGTTAGTGCGCTTGCAAATTTATGAACTGCTGACCACCAGTGAGTTGTGCGAATGAAATTATGGAGATAGAAAGCGATGTTGAAATGGTTTGGTTAAATTGTACGATTTAAAACAATTTCTATATGAACAGTCACGACGCATTTATTTTTATTAAGTTAAATGTTCCTGCGGTGAGTAAATGTGTTTGATTGTATAAGTGTTCTTTACGCAAAAAAAGACAGAAAACTATCGGTTGAATTTTGGTGGTCATCGATGAGAAATATTATCAACAAAATGAAAAAATATGTGGTTGAAAATGATGAAAGAAATAAAGAAATTTCCTTGAACTCTGAATTTTTTAAACTAAAAGCAGTATTTTCCAAATTCAGTTAATTTATTACTTTGCATTTTCTCTGAGAGAACGGGGAAATCCAGTTGACATGCCTGTGTTCTAGTTTACCTATAATACCTATAAGAATAAATTACGAAGCAAAAAAAAGCTTTATTTCCACGAACAAAAAATTTTATTCTTTTCCTAGAGAAACTCTCCCGTTAACAATCATGTAATAATGCTTCATGAAAGGCATTCGAATTGTTTATTTAATAAAGTCTCGCAACATAGGGAAAGATTGGCAATAATAATAGAGATTCAGGAAAAACTGGGCTAGTTGGAGTAACAAATAGATTGAAGAGCTAATAGATGGCAAAAATTTTGAATCTTTATTTTCATTAATATTTGGCTGAAATTTCGCATTTCCTTCGATTATACAGTGAAACGGGGCGTCGAATGTTATTTTCGACTGAGGTCAAGTGTCATGGGCTCTTAAATTAATAATGCAATCTGAGTTGATGGAGACTTAAGGCGAAAGTCAGTCGGTAGAACCAGCCAATCAGAAACATTGAGTGATCCTAGAAAAATAGAAAGAATGTTAACTAGGAGTACCTTTTACTTCAGTAGTAATAGAAATCCTAGAAATCATATTTTCGTGTTACAATGCTCGATATTCATACTCTTAATTAATAACTTACGTTAAATGGCATCAAAAACGAGGAAGCCCAATTAAATCCGACACTACCAGATGAGATTTAGAATGCATAGGCTGGCTACTGATATACGAATTTAGCTAGTGAGAAAAGAAGTGGTTATTATCAGGAATGACATCAGATTGGGAGACTTGGGAACGTCTTGCCTTGGTCGCCAGTGGAGCAAGCCCAAACCAGCAGTTGTGCGAAGTGTTAGAAGAAAAAAAAGAATGATCAAATAGTTCTGTTACGAATTTAGCGGATTTTTTTTGACTATACAACAAAAGGGAAAAATATGAGCAGCTGAAATACTGAATTATCTATGGTACAACTCGTTCACTTAAACATAACAACTAGAATCACAACACTTTAAAGCTCAAAACAAGTTAATTTATAGGGTTTTCCCAAGTTATCACAAATTTTGAGAAGGTGAGTCTCAAATATCAAAAATGTCGAGTATTTTTCTGATCATTTTTTTTTCAAAATGTAATTTCTTTAGGTGAATTGGACCGTTAACCTTCAACTGTGTTAGAAATATGAAAAGTTTGCGTGAAAAGAGAAGTTTTTGGGGTAAATGCCGAGAGGCAGTGACAAGGCAGTGTAAAACATCGAAAAACCGGTCGGGTGCGGAGACTGAGATGTTTTGGGTTTTGTATCGGTTAGAATTCAACGATTGTCCTTTATCATTCTTGCCTACACATCCGATGGGGCCTTAATGAATCCACCATACTTATTTAGTCTTCTATTATCATTTTCATTCATCGCTTTTTTTGCTTTTCCCATAAATTCTACCGTATTTTCAACTTCGCTTCAATTATGTCGTGATCAGTGTACTGATCGTAATTTGGTAAGTTTTTAATTAATTGCCAAAAAATTTCACTGATAGATTATCTCGTTTGATAACTTTTTCATCGTCGTATGCAACTTTCGTTCTTCGTTGTTTGTCTTCTTTTTTTCATTAGTTTACTCATGGCTTCGCAACAAAATTGAAATTTTCTTGTCAAATGATGATAATTTGTTCGTAATTGATTAAATCAAATTAGTCAGTCATATTTCAATTTCATGATGATGATATCATTAATATCATTAAAGTTCAAAATTTTCATTCTAGTTGGTTTTAAGAACTTTGCAAATCGAGTTGAGCCGTCGATTCAAGTACTTATTGAGCTTATCTCATTAAGTTGTCAATGGCACAATATTGCAATTCGCGGATGCTGGAGAGCCATTTTAGCAAAAGATCATTGAGCCTTGAGTAATAGAGTAAAGAGCCTTGAGTAAAAGAAACTGTACCAGAATTTTGAATAGTGTTAGATGAAGAAAATTTCATAGCAATTCCATCATGGAAGAATGTATCAAAATACCAACCCACAACCGCTAATTACTATTTTCCATATTTACTACTCCAGTGTACCAATTTTCACAGCCCAGGTGCTTTAATTTTTCGAAAATGTAATGAAAAGATAATGAAACCACGTTTCAAATTCTGCAAAACCTTATTGAAATTTGATTGTAGTCTGCAAAATTTTATGTGAAACGGATCACGAATGAATCCAGGTGCTTATGATTCATGTTCCAGTCCTGAGAAATCGTTTGAGATAAAAACTAGATAGTATAAATTCCGTTTATCATACCGGTTGGTTCCGTTGAATGGATTTTAAAGAATCATTAAATAAAAACATTGGTCAAACTTCGCTCAATTGTAGCCTACTTAGAAACTTTCTATCATATCATTTAAATCCATTTCATTATCCAAAAATTTTAAAATATTTAAAATTGTCTTTTATTTTTTGTCTCAAAAGGCTCATCTGCTAAGTTTCCTTTTGATTCTTTATTTTTTGTTCATTTTATGGGAAGAAAAATTTTTAACATTTTCTTTTTTGCTTTTTTTGTTCTATAATGCTTTGTTGTTTTCATACAAAACTATCAATTATATCAACTATCATTCGATTTTGCTTACTGATTTCATTAATTCCGTCATTAATTTCATTAATTAATTTCGTTGAACTGAATACAGCTTGCAATTCTACAATTGAAACGTTCAATTTATTGCCGTAATTTAATTTCTCAGTTATAAAATTACTTAGAAATTAGGTCTAAGAAAGCTGTCAAGCAGGTTAATTGGAATTTTGTGGTGCCTTATTTATTATATATCCGAGGAATAGCAAAAAAACTACTTGTAAGTGAACAATAAACAATTCCAGCTTATGCTTATTGCAGATTGCTGCTCTTGCTCCTGGATCTCTTGACTGGAGCGATGGACAAGTAACCAGCAATTTGTCGCAGAAACTAAGTGCAGTTAGTTTTAGATTCAAAAAATTACAGAGATGATCTTTGTTAAACTTCGATATTTATAAAGACTTTAACTTTAACTTTAAGATTTTAAGTTCGAAAATCTGGCATCTCCGAAGTCTTTCTAAAGTGGGACGAACCACCTAAATTATTATATATGAATCAGCTTTCCTTCATATCTTTTATTTTCAACCTAATGATCAGTACTGTTTAGCACTTACATCGAGATTCACTCCCAATTGTTCCTATACGGTAACGCTGTGTTGAGCATCATTTTTTCAATTGAATTTGTTAATTTTGATAGGTATTTTCGATTTCTACTAGATAAGATTCATGGCTAATCATATCATACTTTTAATTTTATATTATCTTCTAGTGTTATGTCGGATGTCAAGATCTAGAATCGATAAATTCAACATGTGAGGATCGTTGTGTTTCAATTTTCCAAAAAAATAGTTGTGTTCAAGGATGTCGTGCAGTCGCTGATATTTTTCTTCATAAAATTCAAGGTTAAGCTTTAATGCAAGGTTCTCACTTAATTGGACATATACATAATATATAATATAATTTATACATAAACTTAAAATAGAATGGTCAAAAAATAGTTGAGTAGAACCAATCTATCCATGTATGTTTTTGCAATCTTGATTCTCAAATTATTTAAATGGATGATAGTGTGTGTGTGTTATTTTTGCGATCCATGCATCCACAGCTTGCAGGAATTTTGCTCATGTTTTTCTCTTCTTTTACTGCCGTAGGATAAATGAAAAGAATGTTTATTCATCAACTGACTAATCTTTCTAAATTAAATCGAACTAGTGTCTTCTTATCTTTTCTTCAGATTTGTTGCATCATGCTTCGGTGTCCATTGAAAAGGAAGAATTACAAGGTGTTGATGTGGTTTGGAGTCTTAAGGAAGAATATGGCTCAATGGTCAACGAAATCTCAGCAGCTGATATTCAGTGGGCTGTTCATAGTCGTCCTGCTAATTCTAATTTACAATGGACTATTAATACTATAGATCAAAAGGTTGTATATTCATAAAATATAAAATATGAAATATAAAATGCATCGGAAATGATGACATTGAGATCGTTAGAGAGCAACTTTTAATTAGTTTAGTCTTCCCCTGTTAAGTGACACTATTTTTCCACAAAATTTTTCGATAACTCATCCACTGGCAATCATTTTTTCAAAAGTGTTTAAGGTTTTTAAGGGTGATTCAATGCAAACAAAAGTTACAATACCGAGTGTTTTTGCAAAAGAAATCGAGGTACTTTGCAATTAAATTTTGCTTTATATTTTTATGCTTGTATAGATGAAAAGTAAATTGCGAATAATGAATTTAACCGCTGGTGTGAATTTCCTTATTGCGGTAGAAAAGATTTTTCCAAAGAAATTGCTTATGACTGTGCATCGCAGATATTATCCCATATTTACCCAGTTTTGCTTCAGTCATTTTGGCTAAAAGATACATTATTCTCAAATGAATAGTTAATTTAATGAATGCATAATTTTGCGATGCATTCTACCTATGGCTTCTTCTTGATTTCTAAATAAATAATTTTTCAATTTATATCGTTATCCACGTGCTATAATAGTTTTTGTTCATTTGTGGTACTTTTTAAAAGGCTAATCCTGTAAATTAAAGATTGGATGAATATTACAAGGCTGTTTTTAAATAGTCCATAAATCTATTTCGAATTTGTCGAATTATTGGAGAATAGTACTATACTTAATTTTTTCTTTTTTTAACAGCCCTCATATTGCTGATTAGACTCGATCCGCTGGCTTATCACACTAAACAATTATGCCAAGGAGTCCCTTGGCGATAGAAGTACAGGTGAGTAGCCAGCACCATCCGGTTTTTGTACATTGATTTACTCTTGCGAGAAATAGGACCTCAACATCGGCGCTCCGAATTGAGCAACAGTCCACTGAGCCATTCTAGCCTCCCTGAGCTTAATAGTTATTAGTTTAATATTAATAATTTATAGGTTACTGTAGTGGGTGCTTTCTACAGAGTTTTCTATGCTTTCATCATGTATAATTTTTTATTCGTTAGATTAGACGCTAAGTTGGTGTTGGGAATCCATTTGTACTTCTATCTCTAAATGATTCTTTGAGCCTCATCCCAGTAGCCAAACCAGAAATGCTGAGTGAAGTTAAAAGAAGAAGCCGTAGTAAACCAGTTCCATTGGAAATTTGCTTGTAAATAGATTTGGTTAATTCGATATTATCTAAGAACAGGCAAGAACGTACAGTAAAATGTGGATCTCCGTAAGAGAGGACTTTTTTTCAAAGATATCATCCTCTTACTTTTCCTTTATAAGTATTTTATATACTCCCTTATCAATGCCCATATTCAGAAAAAATTCAGCAAAGTAACTGGGCAAAAATTGGCACTTGCCATGATAGATATTTTATCCAACATTAGGCGGTCAAGACAGCCACTAGATGAAAAGTCAACCACTAGATGATACCTAGGAATTTTTTGGTTATTTCCAAATTCGTTAGAAGATCACAGGTTAGAGTCCACTAATCTATATCAAAAATAGTTGATTATACCTTTTTGTTCGTGGTTGACTTTTTGACGCAGTTCAGTCATTTACCTAATTAACTACAAATTCACATTTTTTGCAAGATGCATTGAGATTTTTAAACCCAGAAAATCTTGGATTATAATTTGAGTATTCCTTGCCATTTTTACCTTAGTCAATATTCACAAATGCAAGTTTTACCAAAATGCTATTAAATTTCACAAAATTTATCATAAAAATTCATCGAATTTGATATTATTAATGACTTTAGCTTCGATTGTGCATATATTGGCGATCGAATATTATAGCATCAAGGAGTTTCATAAAAGCTATCGATGCAACCTATGCAAAACCTCAGATACCTTCAATTATTGCTCATATGCAAGTATCAGTTCATGCTTATGTTGTCTGCTGGTCAAGTGTTGTGCCAAACATTTATCGAATAGCTCTTTCATCTCTAGATGGCACCGAATTATTATCAGATTCAACTAACAGTACTTGCTATTTGTTTGACAATCTTATAACCGACAATTGCTGTCGAGTTCGTATCGGATATATATCAACAGATGAAGCCCAAGCTTCAATTGAGATAAATATTAAGCACGAAGCGAGAGTAGAAGGTTTCGCTTATTTTTATTCACTTTTTTTTCGAATATTCGAACTAAGATAGAATAAACTATTTAACTTAACAAATTTAATGCAGATTCGTCGATTATCTTGGTTCGCCAACTTGTTTTGACTAACGGAACATCTTTATTAATGTTGACCGACAATAACGATTATGCAATCTTGACCGAACCAAAAATTATTCCATTTCAACTTCCTTCGGGTAGAACTATAACGGGTTTGTGTCAATTTCTTAACTATATTTTCTATATCAGCAATTTTGACATTTTTTTTCAACTTAAAACTTAATTCTACATTATTTGAATAACTTAACTTAAATTCTAAATAAAAATTTTTTCATGATATACGAGCCGTTTTGTTTCTAGCTGTTTGTTCGTCATCAATCAACGGACTGCTTGTTGGGATCGATGACGGCAGCATTTATTCGTTGTCATTATCGGACGCACATTCCGATTTGATAAGACCATCAGACGGCATAGCTATCATTTACATGGATGTCGATCATATGCAGAAGAAGTTTTATGCTGTAATGCATAGAAAAGGAATACTGAGGTAAGAATATTTGAAAAATCCTTTTTGCAAAATAATATTTCCTTTGAGAATATGATAAAGCACTCGAAGTTGCACTCAAAGAGCAATTAATAGTTAAAAGTTTATGTAAATCATACAAATCATTTAAACATATAACGATTAATTGACCTTTTTAAGGTGCGATTTAACAGGTTGTGAGAAACCAACTGTGTTTTTGATGAATTCAGTAAATTTTATCGAGCAAATATCAGTTGATTCATGGAATGGGTATGATTTTCAAATAATAGGAAAAAAATTTTCAAAAGAATTCAAAATTATTTCTTGGAAATTCTGTAGCTCGCATTAAATTATTTTAACTTTCCTACAAAGAAGCTTGTTTAGATTCATTTATTTTGTGACAAATATCGGCGATCTTTTCGCGATGCCTTTATTTCCATTCGATGCTTCACGGGATGTGTCTTCATTATCACATACAAAATTAGAAGTCGATGAACTGGTATCTGCTGCTGAAGTTGACTTCGAGAAACAACGATTAGTGGTAATTACTGAAAATGGTTCATTATTATCGATGAATTTGGTAAATCGCTCAATATCAAGGCTGAGACTATCTATTGAAGAATCTAGTCAATACCGTCACATTAAAAGAGCACATTTCGTTGATGATCGTCTATTTTGGATAACTTCGTCTTGTGGCGATTCTCATCCATGGGACACATGTTTTTATGGTGAGGAATGGGATTCTGAGAAAAAGGTTGATATTTTACCTTTGAGTTTTCCAGAGCAAAAAATTTATCGGATTAGAAATCTGCGATTAGATTACTATTAGACCAATCATAAAATTAGGTTCCAATAGAATTTTAAATGAAAATGAAAGCATAGGAAGCTGAAGTTTGACCCATCTAAATCCTATAATACTCAGAGAGTAAACCTTGCATGGTCGCATTCTGTTATTTAAAAAACTGCTAGAAAATTTAAATTGGTTTACATTTCATTTATTTATTGATATTTAGTATCATTTACATTTATATCTATTTTTTTGAAGAAAGTTCATCACAATCGTTATTCATATACTGATCGAGTGATCGATTTCACTTTTGTTCGAAATGTCAGATTACCTACGACTATATTACCTCCAAAGGCAATTGGGTTGATAACGACTTCAAATATGGCTCGTATAACCTGGGAATCACCTATTTTATTACCTTATCAAGGTTTTAAATTAAGCTATATTCATTTTTCTCATTCAGTTACTCATTCATTTTTCTTGATTTTTGAAGGTTTTAAAATGAAATTCAAATTTTAGCACAAGAAGTAAAATGGAAAAATCTTTTATACAATTGCAAAATCATGAAAGACCAAGAAGAAATATCGACAGGAGTGGAGTTACTTGCAATAAATGAGACATTCATAGATGTTCCTATAACGCAAGGATTTCTGTATCATGCTTTTGTTAGGTCGTGTATTGATGTATCTTGTTCAATGTATATCAACACAACAAGTGCTTCATTCAGTTCTCTTAATGGTAAAAATTGCGTAAATCTTTATTTTTTGCATAGAACTTAAAACTTATCCCTTTCTCATACCATTTCTCATACATGTTCATCTTATCATCGTCTTTCAAGCTGAAGTTTTTTATTCAGAAAATATTGAACATAGATTTCAGATCCTCCATTTGCATTTTTCAACTATTCCAACGATGAAATTAATATTTATGGGCCTTTAGGTTCAAAACTGAATAACTATGAGATAAGTAAGATAATTTTTTTCAGTTTTTTTTTATTTGACGCATTTGTATTCACTTTTTTATAGCAAAAATTTTATAATTTTAGGTTTTCCAACAAATGTATCACAACCTTTCACCTTTGATCCATTGATGGAGATCGCATACACTTTAGATTCCAATCAGGTATTGGGTTACTAAGTTTAGCTACATTGATAAACTTTTGATTGAAATGAATTATTTCAGCGAAAATATACAAAATCGCAACAGAGTCGCTGCACTGAATAGTTCAAACTTATTTTTCGTAGCATATTAGTCATTTTTTTTCGAGAAAATGGTTCTACCATTCCGCCTTGTGATTTCTTTTGTTTTGCACTGTTAAATATTCATTGTTAATATCTATTTCAACTAAATTATTTCTTTTTCCTAGAACTCAGTGATACGAATACGGAAGGATGGAAGTAGACTGGTCTTTTTGGAAACCAATTTAGTGAAATTTTTGGCTGTTATGCCAAAGCATGCTACGATTCTTATAGCTTCAGAGTCCAGCGTTTCAATATACAGGACTACCTCATCTTTTGATCAGACGTAACATTTCATTCTATGTAAAATATTTAGTTTTATTCCTATATTCACTCATTCAATCCAAGAAACTCCTCAATGGAATATCATAAGTGGAAAAAGGATCAATAAAATAAAATTATATAAATAACAAAATAACAAAAATCCATCTTAAACGAAGGATTTTATCCTATCGCAACAGGTTTTTTTAAGAAATGACACAGACTTGATTCAATATCGTGTCATTTACTGAATCTATCGAATCTATTGATTAATGCATTCCATATTCTTCAGAATCTGAGTTTTTTTCCATAACTTTTCAAATTTTTGTAATTCTTTTTGCGAAAGTTAAAAAATTGTAAAAAATATTGTAGTAGATGGGTGTTATCTTGTCAAGATGCAACATGCCTGTCATTGCCGATTATTTTTTAATTATTTTACTTATTTTCCTTACTTTTCATTTTAACCCTTGTCTGATGCATTAATAACAATTAGTTTGTAGAATATATTCATGTAATGGCATCAATAATTGTGGTGAAGTGGTGGGTCTCGCTGGAGATGATGAATCTGGCAACATATATTTCTTGATCAAATATCTTAACAACACAGTTGCTTTATTCGAACTCAATAATGAAGTTCGTACGCCTCTTTTTATCGCTTCAACGCAAATATTTCCGGCGTAAGTTTTCCATTTGAAAATTGTCGATTATAGGTTTATAGGCATCTGTAAATTTAAATAATTTAAACTACAAATTAAACTACAAATTCAGGATAAAGCAGCTGCTATTCGCTGACGAAATGTTCATTTTCATCACAGTTCACGGAAGAGTAGGTGTTTGTAATAAAAAGCTTGGGTCAATAAATATTAACTTCGCTTTATCAAACGTTTTGATTATACCTCACGTTAAACTACCATCAGCTTGTATGTTGAATTTCACCAGAGAAATTATCTTTGATGATGTCTCGCGAAGAACGCTCAGTTGGGATGTGGAACCTGATCTAGAATTTGGGAAAATATTGTTCAAGGTAAGAAATATTTGCTAGGTTTAATATTTGCCGATTTCCAGTTCTTTTTGAATTCATACAATTCTGTTCCGAAATTAAATAACTATAGTAATTTTTTTATTGATTTAGCGAAAATGAATTCGAAAAATTTAACAATTTTGCAGATCTCATTGTATAAAAAACAATTTGGTGGAGAACGATTCGTTGATTATTCGTTATCATCGAACTATACACTTAATTCTGCAATTCTGGAGCAATGGCCGTCGCAGCAAATTTATGATATACAGGTTGAAGCGATAACTACTTGGGATAAGATAGTGTTGAATAGTACCAACCTTCACGCTCCTACAAAACCTCCATCAGCGCCGACAAATTTGAAAATATATGCCACACAGCAGGTTTTTAATTTTTTATTCTAATTGGCCGCAATAAAAGTATAAAATTCTTTTTTAAAACCAAAAATAATTCAAATTTTCAACAGATTTTTCAGCATATAAAAATCTAAACATTTATGCTAGAGAATAAATATTAAAGAATTAAATTTTAAAATGAGGAATTGCAGAAAACAGTTGATGGTGCACGAGCATTAATCGACTTATTCTGGGATGACCCTGTCGAATGGAATGGTGACCCGTTAGGCTATGTGATTAACTGTACTATTGATGGTACTGAAGAACGTTCTACAGAAGTTACTTCTAACACTCACACTTATTCCTTAAGTGTGAAATCTGGAAGTGTGACATGTGAAATTGCCGCTCGAAATGAACCAAATTCTCAAACTTTTTCAGAACCTATTACGATTGATAGCAGCGGTTTGTTATTAATATTTATTATTAGCAATTATTTAATTAAGTAAGTATTTCTGGTCGGACTGACTGTTATGCGATTAGGAATTGCCAAGAAATCAGTTGTGCTTGAAAGTACAGGAATTCCAGGATCTTTGAAAAGCCTGCTCGTGTAAGAAACAAAATACTGTCCTTCACTTTATATACATTCCCCTTATTTATTCAGCAATTTATAGTACGAAGTCACATCTGAAGGAAGCATATGATGCAAATTTTTGCTTAGAATCACGAAAAAGAATTCTGATGCTTACTTTTAAGTCAAAGCATTACTTTTATATATTTGAGCGAATCAAGTAAATATAATTTGGGTTTAGTTCAAGTGATGAGAGAAATAGGATCATTTTCAATAGAAGAAACTATACATTATGTTTGTCATCAAGTTGTTTCTGATTTTATGATCCATTATATGAAGTTATCTCTTGATTTTTAGAACTTCGTCCTCTTATACGTCTTTTCGCAATTGATTCCTCTTTCAACGTAATACCGATCTCAAATTGGTCATCCATTCTTACTTTACCGAAAACGCATCGGAATCCCTTAATCGAGCAATCAGCTTTGCTGTCGAAACGGCAAACTCCTTCAGTCACTTCGGTACCTTTTTCTCTTTTGGCTTATTGTTTCAGGTGAAGCGTTCAGAAGTATACTTTTTCCCATAAATAAAATTTATTTCATTCAAAATTATTTTTGTCTTTACATTTTTCTTTTGATTCTCAAATATTTTTATAGTTAATTTCGGGATTAAACAGCTTTTCATCCACTTAATGGTTTCCATTCCAGATAGAGTACCAATGGATTGCGTTCATTGGGAACGATCTGTTCGCAGTTCGAAAGGACAGTGATTTACAACAACCATTCCTTTTGCGATTCGATTCCAATAATGTTGATTCTGCACTTATGAAGGTGTAAATCCTTGTAAATGTCTAAACAATATATTGCCGCATTGGTCATTTAGCAAAAGGCAGTGGATTTAGTTGTCTAGCCTATTATTTAGTGGCGAGCACTCGATTTACTTGCCAAACCGTAAAAATCTGAATAGAATTAATAACGATATTACAGTGAATCCTCGTGTAAACTAAATTTTAAATTAACTAAAGTAACTAAATTTTCATTTGTTGTCAGTTTTTTGAAAAAAGCGAAATATGTTCGAGCAATTTTGTATACCATCCTATTTCCAGGAAATGTTATGCGAGGATCCATTGTTTATTGCTGAGAAAATCAAGAATTACCTAAAAAGGTAACAGGCGATTGCAAAATGCTTCCCTTATTAATACATTAGTTTACCATAATTTCATATGGGTGATAAATCTAATTACGCTATATCTTACATATCTTCCTGTTGATTAAAGAACTATTCCGATCTAATATTTAAAAAAGCAACAACGATTTGATATCTTAATAACCTTCTAATATGCATTCTTGCAGATACCTATAAGTGGCGAAATTGGCAAGGTTGATGCAGTAATATCAGATTGGGTAGGCAATAGACTTTTGATGGTGTCAACTGGTCATCTTCTTCAATTACCACTCGATGGCATACAAGTGAATATGCTTCTTCGTTCTTGAAGCTTTTCCACAGTCGTCGTGCATCACATATAAGCTGAAAAGCCTTTTGCGAATAAATGAACCTTGCTATTAAATAAGAGGATTTTCAATCCGAAGTTCTAGTAAGAATTGTTCTCAACCTTAGTAGAACATATGGTCGAAAATACCATTAAACCATGGATTTAGCACTTAATTTTAAATGATATTATAAATCACTGATTTGCTGAAAATTTTTTGTTTTAGAGCTTACCGGTTATTACACCACGTCGCGTTATGAATCTGTCATCTGGAGCTGGTGACGCTAAGCAGCTTCTTTTCGATCCATTTAAAAAGTTTGCCATCTTTCTTCCTTGTTTGACTGGGATTATTTCTTAACTAAGTTAAGAATCTGAATTATATTTAACATAAAATTTTCAAATTCTCAAACGTAAATTATTTATAAAAAAAATTGTTTTCTAATGCAAAAAATTCTTTCGCAAAAATTTCTATTCGATTTAGTTTTAATTAACTATGGTAAAAGTATTTAAATGTCATTCAAAATTATTTATTCATTTTTGCTTTTTACGACCAATATTGTTTAAAGATTCTCTCTTCCAGTGTCAAAGCGAAAATATTTAACTTCCCTTTTCGGCTGAATTCAAGATGGCACTCCAATGTCAAACATACTCCAACTTTTTTTAGCAAAATCTTATGCAATTTATCATAATTATTTGAAAATTATAATTCTTATGATAGCTAGTGAAGGGAAATTTTATTGAAATTATCCTTTTTTCAGCACTGCTTATCTTCTCACAAAGAATGGATCGTTATTTGCATTATATCTAAACAAAGAAACTGAAGAAAATATGGCACTTAAGTGAGTTTAATTATGAGTTAAATATATTTCTATAATATAATATATAAATATATTTCTTGCGTATATTTCACTATTCACTATATTTCACAGGTATTGTCCATCATTTTGACTATACAAGTTAAAGGATTATTTTCTAAAAAGTTTGGAAGGATTACGTTATTTAACACTGTAATTATTGCAATCTCATACGCTTTTAAACTTAACCATGATTTTGCAGTAAAATGTTTTTTTATGCATATTTGTACCGTAAATCGCCATAATACAAAGTACTTTTTTTCACAATTTTTTCCTAAAAGGTTTAACAATTTTTGATAATTGGAAAACTTCAGACTGAATTGTTTAAAGTCCGAAACGATCACATCGATGATGAGTGATTTTTCTTGGAATAGAGCAGTTCTTTCTTCGATTTATGTACTTACATGGAATGGAATGATCCGAGTAGAATTGACCGCTTATAAATGTGAAGAAATAAAATTCAACTGGGGAGAATTCGGAGGTAAAAAATTTTACTTTTTGGCTAGAGTCATTTTGAAATAAAAGTGAGTTCCCATCAAGACTCTATGAAATTGAAGTTGAGAAATTGAGAAAACAGTCGATGTGGAATAAAGATTTTCGTAAAATTCTTACCAGTTTCAAGAAGAAGAAGAGTTCTAAATTTTAGAGAAAGGCTTGAAGTCAATTTCTTCGTTTGCGATTACTGATAAGCTTTTCGTATTTGTCACGTCTACAGAACTAATTGCATATGATTTGGTGTCCAGCTCAGTAGCACCCATTGCTATTCCCGATGTTCCACTGAAACAAATTCTTGTAGCGAGTCAATCTTCACAACCTTATCCTGGTAAACTAGTTTTGCTTTATCGGTGAACTAATTTTTCTTCAACCATTGTTTGTGCTGTGGAAGATTTGAATTTCTTTCGTTCTCATTTTAGATTATTCTTCTTAGAATGAAAAAGGTATTATCAAAAAATATTATCTTGTTTTATCAATTTCAGTGTTTTGTCACTTTCTCGCTACAAGAATTTTTTAGTCATATTTAGCTTCCAATCTCTAATGTTGAAATTAATTAGATCGATTTTGCTTTTTGTTACCACCTGCTTCGGAAATCAAGTTCACTGTGAAGAATGAAGAGAAAAGTGGTGCATTTATATCAATCAGCGAACCGTCACTACCAAGCACATGTCCAGTAAGTGAAAGCTATTAATCTAATCTTGTTTTTTTTTACTAATAGAAGATAGCGAAAATTTTTAGAAACAAAAAGCCAGATAGATTTTTTTTATCTCATTCAATCAGAATAAAGTGGTTAAATGGTCCTAAAATTTTGAAAACCATTTTGCAGGAAATATCGTTACCATTAACACAATACGAAATCCATTTTAAGCGAAAGGGTTCGGACAAAATACGAAATGTGCATAGTATCAGTCATATAGTGCACATCGAAAATGGAGTTCTCGATAAGGAAACTGAGTTCGTTTTGCTGAATTCCCATTTTTTCTTCAGTTATTTTGTTTTATGTTAGAATCTGAGCAAAAATCTTTTACTATTTTCGATTCTTCATAATTTTTCAACATAACTGAACATAAACACAAACATTAATAAACATTAATTCAATAAAAATATGTTTTTAGTTATGAAGTATCGGTTTCATGGTTTAATCGTTATTCACCGAGTACTACGTCCAGCCAAGTGCAGAGTTTCCGAACAGGTTATGGTTTTCCTTCTGCACCCTTGCAACCAGCTGCATTTGCACTTACACCAGACATGGTGTTACTTTACTGGAAATTGCCTCTCCGATTGAATGCTCCTATAACTGAAATAAAATACAAGGTAAATCACATATTATTTAAAATTCCTCTGAATTGGTAAATTATTAAAGCACACTTTGATTGCCAAAAGGTAAGGAATCGCTAAAGAAATTCGGATAGTTCTTTCATTAATTCTTACAACTCATATATGTTATAGATATCTCAATCAAGTGTATCACAAACTTCCTCATCGCCAATAGGTGCACAGCAGTATGAAGGAACAGCATATGCAACAATTGCTTCAGATGCTGTTTCTTGCCTCAGCAATCCATGTTCAGCGAAAATTTCCAATTTGAGACCATCTATAGATTATAAATTTTGGGTATATTTTAGTTTTTATTTCTGCTGATTTTGATTGATTTTTTGATTTAATAGATCTGTTAAAGATGAAAAGCTATGTAACAACTTACAAAAACTTGTAATAAACTTTTTAGTTTAAGTTCATTCGTTTGAGATTAGTCATTTTAAAGGTTAAAGCTATTCATGAAAGCCGCCTTAACAGACAGTTTTCTGATGATGCTGAAGCAGTTTCAACTGAAGCATCGACGACAACTAAAGACACTGCTGGCACTTTGAGACCGGACAATGTAACTGGAAATTCAATTATGTTGCGTTGGAATTCACTGGAGCCTGAAACAGTTCCAACCAAAATATCAATACAATATCGCTTGGTTTATTTCAAATTTGGCTTTTAAACTAAACTTTTCGATTTTTGAACTGTTCAAAATTTATTTAATATACCAATTATGTGGCAAATGAACCTGGAAAAATTAATTCTCTAATTCTCAAATTGCCTAGTGATGTTGTTTCTGCATTGTCAATCTTTAGCTTTCAAGAAGAATTACCCACATCATCGATTATATTTATAGAATTTATATTGTTGGTCGTTTTTTAATAATAATGAATTTATCTAGCAGTGTCATATTTGAACAAATTCTGTTACCAAACCAGTATTGAAATCTTAAAAGAATACAAGCTTTCTTTACATTTATTTGATTATTAGTTGAAATTCTCCGTATGTTCAAAATCAAAAATCAAATGATGGTGCACTTTTTTTCTGGCGTTTTTAGAAAATTTGGTCAAAATAATGTGATTTGTTTACGTATGGATTTTTTAAATTTTAAATTATTCATGAAAAAAATTGCAGAGCGGTTTGAACGCTGTTTGGAAATCACCTTTTAATGCATCGTTCGAAGGTAGTGCAAAATCAGTAGTCATAATTGTGAGTGCATTACGATCGGCAACCGTCTATGACTATCGTTTTATAGCCGAATATGCGCAGTCATATGAATATGATGGGATTGTCTACTCTTATACTGAACAGTTCTTTCAAACTACACAACAAATACGAACAAAAGGTTGCTTTTTAGTTTTCAAGCTATTTTTTCAGTCTACGAAATATGATTATCCATTTTACGAAAAAAGTTTGGAAACTCATTTTCGCTGAAAATTTTAAAATTTATCATCTCATTCATGATTTATCAATTTCACATATATTATAAAGATTCTTTAAAATATATTGTAGCCGGAACACCGTCAGCACCAACTGGTGTGCGACTGGTAAATGAAGATGGTCAATTTATTATACGTTGGGAATCACCTCTAAATGATGGTGGATCAACAATAACCTCATATGCACTTGAATATAGGTCCATTTGTTGAATGAATTGTCTTCTTTCCTTTTATTTCCTTTATCAACTGCGATTTAGACATCGCACCAGATTGCACCAGTTATTTCTTAGGGATAATTGCTTCTTCATTTTTCTTCTTTATGGATCTGTTAATCATATATTATATTAATTGTTGAATTTGAGATTAAATTTCAAATTTAAGACCAGATGAAAATTCCGAATGGGAGATAGCAGAACGTGGATTAAATGGCGAATGCCTTTGGTGGAGACCACCTCGTGCTGATTTTTTAACAAGTAACTCAGAATTCAGAATTCGTGCGGCAAATTCTGAAGGCTTTGGTGCCTATGCTTATTCAAAGCAACATTCAGGTTTATCTACATTTTTATGGAATTTAAACCGATTTTTTGCAAAATTGTCTTTGGCATTTGGCATTTATCAATGCTCCAGTAAACTTTTTAAACAATGAAATAGTTACAAGATTACCAAACTTTTGCGTATTATGGAGTTTGGTGGAATTTTAGGACCGGAAAATAGTTCTCGTAGTTCGTACTCAGTTTGGAAAGTTATATTTGGCTTGTTTATCACGATTATCTCTCTTGTTGTCGTCACTGCTGTGCTTTTCGGTAAATTTACCGTTTTTAGCTTTTACACATTTTATAATTTTCCTTCCACGGTTGTCAAAATCAATCTTTTGCTAATTTAATCTTTTTCAAATTTTTCATTTTACTGTTAGCATTTAAGTCTTCAAAGTCGATTTTTTTAGTATATTATCAAAAAGTTAAACAGAAACAGCAGAAAAGCAAAGTTCAGGAAATGCAGATGCAGAAGTTTAGAAATTTAGCAGTCGAAAATCATTCGCCATCTCACATCGCTAATAGTCTCAAAGGTGAGTGTATGGTTTTTTGTGATTTCAATATATGGTTTTATCGATTTCTAGTTTATAAAATATGCGAGTTTATAGTGATTCCAAGAGTCCCAAAGAATAGAGTAAATATGAATCGAACAATCGGCAAAGGCAGCTTCGGTGAAGTTTTCGAAGGAGTCGTTACTGGTCTTCCACTATCACCAAACAAAAAAGTTCGCGTTGCAATCAAGGTCAATATTTTTTACATTGGTGGCTATCTTTTAGAATTTTTTAAATTTGTCTACTGGTTCTACTGGTTTTTCTTCCATCAAGCCTATGCAGATCTTTTCAGACTTTAAGAAATGGGTATTCAGAATCTGACCGTACGAAATTTCTTCAAGAAGCAATTTTAATGCAGTTTGTTTTATTATTGTTTTTATCGCTTCAATTTTTGTTGTTTACTTTCATTTTTCAACTTTAATTCACATTATTCGTCGTTCCATTCCATGTTTCAGTGATTGAAATGATTCTGTTGTCTTTGTACTAGTAAAATAAGTCATTAACTTTATCAGCGTTGCAATATTAATTCTGTTAATCAGTTAATGAAACTATTCATATAAAATACCATATTTTTATCGAATGCTTATTACATTGGTACCACGTATGTGGAGTCATATTTCGATATAGAAGCTATAAGCGATTCCTAATAGGCAATTAATAACTAATGGAATGCTACTGTTTTTAATCTAAGCTCCTGAATACTGTAAGAATGCGTTTTCGAGACATAGGGAATAAAATAAACTTTTTGAAAACAGTAGGAAATGCGAACATATATTTTGGGACATTTTCGAAATACCAAGAAGAGGGAACTATTAAAAAATCACTGAACAAGATGCTGAGGCCCTTCAACTGTGCCATTTTAGTTCATTTTAACGCTTTTTGTCCATTTTTAGTAATTTTGATCATCCGAACATTGTAAAACTACTTGGTATATCTCTAGAATGCGAGCCATATTTCTTAATCATAGAATTAATGGAAGGCGGCGATCTTTTGGGATTTCTTCGATCCAGGCAACATTTTTATTATTTAGAATATTCAAATATTGTTTTTTCTTTCTATTTATAAAAATAAATTGATTTAAGATAAAATAAAAAAGATTGCAGCAGACCATCGGATTGCTTTCCTTCCCAGTTATCATTATACGAGTTGATTGGCATGATGGTCGACATAGGACGTGGAGCAGTTTATTTAGAAGCCAATAACCATGTACATCGAGATTTGGCTGCTAGAAATTGTCTAATATCTTCTAGGAATTCTCATTCTCGCATCACTAAAATCGGTATTTTTATGTTTGGGAAGAAATCTGGCTGTTGTCCTATCGTTTCTATTTTAATTCATCCTATATGGAATTAAGGGAACAATAATGTGTCCGTAAGAAATTTTATCTTTAAATAAGTTTCAAAGAAAATTTTTTAAAATTTTACTTTGAAGCGGATTTTGGCCTGGCTCGTGATATATATACAAATGATTATTATCGCATTCACGGCGAAGATTTTCTTCCACTTCGTTGGTTAGCGCCTGAAGCGATGGCTAATGGAGTATTCACAACAAAGAGTGATGTCTGGTCATTTGGGGTCCTTTTATATGAAATTATTACTCTTGGACAGCTACCTTATATGGGTAAAAGCAATGTTCAGGTACGATTGTTCTTTTTCCTTTGTATTAATTGAAAAGCATAATAGCAATTTATCGAAATTATGATACTTATTAAGCTCGTCAATTAATTTATCATTGACCATTTGTTTCAGTAGTTTTTCGTACATAAATATTTTATGTTTCAAAGACATGTCAAAGCTGTTCGAAAATGTGGTAATTTTTTTCAGGTAATGTCTTTTGTGAAAGGAGGTGGTCGACTCGAAAAACCACAGTTTTGTCCAGATGAAATGTTAGAATTTATAATTGTTCTTTATAATTGTTTTAATCGTCTAGATCTAATTTCAATTTTTTTGGCAGTTCGCAATTAAGATCTTTTAAAACTGTCAATAAAAGTGACGTTTATTGATATGCTTGATCAAAAAACTAATTTAAGATTCGAGATTGCAAAACGTGCATGGATTTATGATTCTGATGAGCGTCCAAGTTTTGCTGATTTGTTACCTGAACTTGAAGCACTTCGCGGCAATCCGGCTTATCAGGCAAGTATTCTTGAAGCATTTTGAATATTTGCAGTTCAATGATAAATTAAACTTTTAAAAGCGATTTTTATCACGAAGTAATACATCAATTGCTTCAAACTGCTTAGGATTTTATATACTTCATAGATTTATTAAATATATATTAAATTGTTGAAGGATGATAGTCCATATCCAGCGACCACTTTATCTTCATCGGTTATATCAAATTTTGAGTTTTCATTTGATTCAAACATTAGTCATGTTGGAAGTGCAGATCGCAGTGGTAGTACAAGATTTGATAAAAGTGGTAAGCAAATAATTTCCTTTTCTACTATATTTACCTTTTTTACCAGAAATCTATCTAGAATAGGAATTAATTACTTCTAACCTACCATGGCAGTTTGTTGTTTTGAGTTTTTAGTTCCACAAAAATTCTCCGTGCTTTTAGATAACCCTTCTACAAAGAAACATGGTCGTCCTTCAATTCTTCGGTCATTAAGAAAGGACCGACCTAAGCTAGCGGTAATTTTTCTTGAACTTTATAAAAATACATTGTATTTTTAAAGGAAAGTAATCTGAATAGCCTGTTCTGTTGAAAAGATTTTCGACAAATTTGGACTAATTTTAATTTCCTTTCAAATGGATTTTAAATTTTTTTTTAGTTTTATCAAAACCGCACGATAAATAAAAATTAAAAATAATATTGAAAATTTCAGGGAAATTGATAATTTTTTGTTTATCGACATTTGTGCATAGTTGTCATTGCTTTAGGAGAGTTACTTTTTACTCTTTACTTTTGTTTTTCTGATAATTTTGGTTTTTTTAAAATTTTAGCGTGATGATTTTGAGCCAAAAGATGAAAATTTGGACAGTCCGACATTTAATGATGTACAACCATTAAGCTCAGAATTGATGAATGCTGAAGATGAGAATAATATTTTCTTCGCACGTGATGATTATGGTAATTCTAATGAAATGAATTAGTTGTCAGATATACGCAAGCTTCATGCCTATAATACGAATTGGTTCCACTATACTAAGTAAAAATATGGAAATGATTTGGATATTTCAGAAATGCCGGCTAAGAGGGTAAATGTCGTGAAACCGCTCGTGAATGAGACCAACCATCCAACTTCTCTTACAGTGTTTATATCATCCAATTCATCGACATCCACTAGTCCAGCATTATCCTCACGAAGTCCTTCACTTCAAGAATGTTCCTCAATTTATATCAGATCCGCCCGAGTCAGTCGCGTTTAGTTTTTTAAGTTTTTTGTGATGCATTCTAAATAGAACCCTACGAAATTATTCTTCCTACGAGAAATTCTCGAAAGTACTCCAGAGACATTTATATTTACATGCTGGGCGATCAATCTTCATGCATGTTGTATATCCTGAAAATTTTTTATCGTGAAGGGTTTCCTTTCTTTTTCTCATTGTCATTTATCCAAAAATGTTATTAATATTATATTTATATTTTCAACATACTAACACTTAACTGATATGCTGATATTTGTTGATCTTACCATGGAGAAAAGTTTTTGTACCACGCATAGATACTGGAAATATTATGGCTGTGTGGTCGAACATAATTTTTTGCAACAAGAGTTCAGTGGAATAAGAGATTTGCAAACCGTACTTTTACCATGATTCAGAAGTTCATTGGAGTGGTGGACAAGGCCTTTAAATACTAGTCTTTAAATGTATTTTCTGTCTGTATTCCATGAATTTAATTTTTCACTCCTATAATTTCTATTCATTTTTATTAAGTTTACTCATCATTTTGATAAATTTTTTTCGCTCTTAAGTCTTTCTTTAAATTATTCGTTCATTATAAACATTTTAATTAAATCCTATATAATCCACTGAAACAGGAAACTCTCCATGGATTATTAATATTGCCTCCTCAAAATGTTTTTTAGCTGATTTTATCTTAATTCATTCTGTTTTGTTTGAATGACAATATTTTTTGTTCTAAAATTCGCTAAATTAGAAGTACCACCTCATTCAGGATTTGAAAAATTCAATTTTTCTTTGTTGGGCTCCTTATTATTTTATAAACTTGATATATAAAGCAAATTATAAATTTTAGGAAATGTCTGGAAGTTAAGTTAAAATTGATTTATTATTTTCTGATATGTGCAAAATTGATTCATGATATATGGCAATGAATGAATAGTTTGATTGTCAAATAATTTAAAACAAAAACAATTATAATAATAATTATGAATGATCATTTAGAGGTGGTTTTAAACAATAACATTCGAGTAATTTTAATGCTGTAGGTAATAAACGTTTTTTCATTTGTGGACTGTAAAAAATATATAAATAAAATAGTATAGCATGGTGCGTGTATAATAAAGTATGAACGAAAAGACTCATTTGCCGCATCGCCAATGTCTAAAATGATTTTGAGGATGAGTTTTTTTAAACACTTCCAAAGAGTAGCAAAGTAAGTTCTAACTACTTTGTAACTGTGAAATAAATCTGGTTCAAAAAAAGTCGCAAAATGTAGAAGAAAAAGTATCTAAGAGATTCAAAGAACCAAAGAAGAAATCAAAAAGAAAGCAGTAATTTGCATAAATCTCGTCGGCACTTCCTCGTCGGCCTTTCAATACAGTTGGTATTTCAATTTATTAAGCTTTTAGTGTAATTGACTATTATGCCAAAGGGAAATACGAAAATGAGATAATTCGCATATAGTTCGCTACAGTTTTATATCTGTTTTATTGGATGGTTCGATTTTAAGCACTCAGTTCACAAGGAGTCTCAAACATCGTGGATTTAACTACAGTTTGAATAAGAAAGATTTCAAAATGTCTACAAATAAGCTTACATTTTAATCTCTCAAGTTTTCGTTTGTCATGCTTGGCAAAATGAATAGAAGTTACCTGTGTATCGACTACTAAAACTTTTGCGATTATTCGATAAATATAATTAGGTAAATTAAGTACAATGAATGCCCAAGTGACCACCAGCAAACTTCGAGTGAGTTGAATATCTGTATATCGTAAAAATTTTTTTCTTTTTTCTTGACCATCCACCGAAAGTGATTGTGCATGGTTGATTTTAACAAGGCTTACTCTGCAAAATGTTGCCCTTAAACGTTTTTGTTCAATTTTTGAAAAAATTTACCCTTGCAATTCGAGGCTCAGTTTTCTTCTTTCTGTTGTAAGCTGATTTTTCAAATGATTGCTTCTATATGAATTTCATGTTAAAAAATAATTTTATTCTATTTCTACATAATTTGACACCTATTAAGGGATTTCTGAACAAAAAAATTTAGTTTTTAAATGAAAATCAAATGGGGAATGTTAAAACCATATATAAAGCTGGAAAGCCTAACATTCGCTAACTTCCTTACTCTCTCTTCTCATTTTGACTTTATTGACCCTAAGTTATATGATATTTCTTGTTACTTTTTCTTCTCATTTAGATTTTAATAGCCTTTGGTCATAGATATTTCTTAAATCAATAACCTAGAATTTGATGGTTTCGTTCCTAATGCAGAATTCATGACTAGCTCAGTTGTGTTAAACGAGACTGTAGGTGAGGATGGGATTCGCTTCAGATGAGCTCTTAAACGAAATACGACAAGCAGATTTGATATTAAAATCACGCTCGATGGCAAACCCATACAGAAGACAGTTTCCACCGTATTCATAATCTAAAAATCAATTACTCAGAAATTAAGGAACTCGTGATTTGATCACTGAGATGAGGTTGTAAAAGGAAAAGAGCATACTGTAAATGCAAAGAAATAAACCTTTTAAAAATAAATTTATGGTTCAGGAATCAGAAATTATAGCAACAAAAATAATTTAAAAAATTTAAGTGGCAATTTTTTCAAATTTTAAAATTCTTACTTTATAAATAAATTCATATTCAGGCAGTATATCACAAACACCATATTCATTTATATCTGCAATGAACAATATCCATGAATTGAAAACAAATGATGCAATTATAAGGTATATACAATGCCATCGGGCTTTTGATGCACTCATCATTCGTCTGCAAACAATTCGAAAATTTACAAAAAAGGAAAGAATGAGGAATAGCATAACATTTAAAATTTGCGATGGTTGACTGTTACTTTTTTTAAAATCACTTTAGCAAATCGTATAAACAAAATTAATAACATCCATAAAATAAGAACTAAAATTCTTTTCCTTCTCAATCGATATTCCAGTCTTTTACCAATCATTTCTTTATCATTTTTGTCATAATTTTGATTTTTCTATCAAAATTGTGCCAAAAATTTCAAAAATGATTTATTGAAAAAATTAGTTCCAAATTTCCACTGTTTTCGAGAATCACACCAAACTATTTATAGCCTTAAACTGGTAGCCAATCTCGATTCATTTTGGTAAATTTGCTTACATCCAATCTTGCTAGTTAAGCAATTAAAAGTATTAAAGCTAGTTAACTATTAAAAGTATCTGGCACTTGGAAAGTACTCAAAAATAAATCCATGTTTATGATTTTTTCAAAAAAAAATCCCTTAAGCTTATCAACCAATTAGTTAAATTAATTAATAAATCACATATAACTTTTTGGAAAAAAATTTGTTTGGACTAATATCAATGAAATTAGATCATTCTTTCTTCTATGTTATTTTGAATGCGACTTGGACGAATTCGTAATTAAAGAAAGATTTAATTAAATTTATCAAAATATGTGTTTGATACTGCTAGTGAATGCATATTATATTACATTTCATTTTTATATATTCCAGTTAAATTAGAAATATTTTTAAAAGATTTCTTTTATTTGAATCATTAATTATTTGCCTTTATCCCATATTAACTCATTTTTTTTCACTGATTTTTAATGTTTTATTCTGTTATAATAATGGAAATTTCAAAAATGATAACAGATAGATTCACACGATTTCGGAGATCAAAAGTTCCATATAAGCGTCGATGTTTCTGGATGTTTTAGGGATTGAAATATTTAAGAAAAAAGGACAACGTTTAGGAGTTCAAAAAACCGATTTCTCATTCCTAAATTAAATAATTTGAATAAGTCATCGAAATAAATATTTATTATAGGTTAATAATAAAAGGAAAGTCTCAGCAATCTGGGAACCTAAAGAAAGAAATAAAATAGAAAGAAAAAAAGAAAAGTGAATGAAACCAAAGAAAAATTCAATGTATTCTAAAAATGGATTTAAAAAAGTTCCACTTCATTATTAGAAAGATAGGAAAACAACTACTAAATAGAGAGGAATCCAATAGTCCTCGTCCACTCAGAAAATTCTTATATTTTTTGAAATCGCAAACGTTCGACAAGTTAATACGATTCCTATAGGAAGGAACGGTGAGTATGCTTTACTGTTTATTTTACCAAATATTCTTTTACAGTACTTTTATTGCAGTGATATACCGATGAAAAGATCGTATAATATGTATTATATTCAAAAAATCTTTTTTAGCATTAAAGTCTCCATTTTAGAGACATTTCATTAGTAAACGATATTTCGGTTTGACCATATGGAAATAAAATAAAAAATCTACCATTAATTGATGTCTATTCTGGTTCTTTAAAAAAAAAAAACAATTGCTAGTTATATTTTTTGGTACCAATTAGAATTTAACATAGCGCTGTTTTTTACCCTTTTTTTAATTTTTCATATCAAATGAGTCGTTCACCTTATTTATATTTTTTTGTAATATTCTTAGCCCTTTGTTTAACCCAATAAAAACTTTTTTTCCATTTTTCAATATAGCAAAATAATGTAGCAAAAAAAAATTTAATAAAGCATTTGATCACTTTTTTCGATTATTTGAATGCTTGAATTTGCGAAGAAATTTCTTGAACTACAGGAAAATTTTACCTCAGATTTTTTCCAATTCATGTTCAAATCTTTATTGCAACCTTTAATATTGTGTTTATCTGGAGACGAACATGTAATTTCTATTTTATTTCAAGAACGTCGATGAATACCTTTTTCAAAATTGCTGCATCCCTATCCATATTCCAGCGCTTCCAGAGCCTTTTTCCCAGAATTAATCTGAACATATATTCTCCTAGCCTAGTGCAGATCATGTTGACTAATTTTTTTAATACATTGATTGAATTAATTACGAAAAATATAAATGATTTTAGAAAAGACTTGTTCAAAAATTTCCTCAAATAAAAATAAAAATGCTGAAATACTTTTTTTTGCAGCTGTCCGGCGATCTCCCACCATTACTGATGTTGGGACTTTGAATTTCGGAGCACTATGGTCCTTTATGGTCCTTGAATCGCTGACCTTTTTGCTAATAAATCTCTATGAATGATTTTTTTCTTATAAAGCCGTGAAGAAAATGCATTTAAATGAAAATGGGATCACTAAAAAGCTAACCCATTTACTCTAATATCATTTAAATTTCATCAAACGAAAAATCGACTGTCCAGAAAATTTCAACCATTAATAAATGCCAGGGGAATATGTAAAAGTGGTAAAAATTTGAAAACAAATTTTTTATAATTTGCTTTTCTAACATGTCTTCAGCTGGTTCGTTTTAAAATGGATGAAGAGAAAGACCGTTTTATTAGAAGCGGTAAAATTTATCATTTCCATGTAATAAAAACAAAGAAAAAACGACCTTTATGAAAAGCAGGAAGCTTTTATCTTCGAAAAAGAAGTTCAAAAAATAAATAAAATTTAGAACTGATCACTTCAGCGTTAAAGACAAGCAAACCTTGGCACTACCGATAATAAATAACTAATCTGTGACTGACATGCGCAGCATGGAATGAATATTGGAAACACTGGAAGCAACAAGCCCAATAAGCGTGTAGTAAAAAAGATTCTGGAGTGAGTGATAACCACTTCCGAATTCGACAAAAAAAATTGTGTGCAATATCAGGTGGAACAGAATGTGGACTCGTACCAAACAACAAAGCAATAAATTAGCGATAAGAAAAATATTCAAAGAAATGGAGGGTTCGCAAAGAAAGAATTCTTCTTGTCGAAGCATTTAGCACTGGTTAAGATACAAGATACTGCTTAAGATATGTTAATATTTCGCCCGAAACATTTCATTTTAGCCTTCAGATTTTTAAAAGACTCTTTTCTTTGCAAGAAATTCAGCTCTTTGGAGACATAAAAAGTAATCTTGCACAATTTTTTCTGAGACCCAGGAATATGCGCTCTTTCACTCCAGCACAGCATGGATCAAAAGGCTATAGAAGGACACATTAGGGATTTGATCAAAAATTATATTTTACGAAGATACCGTCAATGAATTCTCTTTTGAAATTAGTTCGAACTTTTTTTCTTTTTTCGCTCTTCTTTTTACGGTAAAACATTATAATCATCATTAATTTGCAGAAGAATCCGTGCATAATTCCTTAAACAAAGGCAATTCTCATAGGAAAATCAGAATTATCTTTTTTTTTGCATTTATTCTCTAATGTGTTCGAAGTTGATTTGCTTACATATCCACATGATAAAGTAAAAATTCATTCATATTTTGGAACATAAATGAAGTTTCGGAAATTTTTTTTGAGAAAATCAAAAATTGTGTCAGCGTTTTAAATTTCCTAAATAATTGTTTGTAGTAAGATTTGGATTGTTGAAAAAAACGATATTTCAGACATGTTTTAAATTCAACATTCAATCCAAAAATCATAAATCAACCAGTAATTTAAAAAGTTTGCAATTTAAAATTATCTATGGAGCAAGCAATTTTTAGTACCCGAGCTATAGACTAACTAACGCTAAATCTAAATCAACTAAACTAATGTTTTCAGAATAAATGATTATCATACTGCAAAGTATGCGCATAACAAGAATATTAAAGTCGTTATGAATATCTGCTTGTTGGTTTGTAGTTTATGAATGACATAGTAAATTATGTATGCTGTGAAAATACATGATTGGGTAAATAGAAAACCAATAATTAGCCTAGGTTTCCCTCTTTCCAATCACACATCTTTCCGATTTCGTCGAAATTCTTAATTTCTGATTTAAACGAACATTGCAAAATTAATGGAATCATTATGTTAGTCGAGAAAAATTATCCTGAATAATTTCGAAATTAGTTCAGAAATAAAAAAAAAAAATGAAATATTTAATGCACGAACGATGAGCGGTAAAGAAGGACAAGTCGTTCGAAGCCAACCAACACAATAAGCCAAACCGAAGAAAAATCGCAGAAATGAGCAACAAATGTTAGCGATTTGCAAAATAAAGCAGAACGATACACTAGAAGATGTTCCTGAAAAACCATAGCGATATTTCTCACTGAAATTATTAGTTTAATCAACCTAAAACAAAACTGGAACAACATTTGTGAAGCCTTGTACTATGATGACGGGAGATAATAACACCAACAATGTTATCTATTAGCTTCTAATTCAACAGAAACAAGATAAAGAAAGAAAACACAACAATCGGAAAAAGAAATAATTAAATAAATACAAGATTCTTTTATTGAATGCATGACACGACAGAGCTTTTTCTGACGACACTTCAAAATTTTGATCGACATAGACGCAGGAAATGGATTTGGATGACTATGCGAAAACCGGCATTATGTATAATTTAATAGAAATAGAAATAACTCTTACCGTGAACCAAATTCTGAATTTTAATTGAAAATTTTTTGAAATAACAAACCCAAATTAATCAGACAAATTTTGAAAAAAAGGCCGAATAAAATTCACGATTTTTCTAATGATACCTTGAATTTACTGCCCTAGATGCTAATTCTTCCAGATTACTTACCTCCTCCAACCAAAAAGTGAATAATGAAATCAGAAAGAGACTACTCATTGCTGAAAGTGTCAGCAGATAAGTATTTGAAGGTAGTTTTCGAAGGAATCTATTTGATCTGAAAAAAATTTATATAAATAGCAAGCATCAAAAAATCCATTCGCTGCCTATTTCAAACTATAAAATTTAGATTATGGCGGGCTATATGCATTAAAAGTAATTCACATGGTAAATAACCAAAGGATTCCAGAAAATGTCTTTTTGTAATTAAGTTAGCATTTTATTGACAACAAATGAATAAAATGAGCATTTGGTCTGAAAATGCTTGTTGGCAGAAAATTGTATAAATACGGGCAATTTTCGAAAGAAAACCGCAAAGTCAACAGAAAAAGAAGAAAAACAAATCAAGGATGATCAGATTACCGTAGATAATAATGAAACTAATAAATACAAACCTGATAAGTACCCAAACCATGCTATTACCGGTTAATCCAATGAGTATACATGCCAACATAAAACAATAATAAAATCTGGCTAACATAGCAATGTCGCTTTCATCAGTCATCATCAAGTCATCGTCTTCGTTTAGCGTTTCATTTACCATTTCCATTTTTCTTACCTGAACTTATCCCTCATATTATTTCTGTTTTCAAAGCAAAAAAATTTAAGTAGAAATTTTTAAACAGTGAAAAATAATATACAAATCGCAAAAAAGATTATTTGTGTATCTGATGAATTTCAATTTTTTTGAAGAAGAATATGAAAGAGAAAAGAAACGAACAATTTAGTTTTTATTGAGCAAAGAGTCTTTTTATCATTTTTTTAAAAATCATCAACATCAAAATTTTTTTTGATTTTTATCTTTAATTTTTTCATTTCCGCGGAAAATTAGCGAGAAAATACCGACAATTTTTCATTTTCATTTTCATAAATAATGTTATCAATTTATTTGACACCTTGATCAATACATTAATAATAGAGGAGCATTTATTTTCACCTGCAAAACTATCACGTATGCGCATTATCTAAGAAATACAAGGAACAAGGAAATTTCAGATGGATGAAAGTTCTAATGAAATTTCAGTAACAATTAGAGAAAAGAATAGATTAAAATTAATATCATATTTGAAATGAATAGCTTTTTAATGGCTGTATTTGGCTAAACCTTTTTTAAGCACTGAGGCATTGATGAAAGGATTCAAAGAACAGAATAGCTTGGGATTTATTTATTTTGATCCCGAATATTAGACGCTTTTCTTAGGTTTAACTAAATATTAATAAAAAACAAAATAGGGCATAAATTTGTAATTCGAATTTATATTGGGATTGAAATTTAAGTGATGTTCAAGACTAAAAAAATTTAATTGGATAAGTTTAATTATGTACTAAAAAAATAGAAAAAAAGTTATTAAGCATTTAAAAAGATTTTGAAAATAGAAAAATAAAGTTAATAAGGGGAAATGATAAAAATTAATATCAACTCGCATTTCACTGAAATTTTAAATGTTGCAAACAGAAATAAATTCTAAACAATACGTATCACGTTATTAGCGAGAAAAAATAAAAAATTCCTTCGTATTTGATTTACGATTCTAATTCTTAATTTTCCGATAAAAATATTATAAAATATCAGTCATTGGAAACAAAATTTTGGCAAATTGCATAGAAAGAAAAATGGTTCAAGTGACCAAATCAATTAGTTAGCTCATTCTTTTCACAATATTCATAAATTAAAGATGAATGATTTAAACTATATTTAAAGAAAAATTTGAACAAATTTAAAAATTTGTGAAGTAAAATGATAAAAAAATTAGTTTATAAATTTTTAGCCTCTCATTTTTTTAAAGAGCTCTCACCATTACTGGTTAGACTCGTTCCGCTGGCTCGCACTAGACAAAAATGCCAGGGAATTTCTTGGTGATAGAAAGACAGGTGAGTTGCCAGCATCATCGGGATTTTTGGACAAATTTAAACTTTATGCAGAGCTCCTCATCGATGAGAGCAAGCAATTTAAGAATTTTCAAGTTACGCTTGAAGAAATTTATAGAAATGTAAAGCTAAAGAACGTAAAATAGAACGAATAGAATGGCGAAGCTGCGCATCAAGATTGCGTATTATCCTCATTCTACCTTGACATCTTCATTACAATTAGTTTCTTTCATTTTTCATGTTTCTTTCATTTTTGGATGAAATATAGCAATGAAGCAGCATCTATAGGATGACATATGACTGTTTTTACCAAGCTATATTCATTCATTAAACTAATAAAATATTCAGCAAATAACCTTAATTATTTATTGCTAAAGACTCATATAAAATTCGATAACTATGAAAAATTTGCGTTTACGATTTTCGAAAATAAATTAAGAAAAAAGTTTTTAAAATTCACATGCATGACCATGAGTGAACTGGCTTTGTTGTCTAACTGTTTAAGTCTTTTGTTCTCTAAATTCAAATATATATTATACATATAATAGAAGCTTTGTGATCGTTAAGTATTGGGGTATTTGAATTTCGAAATTGCTTCAGCAATAATTTCAAAATATCTTACGAAATACCTCGAAAATCGAGGTGGTAGATGATGTATAGAATAATATATTTCGAAATAAATTTTCCCAAATTAATGGCAAAATTCAGCATAACCATTCACTTTATTTTGCTTAAAAAATTTTACTTCAGAAAATAATCGATAAGAAATAGATGAAAAAAAAATGATCGCTTCGAACTCTCAACTATTTTGTGGTAAAACTGAACTCAAGGGAAGAATATACTTAACACAACTAAAACAATGAAAAATATACCAAAAATATTGCCGCTTGAAGTCATCATTAGGGACTATTTAGTCACGATTTGAAAATAGCCATAAATGCCCTAGCTTTAAATATTTTTAGGATTGTCAGAAGCTATTAAATTTATATATATTTATAATTTATAAATTAGTGATTTAAATATAAATTCAGTTTATTTATTTAATTTGTATATATGATTTTTCTTTTTATTTTAAGACTTGTTTAAAATAATCAAATTACTAAGTAAAATTATCATCGTAAATTTTAATAATTTTATCGCCAGAAAGAGAACATATCAGATAAGTCGTCGTTCACTGCATCATGCCGATAACATTGTGTTTTTGCTGCTTAATTACTGAATTTGATTGCCATAATATCTTATCAAAATCGTGAAACAAGGTTTTTAATACCTCAATACCAGTGCTAAAAATGATGGAGGATAAATTTCCAATTCCAAAAGTATTTGTACTAGATCAACGTTGCAAAAATTAATTGAAAATGTGGAGAAATCCTATATGACTTCGAAAAACTTATCGTGAGATTAATGACGATTAATGAAGCATTTAATTGGTTATTTAAAGCAGCTAAATAAGATAATGAACTCCATTTCATCCTCAAAATATCTAAAAAGCATAAAAGAGGATCAGTTAAATATCAGCATTGAGCTGAACTTCTTTTGTCAGTTTAAGCAGAATAATGCTTGGTGAAATGGAAAAATATATGACAAAATCCAAACTATACATACACATATATACAGCTATTGCATCATTAAGCAAACCATATGACTGTGGATTACATGCTTCAACTACGAAATTTATTGATAAATTTGAATGCAGGACTACTCAAATTTATTAAATTTATAACTATGCAATAAATTTGGCATTATTTCAGCCAGAAAATAGCAAAAAAGTAGCAAAAAGAATCTGAATCATCTGCATATAGGATTCGATGATTAATTGGAATAAATTCGCCCGGTACCAGATCCCAAATAAAAAAAGTAAATCAGCCACTAAAAATGAAACCCAGATGGCTGCTGAGGTCCCATCTATAATTTTATCTCCCAAGTGATTCTGTCGCTGAAGATTTCATCCTAGAATCAACTCACTTGAGCGAAACAAACAAGAAATGATGCGTGCTGTTAGAATAATTTATTAAAATAAGTTATTAACTATTGCTTAAATCAATTTAACTGGCTCAAAGCTCATAATAAATTTGTGGCCAGATATAGATCGATGCCTATTGGTACAAATTGCAAAATTCGATTTAATTAGCGAATTGGTGATAACGTAGTTTATTCGATTTGCTAAAAAATTTATTTTATTAAACATTTTATTCTATTAAAATCGAATGCCCTTCATAAATATATAAGCTGAACATATCGTCACAAGCTTTACTGCCAGCTAGCACATTTAAAAGTTGAATACGAATTACAAAGAGGAAAAAAAGAAATGTTTTCAAATGCAATGATAATGAATATTTACCACCGAAAATAAGTTTTTAAAATTAGAAAAATTCAAAAAAGTAAGGATTTCCTCATTCAAGGACACTGCTGTTTTGGTTGGCTCTGTCGGCTACTGAAATAAAAATCCTTCTTTAAGGACTAGTTTAATAATAGAAGTACAGGTGAATTCATTCGGATTCCACTTTTAATGAAAAGTTTATTCCTTTTAAGGGACATAAGTAAAGCCTATGATGGTTGGATCTCGGTTGAAGTGATATGGTCATCCACCGAGTCTCATTATTTTTAAAACTTATATTTTAGAAAAACTTTCATCATGAAATAAAATAGGCATTGAGAATATGCAAATGAGCATGAAATCTGTTATTTTTTCCTCAAAAAACAAATGCCTAACGTTTCATTATTTAGAAGTATTTAGATGTATTATTACTTAGTTCATTAAGAAGAAAGTTCAACAAAGAATCTCTTTCATTTCCAAATTCTCTTTCTCTGCAAAATTTATTCATACACGCTGGCATCATCTCTTAGAGATAATTTAATAACGCTCCTCTGACAATAAACGTGACAAAAAATCAATCAACTTCACTAGATCGGATTCGATATGGCTGATTGCTCCACAGTATTTTATACGAAATGATGTGCTTTGAAACGAATAATGGGAAAAATTTTTTTTGCATCGAACATCATAAGTTAATAATTGAACAATTTGTATAAAATTAATGTGAAAGCAATTAAAATAGATGTGCTTAATTCGCTATTAAAATGAACATTTTCAAGAAAAAATTTGATCCTCATTAAAGAAATGAAAATCAGATGTCAAATATTGAAATTTACTTTCCTCTACAATTTCGCCGACATAATTCTCTTTAAATAACTTTCATCAATATGGAGGATTTTTGTTGAGAATTCGATTCGACAAATCATAAAGAATCATAAATTATGCAAACGAATTATGAAGAGTTTTTAGAGAAAATAGCCACGACTGAATTTTTTAGATTTGCCATAAGCCATGAATTGCATTAAATAAAAGCGTTAGCAGACCTTTCTGTACAAAAAATCACCATCAGAAAAAAACAAATACAGAAAAATAAGCACGATTGCTTGTTCAAAGAATTTTCAACATAATTTGCCATTGCTCAGACTAAATCAGAAAATTGTTCACAGTTGGATTTCTAGAGATTTCAAGCATTTTTGAGTAAACAAACTTGTATTCGTATCTTTGGCAATATTTATTTGAAAGACACAATCGAATAAAAAATAATAAAGTGAGCAAGTGCCCAACTTATTTAACCGTTATGAAATAACGACATCGAACGATTATTAAAGATCATTAAGAAGTAATTTATATCGTAATGCCATAAA